ACCCCGCCGTATTCCCTTTCGTGATGTTAGGCATCCTCGCTCCCGGAGAGTCTTCTCCTCCACCGGCCGTGGAAGGCGTTGAGCCAAAGACTGTATTGTCGGTACGCGACATGCTTGGCGAGCTCTCCACGTTACCTTCTGTGCCTGCGCTTGTCGAATTTAGATTCTGCTGAGACTCCCGTCGATTCGCCCGTAGAGGCAGACTCGCAGTGCTGCTGGTCGCCGCAGTGTGTGGTGTTCCTCCTCCACCACTCCTGATGACTTCTCGCACCAATCTTCGCAACCTCTTCCCCTCGTCCCGCTCTTTTGCCTGGTCCCAGACAACTCCATTCGAAGTGCATTCTCTTGCGACTTGTGGGAGGATAGTGTGCGTCATGAACCCAATATTTCTCTGTCCGCCGCTCCTGCCAATATCCAAAAAGGCACTGCCATGCACACCCAAATGCTGGAATGCTGCCTGCCACTCTTTCGAAAAGCTGTGCGCCACAAGCCATATCTGTATGCGATCTGCGGGCCAGTTCTGGTCCGCTGGAGAAGCAGGAGTATCGCCTGATGAAGAATGGTCGCGGTTGGTACTCGTCAGGCCACTGCTGCTCTCAGCATGGTGACTGAAGGACGAATGAGAGAATGCCGTCCTCGCATCGTGAGCGGGTGATACATGCTGCTCTGTCTCTTTCGCTGGGGCAATCAAGGCTTTCGGTTTCCCTGTGGTTGGAGTAGGAGGAGGAAGGCTACTCTGCGGAGGGGCAGATGCTGCTAGTGGTGGCTGCTCCCGTTGCGCGTACGTCGAATACCATGACCTCTCTGCCGCATCCTGCTGGCTATAGAAGTTGTTGTATAGGGCTTGCGAATTGTTTTGCGTCGTGAAGTCTTCCGACCCTCCCCTGTAGTAACTCGGAGTGTGTTGGTGAGGCACTGGCACCGGCCTCGCGGGTTGATGTACTGGCGTCCTGCTATCGTGCAGAGGTGGAATGCCTACACCGGGACCAAAACTCTCTCCACCCGGTATGTACGTGGCCGATGTGAGAGGCTGATCTGGAGGAGGCATCGGTGGTAGCTGAAAGTACTCGGAATATGCACTCGGATCGTACGCTCGTGGTTCTTTGGGCTGGTTCTGGCTCGGCGCATAGCCGGGACGCAATTGATTCGAATAGCCATAACCCGAGGGCGGAGGAGGAGGAGGGTGAAAGGCACCTATAGGAGTCCGCAATTGTCCTGGAGGCGGAGGAGGCCATGGCATGCCTGGCTGCGATTGCGGCTGGAGAGGCGGAGGAGGCGGTGGGAAACCTCGCTGTCCGTCTGGCTGGCCATGCCTCGAGCCGGGCGGCGGCCATTGGTGCTGCTGCTGCCCATGGCCGCCGGGCGTGGACGGCTGCATTATTGGGTCGGCATAGGTATGTGCTCGAGCTCTTGGCGATGAAGCAAACGTCGCGCTCGGCGGGTAGGGTGAAGCGGATGGATGTGGTCGCAGCAGCTCATTCGCGGGGTGGTGTTGCGGGCTCTCGTACAGCAGCGAGCCGTCGGGGGCGGTGGGATAGTAGTACGGTGGTCCTCGAGATGGCGGAGGAGGGCTTTGGAGGTTGCTAGTCGAGCGCTGGCGCTGGCCTGCCAGCATAATGCCGATACCCTGGTACCTCGTCCACTGGGGAAGCAGAGCTGCATGCAGGCGGCGCTTACAGAATCCCGCTCACCACTCGTGCCTCGACGAAGGACTTCACCGACTGTACACGTCGCTGTCGTCCACCGCTCCGCTGGCAGCCGGCGGCGCGTTGACTGATCAATGGGCAGCGATGGCAGCGTCGTGCAGATGCAATTTCTCCCAATGCCCTCACCCCGGTCGTTGCCTCCCCAGCGCTCTTTGTTCTGGGCCCCCACTCCGCGCATCAGCCACGCGCACGACCAACCGGAGTTGTCGAAGCAGTCGTATTGATCGCAATATCGCTGGAATCGGTGTCGTTCGCATATAAGACACAGCTCAGGCTCAGACAACGACTGAGGATGCGGAGAAGCTGCTACTGAATCGCGTCTGCATCTCCCAAACTGAAGCCCGTTTCCTATAGAACCTCTCCACGTACACACGACTCACATAATCAACGCACCAGCCACAGCAGCAGCCGTCCCCATGCCGGCGATCCTTTTGGGCAAATGGCCTGCGGCTCGATGCGATGGGACGACGTAGGGCCCGTCTCCACCCTACGTTATGCTTTCGTATCTCTTCTTGCTCGTCACCCAGCCACGCGAGCGACACCTGTACGCGTTTCACAATCACCAGCACCACCGGAGAATGCGATCATCTCGCACAGTCATCACTACCGGACACAATGAGACACCATGATCCCCGCCCACGTGGCAGCCTACACGCAGCAATGAAAATCAAGCCAAGCGGGACATTTTCTCACTCATCCGTGCTGCGATCATCCTCATCTCCAGAATTGCAGTCGCCAAAGAACGTCTTCTTCCTCGTCTGCATGCAGCGCACTTTCTGTCACTTGTTCGGCACACGCCGTGCTCGCACCCTGGTAATCCTTTACTATACCCTCAACGTTCGCGCCGTTTCATCTAACGAGTCGGCCAGGACGCCTCCCTCCGCATCGCAGGCTCTGTGAGATGTACCCCTGGTTCTGTGACATCTCCATGTCGTTATCGTCGTCGCGGACGAAGGCTCGACCAGCAGTTCATACTTCCCACCACCTGCGAGTCCTAGCGAGTTGACAAGGCTCAATAGTCTCTCGCCAATAGTTGTACTGCGATCTGATGCGTTCTACGATCTACACCGGACGTGTCTTGGTCTGTCTGAAGTCCGATGTTCATCGTCAAGCCTTCTGTCCTCGAAGTCTAGAATCTACCGCAACGCTGACGCAGCAGTAGGGTAGGGACAGACAGGCCAAAAACACACAAAGTTCGAACATGAGCTAGCGTGCCAGCAATATTCAGAGCTGTCTGTCCACAGGGCAGAGAGACATCGAGCGTTTAGCACATCATTGTATGGTACAGCCCGACCAATGCAGCACATCTACCAATTGAATATTGTCATGACTTCCTCCCTGCAGAGCAGTGAGCGCTAGCATAGAGGCGGTAGAAGGAATACATGCTGCCATTGATCTGTTACACGGCGTGCCTGAGCGCATGGACAACCAATAGGTTCAGAACAAGATTTCCACCTTGGACATCGAGATTGTCCTCCTACAACGCCCAGACGGACGTCGTCAACTGGATCATCAGCAGTCTCCTGCTTGAATTCCGCCAAAAATGATCTTCGAATATCAAGCCAAGGAGACCGCTTTTTTTTTCTCTCTCAGAGAGCTTCGGGTATCCACGCACTTCTCTGCCAAAATGACACTTAGCATCGCGAGCAAAGCATTGCACTGCTGTATTCGCCACGCCTCACTAACGCCACTCCTCTATCACTTCTCTCAGTCCGACCCTATCGCCTCCTTTCGCCATCGCTCACGAATGAGAGCCCGCTCTTCCGCCAGCCGCCTGTGAATCGATTTTCGTGGTGCCAGAATCTCAGACTCCTGTCGCTCGTCTTCTTCATCCTGATTCCACCATGTGTCATTAGAAACCGCACGATTTATGGCTTCGGCGATGTTATATTTTTCAGCCAGAGTTGCTGAAGTTGGCGAGATAATGTGCTCTTGCTCAGTTGGAGGAGGCGGCGAAGGCGGAGGGGCGAATTGATCCTGCTCAGTCCGCGTCGGCTGCATATTGACTGCAGTGAATGATGTCTTTTGGTACGGACGACGAGATTCGTGGTCCTTTCTGGCGATTTCACCGCTGACCGCGTCGTAATTGTAGGACCCAGATATCGGACTACGTGTTAAGGCATGCTGATACGCAAATGCAGCACGCGTGTAGGAGTCCGGACGGCTGTGCAGCTGCGATGATGGATCCGGCTCTGTCACCTTTGGTGCAGGTTGTGCGGTATGTTGCGCTCGCGTCCTGCTCGAGGCAGCAGTGTTGTTCACTGGCGTCCAGCGCGACCACTGAACCTCCCTGAAGCCATCGAAACCATCGCTCCGCTGTGGCACCGGTGGCCATGGACGAGAACGAATTCTGGCGTCGTAACTTCTCGGTGACGATGGCGGTGACCGGCGCACGGAATCCGCATGCTCTTCGATGTAGTATGTAGGATACCTCGAGAAATCCAGTATTGGTGAGGGCGATCGAGGCAGTGCTTGGTTTCTGACTCTATACCCGCGAGTCGCCTGTCTAGGCGAAAGCGAGCGAGAACGAGACCGCCTTCTTGTCGCCGTCGTCACAACGGTGTCGGCGTCTACCTCTCTCCGACCACCAGATCGTGGCGAAGCGTAGTGCGTAGCGTACAAGCCTCGTCCTGAGTCTAGGCGATGAGATCCGGCATCTGTTGCGTCAGTGCCACGAGGCTTCGAGACATCGTAGTTGTGTGGCGCACGCTCTGAGCTTGTCAAATCTACGTGCGTTATGTTCTTGGCTGGCAGTCCCATCAACTTGCGACTTTCATCTTCGTTGATCTGTTCGAAAGTGACGACATCTCCTGTGAGATCAGCATATTCTCGGCCTACGCGAGTTATGATCTGATTTCGCGACTCTCGTGGCAGAGTCTCTGTTCGGCCTTGCATCGTTGGCCCCGCTTCTCTCATAAGCCTGCGTCGCTCTTGCTGGGTTTCTGAATATCGGTCAGTAGTCTGAGAGGAGGCGTAGTCACTATGCATTGCGAAAGAGTTTTGTGATCTGTATTGAATGCGTTTGAGTGGATTTGCCTTGTGACGTGTGATACGAGGAAGCAGTTTGCTGGCTCTGGATGTGCGCGGAACTCGAATATTGGAGTCCAACATATTCGCCATGTCGGTACGAATTTATTGTGGTAACTTTTGAGCTTCCCGATGAATTTGTGCCTGTGTGGAGATAGGCGACTGCAAGTATCGTGTCAAAGTACGGTATTTGCATCTTAGTTCTGGATGGTTCTGCCTTGTGAGCAAGTGATTGCTCGTTAGCAACTACTGCCCTTGCCATCATCTGCTTTGGTAAATAGTGAATAGAGGCGTGGAGGAGTCTCGCGAACTTTCGCCAAGACACGAAGGAGATAGCTGCACTTGCTCGTTGTGGTAGGCGACCCGCTTCCGATCTGCTGAATGGCTACAATATGCAGTAGATGAAGCTGGCAGTTGCTAAGATAAGGTCAGTAGCGGCTAATTTTGTTTCAATCATGATGCTGGCCTTCTCCAGTGTTCAGGTTTAGGTGGGCAGGGACTTGTGTATCAAAACCTTGCTTTGACTAACTGCAACAAAGCTCGGGCCCGACCTCGCCTCTGGACTAAAGAGATGTTGACTGCAGGCAGTTTCAAGACGGCGTCAGAGAAGGTCGAGAAGCATTCGAGAAATGAGGCTCAGCTTCAAGGGACAGCGGAGGCGTGTCTTCGGCTTTTTGGTCTCACTGCAGATGAGGTTTCTTGGCTTGGTCGGTGGTCGCTATCAGCATTCACCGCGCCGAGGTGGCTGCTCGAGACGAGATGTTGCGATCCTGGTCCTCGATCTTGAAGTTGTAACGCTGTGGATTACTATTCAGATAGCTATCATTACTGTATTGGAAGTTGAGTTTGCAATTCGGGTGTTGAGCCGGGTATGTCGTGCAGGGTGGCGTGCTCGCAAGAGGCTTGAGGCTTCATAGGGCATGGCGATCTGCGATAGAGGATGAGGTCTGCAGTGTAACAGGTGTGGGTAAGCAGGCATGTCTGCGAAGGGCGGTCTATGCGTTTCTGGAGCCGGCAGGACTGTACAGTATCCCGTGAGGCAGAGATGCGCAGAACGTACGGCTGTGGGTGACTGGAAATGGGCATTGCACGATGATTGCGGCATCGCGACGATTCATCAATGCTTGGAACGCACGGCCTGTCCTGCTCGAATATGGCCAGCGGCGGTGCAGGGCGGTGCAGGATGCGGCCAGATCCGGCCCATTCGTTGGTCTGCTGGAGGAAGATGACATATCCCGACCGTGCGCCTCGATCCTGTCCGCAATTCGAACGCTCACCACCTGCCCCAGCACTAGTTAAGATCGATCTTGCAGATGGTCCCGCCGCGGTGGAGTCTTAAAAGCCCGCACACCGCACATCTCGAGTGAGATTGGGTGGTTGTGAATCGCACCTGATCGGCGTGCATCTCGTTCCTGCGAGCGCCGGCGTGAAAGAGGAGAAAAGCGGCGCTGTGTTCCTCCGGCCCATCGCATTGGCGTCCGCTAGACCTCAACCACCACCTCACGCGCTTGATACACCACTGACGACGACGACAACCCAAGAACGGGTACCTGGAAGAAGTCGCGTGCATAGGTCGAGCTACGCGTGGTTCCTGCTACCTACAGTACCGCGGGAACGCCCCTACTTATTATATGCGAACCAAGACATCTCGCATCGGTACTCGTTCGGCCGTAAAGCAAGCAGGCAGGCACACGCCAGCCAGACATCTCCTGCCAAAATGGATCACTGGATGTATGCACCAGCCAATAGCGCAACAGGCGCCCATACTACTTCGTCGGCGACACACCGCTCTGCAGACAACGGCACTTCGACCAATTACTCCGCTATTCAAGCCGCGACATATCGAGATTCGACCTCACCAGCAGAAACTTCGCCCAAATCTTCCAACGCTGCGCCAAGGATACGGAGGCGGAATCGCCAGATCACATCATGTCTCGAGTGCCGCAGACGCAAGCTCAAGGTAGGCTGGTATGCCATAATCTGTTGCAATGCTCGCTAACCACGCCATGCGACCTGCAGTGCGACAAGCAAGCACCATGTGTCAACTGTACACGATTTCGCAGAGATTGCCTGTATCTGGCCCCTGCCACGGATCCTCAGTCCCAGCAGAAACTAGCTGAGATCAAGGAGAAAATGGGCGTGCTAGAGAAAAACCTCGAAAGAGAGGTCGCAGCCCAAACGCAAAAGGGTCACTTGGGTGGCGGCAAAGTCACCAAGCTCACTCCGGAAGAGATCAGGGCTCAAGAGGAAGCCGACGAAGAAGAAGTCAACGAAGACGAAGACAATCTGGAACCAACCCCACTAGCCACACAGGATAATGTCTACGAAGACAACGACGACGACGAGCTCATGGATCTGGGTGTGCAGATGGGCAAGATGCGCATCTCAGAACGGATCGGAGGCTGGATCCGTCCGAAGCTTGTCGACGAGATCACCGACACTCTTGAAGACGTGAAAGCAGGCAAGTCGCGCTTCTCAGGAACGCCATTGGTCAAAGATCACCGAGACTTGCGGCCAGGCATGGGGCCCAAAATCCAGGCGACCCCCAAGTCCTTTATTGGCCCTGGTCCCGACTACATCGCCCCCGCCTCGAGTTTCTTCTTTCCTGGCACGAATATGAGCACCAGTCTCGTTGATTACCTGCCGAGCAAGAGTGCTGCGGATCAGTTGGTGGCGCGATATTGGCATGCAGTGCACCACATGTGCAAAATCGTGCACCGACCAACATTCGAGCAGCAATACACTCAATTCTGGTCCCAGATCATGACAGGTACGGAGCCTGTCGCTTCGATTCAAGCCATCGTCTTTGCTGCAATGTTCACTGCTGCTGTGAGCATGTCAAACGGGCAGGTAGCGCAGAGGTTCGGCACATCGAAGAATACTCTTATAGACAGTCTGCGATCTGGAACAGAGTTTGCACTCGCCAAAGCGAACTTCTTGAGGACGACCAGAGTAGATACGATGCAAGCCTTTGTGATGTATCTGATACCTCTCGTGAGAGCGGAGGTGTCCAGAGCACACTCTGCACTAGTAGGTACCGCTATTCGACTCGCAGAATGCATGGGCTTGCATCGGGATGGCACACATTACTCCATGACACCGGTAGAAGTGCAGGTCCGCCGTCTGATATGGCATCAGCTTTGTTTCTTGGACATGAGAACCTGCGAGGCAACTGGTCCTCGACCGCAAATTCGCGCCGAAGACTACGATACTAAAATGCCATGGAACGTGGACGATGCAGACCTGATCGGGGAATACCCTGTAACGGAAGACCGTGACTACTGGACCGACACAACCTTTGAGCGCATACGTGCAGAATGTCAAGAAATGCGCCGAAGGGTCTGGTATGATATCGTGGCCGTGGATAAGAGGAAGAAGTCGCTCACATCCGTACTGGTCAAAATACAGAAATTCATCACAAGCACAAGAGAGAAGTATCTTCCCATGCTCGACAATGCGATGCCATTGCAGCGGGTGGCGGTTTTGATGCTGAACACCATGCACGGAGGGCTGCATCTGCAGGTTTTGCACCGCTACCTTTTCAGTACCACACAACGCATGCCTGATCGATTGAGGCAGGTCCTCATCGAGGCGGGGCTGAATCAAATGGAGTGCTCTGTGGAATGGGAAAAGAGACCTGATTTGGCACCCTGGCTATGGTATCGAGGCGCATTCAATCAATATCACGCGGCACTGCTATTGTTGGTTGAAGTCTATGCATACCCTATGCGGAAAGAAGCATCAAGGATATGGACATGTCTGGACTTCATATTCGAGGTCCCTTCACATCTAGCGCCGAAGCAGAAAGCGGAGCTCATATTGACGGACCTGAGGGATCGCATGGAGACATTCCACCAAACTCGCAAAATGAAAGTCTCGAATCAGATGCAACAGCGTACTGGCGGCGGAGAGAAACCTCACGGGCGGGTCCCAAGTGGCGTGAGCAACGACTCTGGTGTGCACGTGCAGCAACAGAATGACGGGATTACAGGTGTGATGGCGGTCTCTTTCCCACCCCAAAACTTTTCGCCGCCACCAGTTCAGCCAGATTCACAGTCGAGCGAAAGCGGAAGCAGGCATGGTAGCGTAGGAGCTCAAGCACAACCTCAGCAGCCCCAGAGCACGGATGTCGACATGCAGGAGATCGATTGGGTAAGTCTACCAGAGCTGAACCGCTTCAAAGTACACCAAGTCACTAACATCCTGTGCAGGCCGAATGGGAGAAAGTGTTCAATCCCGCCATCTACACAGGAGATCTCGACGTTCCAAACTTCGACATGGCCAATTTCACAGGAGCCGGCTTCACGGGTCAACCTCTCGATAATTACGGCTACAGCACAATGGCGGCTTCCAACATCAACGCCATCGGCAATGCGAGCTACGCAGCTCCGAGAGCAGATGCGAGCTTCGATGGCACCTTTCGCGCTCCCAGCGTGGCCGATATGGCTGACGTGAACCTGTCTGGAGGGCCGACTTTACTGCCGACGCTGAGTTGGCAGAAGCAACGAGAACAATATGAACGGCAATTTAGACCGAATGCTGGAGGATATTAGGAAACATGTACGGGCAGTACCGGCTCGCAATTCTGTTTCGCGATGTGTATGAATCTTCTTTCTCCTGCGTGCGCTGGTCGCAGAGACTTCGTATTGCAATACCCATTTTCCACCGTCATCTCCCCTTCTTCCACGCCGATGCAGTCAAGGCAGATGTTTTACCCCAAATCGGTGCAACAAGCAGCTCTGGCCATAAATCTTGGGCCACTTTCAATGTGCAGCAACGGCGGCGGTGAATCCTCTTCCCTCCCAGAGCGACGACACTCTTTGTTGCGGACAGAGCGCAGCACGCGCGGTCAGCCTGTACCAAAGCTCGTCTACCAGATTCTGTCGACTTTGTGGGTGAGCACCCTTTTGGGTAGAGCTCTCGTGTTTCGCAAGTCGCCGAATATGGACTTGACTGCTTCTCCATCGGCTCGTTGCCTCCTACCGCTTCTCAAAGCTCCTGCTTCCGCGGATGCCTATTTCTCAAGTTGCCCTTCTATTCCTTCTTGACCATTTCAAAACCCGCTTCCCTGTTCCACTCAGCCTTCGTCGTCCTTCTCCTTGCCAGCCTCCGGCTTGCCATCTCTCTGAATGCAATCTTTCTGGTTCTGATCCTTCTGCTTTCCACAAGTATGAGAATAACAATCCGATCCATCTAACCCTCTCATAACCGAAGCATTATAATACTGCCACCTCCCATCCCGATGCATCCATTCCACGACCGAAACCGATTGCCTTCGCACATTCGCTGGTCGGCCTTTGACAGATAAGAGGCAGAATACTACAACCATATATCAGTCCTCACTTCTCTCAGTGGCCAAAAGACAAATCTCTTTCCCGCCGCGCTCTCTCCACAATCCAAGATCCTCAGCCCCAATAGAAGAAGAAGTAAGATGAAGCACTCACCAATCGCATACCCCAACCTCTCATCCACATCCGCACTAACATCTACCACATCAATATGATACTCCGGATTCGCCTGCGTCACCGCTCGAAATTCATCTTCTTCGGCCTCATAACTATTCGATTTCGGTAACTCATCAATGTCTCCCTTGTAATTATTCGCGACAAGCTTCTTCGTCGCGGCGAAGGACCGATTGTTGATTGACAAAATTACAGCGCGAGAGAGCCTTTCGAGTTCTTGGGCCGCCGGGGAGGGCGTGGGTCTTGTCGTGGACGAGGAGGAGCTTTTGCGTGTGAAAGGGTTTGGGGTTGGAAGTTTTGTGGGAGCGGAGCACGATAGAAATTGTGGTGAAGGATGGTGGTTGGCGTTGAAACTGTGGTTCGAGTTTGGGAGGAGGATCTGGAGGGATGTGGTCATGGCTGCAGGATGGTGTGGTGTCTGATATAGAGCTGGGGGATCTGTCTTGACCAGGTAGTGACGTCCGGAGACCTGTATGTATGGTTGCTGAGCCTCGTCTTGCTTGTGTAGAGCTCTGCGCGTGGAAGATGCAGTCTTGAAGGTGTTATCGCAAAATCATGGTCTCAGCATGCGCGGCCTTGAAGAAGTCAGCAGTTTCCATCGAGCAAGAGAAATGAGAGGAAGGAAGCTCGACGACGGGACTAGCACCCATTCTAGACCTCACAAGCATCTTATGACATCCAACCATTCAGTTCGGGCCACCTACTTCATGGCAATTGGCGTTAGTCGGCGTGCGCCCTACTTTACCAAATCCCAAGCCCTTAGCAAAGCAATCCTTCGCCTGAACTTTCCAGGCAGAAACAAACTACCGTATTAATTCCAGCTGATGTGTGACGAGTGTGACGCCGGGTCAAGCCACAGTCGTCGAAGACATGCCCCTCTCCTCACCTTTCGGGCGATGCCAATGCTGATCTATCCATTCCTGGGCGCTCTATACGGCTTAGGCCTCAAATTTCAGGCCAAGCACACATGTAGGATGGCGTAATTCAGGCAAAAGTCTAAAAAGGTCCACAGGAGCCGACGAGGATCTTGATGTAGCATGTACTGCTGTCTTTAACATATTGATGGCGTTTCCGTCCTCGAAGGTGCATGCGATTTGGATGCTAAAGTGCAGAGGTGAGGGATGTGCGCCACAGTAAAGTTTGTGCTCGACGTTTCACCAACTTCCTCGGCTTCTTTTGGGTATTCTCGTAATGTCTCTGAATGGAAGGTCAATGGACAGGACAGGATCGTCTGTACACTGCCAAGGCTCGGTCCCTGGGTTCTTTCCTGTGATCATGGAGGCAAAGGAGGTGAGTGAGCGTCAAGGCAGTGTAGATGTGAGCTGTGGGACAAGTTTCTGGTCATACGTGTTCAGATGCCGAAGTTACAACTGCTTGGCTCCAGAGTCAGCTTCCGTCCATGTGTGATTTGAGACTTCTTCCGCTACCTCCCCGTTCGGACTACCATAGCTCCGCGGTTTGCAAAGTCTTGTCGCGGAAGTGCCTACTTACCGCTTCGCGAGAGCAACCAGTCCTAAAGCACTAGATCACCACATGCAAGAACAGACGAGCCAAGGCACGTCCGACTTGTGAGGTAGTGGGTAGTCCTTCTGTTGAGGTCCCAGGAAGCATCAAATGACGAGGTGAAGAAGGCCATGGCGAGGGCCTGAGGTCTCTGAAATATCTGCATTCCAGGACGGCGATTGTCGTGTGAGTTCTAGTGGTCTGTGGTGTGTTCTTCCGCAAGCTGATACATCGAGGTGATCGCGACGCAGGACGAGAACGCCCTTCAGGCAACTGCCACCAAGTGGAAGTCACGACATGGAAGTTGCAACGACTGCACACGGAAGCAGCTCGCCCCAAAGAAGAAGACAGGACGGAATCGTCCTTCAGAGTATGTACCATTGTACTTACATCTATGCATCACCCCAATCTCCCCCATCACACCCTGCCCGCAGAATGTTGATGCTTCACTGCTACTCCCCCCTCATCCCCTCCCTCAAATTCTTATACTTACTCATCGGATACTCCAGCACATTCCTCTCCTGCTGCAACCCCCCATACCCCTCGAAAACCCCATCCACAGCCCCAATGAGACTACTCGTCCCATTAATCGGCGTATCCCCCGACAACTCCCACCACATCGCACCCCCAAGACACAAACTCTTAATATACTCCGCCTTCCTCTTCGCAATTTCCGGCGTATCAAAGCTCACCATATAACAATCCCTCTCATCATACGCCCAACTCGCCACAATTCTGTCATCCGTGTAAACCTCTCCAAAAGAACTGTTTCCAGCAAGAGCTTTATAATCCCAAACCCCAGCCTCCCAACTGCCATCAGTAGCTTTCGTGAAATTCTTCCCCGGTCCAGTCGTATTCGCAAACGAGCGTCCATATAACGGCATCCCAAACGTCAATTTCTCCGGTTTCCATCCCGTCTCATTCAAGTAATAGTCCATCGCAGCTTCAGTCGAGAAGTTTGTACTCCTCGGAATATCAAGACTCTTATACAAATTCGCTTGATGTCCCGAATAGTCCGAGAACGAACCAGCGTAGTCATAAGCCATGAGGTTGATGAAATCGACATAAGGCTCCATTGCTGCCATGTCGAAATAAGGATAGTGGTCTGGACCAGCGGGGACGGCCATGGTGAGGAGGAAATGCGGGTTACCGGTGAGGTTACGAGAGTAATTGTCGAGTTCTTTTCGGAATTCTTTGCAGGTGTCCACGAGGTCTTGGGCCTGTTTTGTGTTATTGGGGTATTCCCAATCGATGTCGAGGCCATCGAAGCCGAGGTCTTTGAGGAGTTGGACACTGGTGCGAGCGAAGTTTTTGCGGCCTTGTTCGTTTGCGAGGGCCGGGGCGAAGTATGATCGAATGTTCCAGCCGCCGATTGAGAGGAGGGTTTTGAGATTGCGATTCTTCTTCTTGAGTAGGTAGAGTTGCTTCAAATTGCCATAGAGGTTCGATGTGCTGTTGTCCTTGGCATCATCTGTATCGAACTTCTTCTGAACATCTGCGAAGGGGTCGCCCAGCGTAGCTTCGCCGGTTTTGTTGTCGATGTTCGCGAATGCGTACAGCAGATGCGTGAGCTGTTCGGATTGGATGTTCTGAGGCGGCCAGTTGCGGGCATAGATTGACCAGCTGATCATGTTATCAGTATGTGCTTCAACATCATTTCTCGCACAAGTTACCTGGCATAGTAGCCAACCGTCTTGAAGCCTTGTTGAACTCCATGGGCAGCAGCAGCTTGCTCATTCCCGCTCCTCTTGGGCAGATCCACAGCCGCATGTAAATGACTGTGCTTGATAGGATGTCCTTTTAGTGGTCCAGCGGCCTCGACACACGTCGAGCTCAACACGAGAGCAGGTATCAACACCGACAGTGACTGCGGCGAAAGCCAAAACATCTTGAGCTCTAATCCGAATCTTCTTGAAGAGAATCGGGCTCGTCTTTCCTGGGCCGAAACAAAGCCCCGATCCTGCGCGATAAGATCTTCCTAAAGGAGTGTAAAGCTTGCCAGAAGCTAAAAAGTTCGTTGTGATCCAAATGAATGTGCAGGTGCTCTACGCCAGAATATAGCAGTCCCTCCTCGCGCTCGCGTAGTTCCTCGCCTTCATTCTCGAAGCCCCGATCTCCAGGAAGAGGAAACATAGTTCAAACGCGCTACTGTCAGGGCGGCAAATTAAGTACGGGAAAACGTGCGTGATGGGTTCCTGCAGGGAACTTCCTCAAATTTCGAAATGTCCAGTGAAGTTGTCAATGTCGCTGCACAACGAACTTGCAAGTTCTTCGACAACTGCGCTCAGCGTGTCGTCTGCCCATGTCTCACACATGGCGCTCACAACCTGGTGAATCCGCGGTTTACCCGTCTTGGGGAATGGTGATCTGCTGGAGGAGAAGTGAAGTCAGCCTGAAAGAGTTCGTGCTAGACTAGGGACCGATGCAGTTGGAGCTAACCGTGCTGTGTTTCAAGGTCAAAGCTTCTTGGACATTGGACGACTTCACTTACCAGGATATCTGTGTGAGCGGCTGGCTATCGCCACAACCGCCGACATCCGGTCTGCGCATCCTCGATGCAATGCTCATTGATGTCTGGTTGTCCAAGTCGCTTTGAGATGAAGTGCAAGTTCTAGATGTATCGATGTGCAGCAAGTCAGCCAATCATCAGTGCGTGCGGTCAGTCTTGGAACGAGTAATGCCCCTAGCAATATCGCTTTTTGAAGGCATTTCGGTTCACACGGGTCGGCCTGAGTCGCAGGCGCGATTTTCAGTCCGAATTCACCTTCAGGTGACATTTCCGAAGCACGGGCCTGGCGGTCCTCTGGTTGGCCGCAGGAACAGACGTGCATCCATCGTGAGGTGTCTTCCACCAAGGCGGTGGCGAACTTCTTCTGAACGAAGGCGGCTTGTAAGTAAAGTCGTAGCATTGATATGATATTGTACTATATTGATACAAGGGGTATACAGCTAGATGCAAAGACAGATCCTCCTGCCACTATGCAGATGCGGTGCGTTAGGTATGCATGAACAGATGCGACGCAGATGTCGGAATCGCAATTCTTTCGTGAATAGATGTAGATGTCCTCTAGATGACGAGAGTCTCGTTGTGGTTGTGGTCCGTTTTTGGGTCGTCTCTGGTGATGATATGGAATTCGTAGTCCAGTCGTCATTGACACTGGGCTGTAGCCGTGTGGCTGATATGTAGAGGTCTTGTAGTAAATCGAAGGTGGGTGCGAACAAGCAGTTCATCGCGCGACGAATGCGGGCCAGGATGCGATTGGGGTGGTACCGAGTCCGCAATGTGAGTGCAAGCTTGCTCATGGTACGTCGCAGATGTGGCGTGACTACGGTCAATCCGCATGATGTCGAATTTGAGCATTAGTAAATTTTCCAGGTTGTCGTATCGGCCGGGCTGGGTTCGTAAAGCACGGCGGCCGAGTAGATAAGAATACAGATCGAGACTGGGGCACAAAGTAGAGGTGCGCCTGCCTCATGTCGAAATGAGGAGATCACCAGCATTTGAGCGCGCGCAGCTTGTGCCACCAACGCTTGCGGCCGAGCTCCTCACCAGGTTCCCAGTGTTGGTGAGGGTAATAAGGCTCCGCAGGCAGTGCTTTCTCGTTGGGCGACGGTGGCAATGGGTCGAGCGGTCTTGTTCTCGATGTGTACGAGGGCAGATTGGGTGTCAGACCTTCCAAATGTTGCTTGCGGGCTCCTACCACGCGACGGACGAGAACTATGTCAGCGTTAGCAGTCGGCTGCAATTGCTGCTGGAAAGGTGAAACGAACGAGCAAAGGTCTCTTCAATGTTAACCATTTCACGGGCACTTGTCTCCATGAAGCCATAGCCTCGACTTCTCGCCCAGTTGAGGCCCTCTGTTGCACCAACCTGTCGAATGCCTTGCAGATCGCACTTGTTGCCAGCGACGATGCACACTGGTAGCACCTTTCCACGCTCGAGTCGCCTCTCGCGTTCTTGCTCAATCAACTCGTTGAACCACTCGAGGGAGCGCAGAGAGCTCTGCTGGGTAATGTCGTAGACCAGCAGGAATGCATCGGAATGCAAGTTGGAAGACGACCATAGACTCCGATACTCTTCCTGACCGGCGGTATCGGTCAATGCGAGCGAGAAAGTGGTGCCATCGATACTCCTCGTCACGGAATACGAGTCTTCGATGGTTGGATCGTACCTGCATCGCATGGCATTAGTCTGGAGTGTACCGACTGGGATGTGTGGTATACGCACTCATGCGTCCATTCGCTGCGCACAAGACGCAGCGTGATGGAACTCTTGCCGCATCCTCCGTCACCACAGATGGTGATGGAGATCTTGTTCGCGTCCTCTGCCATGTCGTCGTGGATCTCGTCAAGTATTAATGTATCGTCATGTGCCGGCGGGCGGGCCGAATGGCGGAAGGGTCGTCGAGAAATGGTAGGCGCAAAGAATGTCGAGAAGCAGCAGGTGCGACTGGCTTAACCTGGTAGTCGGCGTTGGTCGTGGGTTGCGCAAGAGCACAAACGCGCGCGGACTGCGTGCGAGTGCTGTATTTCCCCTCGGGCGCAAGGCTGTTTGTCCGGCGAGGTACAGTAGTAGTTGTGCTGTCTGTCCTGCACGCACGGGAATGCAGCACCGCTGATGGCGTATGTAGACTCGGCTCCAATAGGCGATGCCGTGGTTGGACGCGGGGCTCTTTCTGCTGCGCCAACCCGTCTCCCTCTTCGTACGTCTCTCTTTCAGCAGCAGCGCCGGGCGGGTGGAGGTTGACCAGGAGGAGGGAGCAGCAGGAGGGTGATCAATATACGGCCTCGCGCACGTGTGTCGAGGGTCGTCGCGGTATTATGGTCAGGAGAATGGCGGCGGGTGGGCTAGTCTAGTTAGCGGGCCCAGCGCAACGGTTTTCTGGCGTCGTGCAGATCCGCGCGGCGTATTGCTCGTGAAGTTTGCCGCAAAGCTGCTGCGAACAGTCGAGGCAGCGGCAGCATGACGGGCAGCGCGACAACCAGCGGGAGCACGAAGGCAACGGAACGTGTGGTGCTACCCAAGCCGTAGCTCACCACCAGCCGATGCGGAGCAGCACCAGGATGTGCCAGTTGCCAGCATGGAGGGGCGCGCGCATTGTCTTCGCTCTCCGCCTCGAGGCCGATCGTTCCTCAGCCGAACCGCAGCGCTAACTTAAACCGCAACGGCAAGCTGTCAGGCACCGCATGCCTCGACGGCTGCGTGCACTTTGCACTTCCTGCCCAATCCGCGCCCTCGCCAACCACGCAACCCACACAACAACGCCATCATTTTCGACATGTCGACCACCAGCAGGGATGGCCGCACTGCAGTCCGACCTGTCGCTCGTGAGCTGGAATGGAGCACACAGCCTTCCATCACGACTCTGCTGGCCGGCGAGTGCGGCCACACGAGCCGGCGTGGTCCGGGATATCAGGAGCATGTCTCCTGCGACTCCTGCCCAACGCCAGAGCAAAACTCTTTCTCTCGCGCATATCGGCCGCATAGGTTCATGCACGCTTGCAGGTGCAGCGCATGACCATCTGCAGCGTGAGTTCTTCGGGGCGAGCACCACCGTAGGCCACTGCTTGATTGCGCTTCACCCGAATGGCCAGTTTTGCACCTCACAAACGGCCTTCTGCTGCTCTCGCTGACCGCGGGGCTCCTCTTCCACCGCCGAGCTACACCTTCCACATGTACAGTGTACTGTCCCGGCTACTCTTTATTACACAAGAAAGACCCTCTGAAGGATTGGAGGAAGGTACGTACCTGTCCCGCCGCCGTGGCTCGGGTCAACTCTGCATGCACGCTAGAATATGCCCCTCTCGCACTTCACCACCTTTGTGCCCAGCGTCGCCTACATCGACCTGCCTGACCATCTCAAATCCCTGCCCTCCTGCGCATCTCAATCATGCACTCCAAAGGGACCAGCCCAGCCCAATCGCGCCTGCACGCCATCGCTCCGTCTTGAGAGTTGAGAGGCAACTCCAATCTCTCAGCCTGTGCCGAAGGTACCTCCTAGCAACGTGAGCAAGCTGATGCCATGACTGCACACGGTCAATCTCTCGCGGCCAGCAGGCACTTCGGGGGCTATGGCGAGTGCTCGCCAGCTGCGAAGAGGACGTCCAACCTTAACACGCGTGCAACTTTGCCGAATCAGCGCCAGCTCACGGCACACCAACCAGATAAGCAAAAGTGCCCAATCTCTGCACTGGAGGTTGAATTTGACTTTCTAGACATGCCTGCCTTGCCTCGTGAATCCTGGGGCAAGTCAGATCTCCGCTTGGGATCTTTCGGCCAAACCACCTACAGACACGCAAGTGGCCATCACGCCCGTGGAAGGATAGACCAGAACTTTTCGCAGCAATATTCAGATATGAGTGGCACGCAATGGCAATGTGGACTGCCACCCATTTGTGTGTGCCACATTACACTTTCTCCAGCTCAGCGATCCCAGTGTTCAGCCGGGACAACACTCACCTGCTCGTTGCAGCCCAACAATATAGACAGGGTGCCAATTGAGTCCCACTGACCGAACAAACCTGACCTGGTACTGACTCCGTGGACCCGGTCACAGGTTCCGATCTTTGGTAGTGACTCCACGAGGGCGCAAGACTCGCGAGACTTCTCACTGCCGAGCAGCTCGAACGTGACACCCCACAGGTTAGGTCACAGAACCACGACATTGTGGCGTCTGGTCCACTCGCTAAGCACACTTGTGCTCGATATTATCCAAGAGTCCCAGACAGAGCTTTTCACCATCCAGGTTTCATCGACCAAAGCATGATTAATGCATGGAAGTTACGATGAAGTGCCGAATGCCTCGTGACTTCCCTGGCGCTTCTTGGAAACAACCATGTTTTGCATGTATCCACGAGCTTCGATATTCGTCGTATAGAAGCAGCTGTAACGATTCCTAGTTCTCCCGTTGCCGACCACGTTTCATGCCTCTCATAACACTGGATCGCTCGGACAGAGCTCGCACACTCGATCCTAAGCGTCATACTTACATCCCACTCGACGCTGCCGAATACTCGAGGTCACCGTTCAGGCTTATCAGACGAGCCAATGGAAAGTATGGGTCCAAATGATCGTGGAGAGCCACTGAGAGTCCGAAAGTTTCTCGATCACACTGTAACGTAAACCTTTGTTGCCCATAACTCACTGCGCAGAACCAGCACCGCTTCGAAAATATTTCTCAGCACTCAGCCCTCCTTTTCGCACTGAATAATAAGGTCCGAGGGCTCAGAAAGATATCGCCGACGACCCCTCTCGCCCTGTTGTTGCTGGTTCCGAAGCTCACTCTTCCCACTTGGCAATCCCGCCCTTAGCAATCGGCAACTATCATGAACCGGCACAGGGTTGAAAGAAAAGGTGCCACGCCGGCAGTGCCTAACGATACGCGACACTCTATCACTTCCGCAAAAGTATACCCTTCGCTACCCGCGCCATTTTGAAGCTTGATGCGACCTCGCGTGGTGTTGCCAGTGGTCAAAGTCTGGCTGCGAGCTCGACGCATCTGCCTTACCACTAGTTCCATGTCTGCCCGAGACATCAGACGAGATATACGATTTCACGATTACGAGTACTTTCGTTCAGCATGACGCTCCGCACGATAATCGGAGCCGCAAGCCCAAATGAACGATCCTCTAACATCAGGCTCCTTAGACTTCACATGTCCCGGCAATAGCTGAGGACACTTCACTGCCATTAAACAGCTTACCTCCAAGATCATAATCTAGTCCCTGAATACTGAACCAGGAAATAGAGCGCAAGACCTTCAAATAACGCAATGAACCATGTATATAAGATATTATACTTCAAAGTAAATCGTGCCACGTCCCATACTACCAATACCACTACTCACTCGCACTCCCCACTAGTCCTCCACTACCCATGTCCTCGCTCAAACATTGGAAAAGGCGCAACCAGAATGCTTCCCTCTCCATGAAAGTATCACAGCCGCGTCTCCCCTACCCTATCGCCAAAAGAAGGCTGAAAAGCAGCTGAAGCTGCCGCTTGACTCTGAAGACCACACGCATCAAACCATCAAATAAGCCGGTACACTAGCATACCACCACCACCAATCCAATAACACAAAGTTGCTTGCCTGCTTGGTATTCGGTCCACCGACTTACCGAATCCAAAAGCCCACCCAAAACGCAGAAATGCCCACAAAGAAGGAAAATGCTCACAGAGGCAGAGGAAAACTTTCACATAAAATTTGCAGAGCAGCATCGCACTGGGTATCAAAAAAAAAAAAAAAATTGTATAAAAAGAAAGACAAAATGCACACAAAACACACACAAAACTTTCCTTCTCCCCCTCTATTCCTCTCGCCGCACAATAAAAGCATCACATTGCTTCCCCTTCCTTTCCATCCATCCTCCACTCTCATGCACAGTAAAAACGTTAAAACACAATGCCACAAAACAACCACCCCTGTTCAGAAATCATCCTTTCTTCTAATGCATCCATCCTGTATCTCCCATCCTCTCCCGAAAAAAATATGCCAGTCATTCATTCACCATCGTAAAGCCCAATTCGTTCATCTGATAGAAGGCTTTTTCCAATTTCCTTCCATCTGCCAGAGCAGAAAGGAAATGTCACTCAAGCCAAGCCAAGTGTTCTCAATATCATCGATCCAAAAGTGATAGTAGTGATTCCAATAATGTTCTTCGTCGTTCAAGCTCCAACGAGTGAGCTCCAAAGCTGCCAATTTCGTAAGAGTCAAACGTGCCCCTCAAGATTCAATAAATAGGAGGCGTCAGAATGACCTCCGCGCTCTGTTCCCGATATCGGGTCGACGTCGTGGTTTCCATCGTCTGGAGAGGTACTCCAATCCCAATCCGAAGTCCCGCGAGTCATGGCTTGGTCCGGACTCGTTGCTGCCGGTTTCTGACGCTGATTCGGTTCGTCGAACGCGACATTGGCGTGACGCGCCATTCCCTCGAGTGACAGCATATGAGGTTCCACAAGCTGGGTATGCGAATCTCGCCGCTCGCGATTAAAGGAAGGAACAGGCTCCCATATCTCCCGGGGTTCATTGAGGCGTCACGCCAACGAGGGAACGGAGTCCAACATGGGGCGATGTCCTGGCGCTAGCCTGGCTTGATGCAAGGCTCGCTGGTGCCTTCTTAGCAAGTCAAGGTTGTCGGCGCGCAACGCAAGATCCGGTTGTCCAATACAATCGACGCAAAAGTAGTCCGAGGGTGGGAACAAATCTTCAGCTCCAAGCTCGGGTAGACAGCACGATTGATGTTGGAATCTGCAACATGCAGCGCAGGTAATCATCATACCATCGATATCTGACAGGCCGCAAATGCATCGGACCTGGCCTTGAGATGGTAGCGTATGCTGTGTCCCACGTCGGAATCCCGGTCCTCTCCATGGTGCGCATTCTAAGCAATAGTGCTCTGTCCTCTGCTGTATCGGTCCTCTTGGGCACAGTGGGTAGTAGCATTGCTGATGTTGGTAACGCAAGCAGCCGCGGCATAGCAGTAAGCGACCACTCGGACCCGTGTAGCCACAAATGCAGCTAAAGCGCCCAACAGTAGTTGACATGTCAGGATTGGGCAGCGCATGTATCTCTTCATTATCAGAGCCGTCGACGTCCATCGGATCTTTGATTGACGATTCAGGTGGCGAATTGTCCGCAATCGGATCCCTAATGGAAGATCCAGGTGGAGACCCAGGTGATGAAGTCTCAGCATCTGCAGCTGGAGCGTCACATTCGTCAAGGCTCGACTGCGTTTCTGCATCGATTGGAGCCGACGAAAGTGACTTGGATTGAATCGCGTTCAGTGCGCCCTCCAATGAGTTGACCCGCTGAGACTTGCAAGCACGATTTGCAGCTGACAGAGCGATCTTTGTTGCGCGTTGACGGATACGCGCCGGAATTTTTTTTACCTTGAGGCCCGGAATGCTGTGTTGATATGTGTCTCTTTAAATTGTCGCCTCTCGTGGAGGAGAACTTGCACCAATCGTATGGGCATTGTAGATCACCGAAGGCGCCGTGTCCTGCTTTGAGATGACGCTCGAGCCTTCTCTCGATCTTGAAACTTTTGTTGCAGCGTGGAATGAAACACATGAACTCGGAAGAGGGAGCCCTGACGAAGCCATGATCGGCTTCCACATGGCGTCTGAGGTCTCTTGCGCTAACGTCATGGTGCGTACATCCTGGCAAAGGACACTTCCATTCCTTGTCCCGAGGCATCTCGGTAATGTTGCAAATGCAGATATCGCGGATGGATAATGAGTCAAGCGATAGTGGTGTATGCAACGCGCAGGTGTCCGATGGCAGAGGAGTCGAGTGAAAGAGCATGTCGTCCCAACACGGCGGAGAGAAGAGCATAAAGTTCCTCCACGGGCAGAAAGGTAGCAGCATCCAGTGCGGTAGGTCCTTCCCTCCATGCTTCTCAGTCAGGCTCGACGCCCTCGTCAATCTTTCCTGGGACACCAACTGCACCTTCCATCGTTGCTGCATGGCCATCAGGTCCTTGCGTTGGTCTTTGGGCAGTCTTTCCCGAAGGAGACTCCCTCACGCCCTCGCCATTGGCCGCGTTGGGGCTCTGCTCGGTTTTGACATTGGGGTTGAGGTTGCTTGGGTGCCGCGGAGACGCGGATGCTCTGCTCGCTTTGTCGCTATGAACGCTTTGTTGCGACGACGTCCTAGGTGATACACGACCGTTCTGAACGTGCACCTGTCAGCACTTGCTCAGTACGCGGTGCCACAACATCAGTTGTGACTGTCAAAATTACACTTACCAGTTTGGCCCAACGTAGACCGCAGCTGTTACAAAGATCACGCTGTCCGCTCGGTCCCCTCCTCCATTCGGGTGTGACACGCGTGTGGCAATTGGCACAATCTTTCTGCTGGTTACCTGCGCCCTTTCTTCGCTTCCGCTTTTTCTTGGCTGCGATTAGCGATTGCACTTCTTCGGCAAGCATGCGGTTGCGCTTCTCGAGCTGTCTGATCTCATACTGCCACGATGACGATTTGGTGGTCTTCAGCTCGTCAAACAAATTATCGTCCGAAGCCAACGATTGATCTTGGCGTCCAATCGTCAGGCCATTGACGCCAGCGTAAGTGACAGCTGAGTCGTTCGTGGTTGGATACATATTTGATGCACCAGAATTAGGGGTGGCGTCTCCTTCTCGAGTCGCGCCGCTGTTTCCAGATTGTCCCCCACCAGCGCCAGAGAGAACTGACTCTGATGAGTCCTTCTTCGGATATAATTGGGGTCGACCAGAGGGGTGTCCGCGGGAGAACTTGATGAGCCTCGTTTGTGCAACGATAAAGGTGGGCTTTTGGCCCTCAAGTGCGTCCCCTGGGTACAGTGTCGTATATGCTGACAGAACTTGACCTCTGCGATTGATCAACTCGTGCTTGACAGATGCCTTCTTGCCTGTCCGAGCATGCTCGAGAATCCTGCCGAACTGCGATTTTGATTCTGCACGCATAAGCGTTTGTATGCTGACGCCGACAAGCTCATCGGGCTGGCGGTCGAGTAATTGTCGCACGTTAGAGGAGACGAACAAGAACATCCCAGATGTCGACATCTTCGTCCAGAGTTCGTTCTCGCCAATGCCGCCGGCGGAGATGATCTCAGTTTTGCTCAACGTGTACACTGGTCGCTCACGTCCCACCATGATGATCGATTTGCGGCCCTTGCCTTGCTCCGTATGCAACGATCCATGGCCTTCGAACCACATGTAGCCACTGTTCTTTCGTCGAATACGGAATACCACATTTACGGAAGCGCCAGTTGATGTGTCCTTTAATTCTCGAGTGACCGGAACGATGTCGCTGGGATGGCACACAGAACTGAGTGCAGTGCCAATGATCTCACTTGCTTCGTATTCGAGAACACGCAGTGCAGAGGGTGAGATCCACTGGAATAGGCCCTTGAGCGAGAGTACGTGTACGACATCGTCTGTGTTCTCGAGCAGAACTTTGTCCCACATTCGCTTCGCATATTCTGATTCGCCACTACCGATGGTGCTCAAAATGGCCGAGACATCGTCGCGTGGCACAGTCTGGCCAGTTTCTGCCTTCATGGATGGATCGGGGGCATTCATCACATAGCGTGGCATCGTCATGCCACGTTGGTAGTTGATAGAGTAAGAGCCATCTATTCAGCATGTCAGTAATACACCATCGAGACACGGCGACCTACATACCAGGATTTTTGTTTGTGACGGCGTTCGGCTGCTCCACCAGATCAACCTGGAACCCGACGAAGAATTTCACCTGGTCAGTGTCCCACGTGATAGGAATCATGGTCAGCAGATTCATAAAAGGCTGCCCCCCTCGTCGATAGTTGATCAGCGATATTTGCGCTTCCCGCCGAAGGTTGATCATATTCTTCAAGTAGAGTACGGAGTCATCGTCGACGTATTTTCGCCTTATGCCAGGCGCAACATTCCCGTCGGGTGATTGCAGGAACCGGCAGTTGCGGCCAAGAATCATGTGCTTCGTGTAACCTGTCAGCCTCTCAAAGTTCTCCGAGCAGTATACGATTGGAAAATCGTCCTTTTCGGCATCGCACACCACGAACGCGCAAGACAAATCGACAGATCCAATGTTGATTTCGGGATTAGGCCTTGTAGCGACTCGCATCTGCATTGATTAGCTGCCTGCAAGTACGGAATAATTGGTTTCACTCACGAGAACGCCGAGCATATCAAATCCGGTCGAAGAATAAGCGTTCTTGTACACTGACTGCGTATGAGGCTTGCCAGTCATGGTCGATGGCCAACCCCCTTCAGGCATGTCCCAAGGAAAATTTGGGTTATTAGGATTAATATTTTGAGCCTTGACCGGTACTGGTCCATTGATACCATCGTACTGTGCTCTATGCCGATTCATGCCGCGGTCATCATGCGAACCCGGGACCGGATGCTGAGGTTGACCAGGAAAGCCTTCCCCGGCGTGATGGCCACTCGAGTGCGGGGATGCATGAGAGTTTTGACTGTGTATAGGGGGACGTGAAGCATGGGAGGAAGCGGGCCCACTGATGGGTGTTGCGCTATGCGGCGAGGCACCATGAGAAGGGCTAGCCAGATGGCCGGGCACCTGCAGGCTTTGGGTTCGGGGCATCTGGCGCACCGTGGAGGGTTGACTGCTGTTTTGAGGACCGTATTGTGAATGCTGGCCACTCCCTCCTCCTGGATCATGAGAAGACATTCGGCCTGATTGCGGAGTGACGCCGCCGTGTTGCGGTTGTTGCGTGTGGTGCATAGGTGAGCTGAATGCGGAAGTGCTGAACGACGGTTGATTGTACAGATTCAACTGCATAGGATCCTGACTCATGGCTGAGCTGAGCCCACTTGTATCAACGCCATAGTCTTCCATATTCATACCCATACTGGTATCGATATACGGGCTCGTCTGCATGCCTCCCATGTCCATAGCCGTAGAGGGGTGGGCGGGAGACGTGGCCATGGCTGAGCCTGGTGTGATCATCGAGGTATAATTCTGTTGATTGTTCTGGAAACCGGTAGTATCCAGCGACAAATCTCCATTTGAAGGCCGGCGGCCACTAGGAGTCCTTCGCGGTTGCTGGCCAACAGCAACAGGTGTGACACCTCCCGACGCAAATCCATTCTGGTCCATGGCCGAGCTGTGATCGTACTGAAAGCTGTTCATGGAGCCCGCAGGCGAGCCGGATCCGTAGTCCATCATCGATATTCGCCTCATGTCTGGATTCAGGTGGTGCGGGCTGGTGCCGTAATTCTGGCCCACGGGCATGCTCTGGCGGCGGATCATCTTCGCGTTTTGATTCACAATGTCGTCCAGCGACTGGCCTCCCATGCCTCCAATGCCATCTTGACCCATTATCTGCAAGCCATCGTCGTGCTGATCCATGTTGCTGCCATCGAAGGCAGGATTGAAGCTGCCGTAGCCATTCATACTGGCGGAGTTGGGCGGAGCGGCGGACGCGATTCACAGCAAAAGTGCTGGACTCTACCCGCCGGCCGTCCTATCTGCGGCGCTCTTGCGGCCAGATTGCCGCCGGTGGAGGTTCACCGCGTGCAGCGCCAGCATGAACGAGGGCGCGTTGATGTCGGAGGGCGGTCGGCAGCAGTTTTTGGAGATGCTGGTGTGGTGGTGTAACCCAGGCGTCCGGATGTGCAGAAGCGACACGGGCTGCGCTCCGCTTTGGTGAGTTGATGTCGGCAAGCGACACGGCGCTGGGCGCAGGCAGCCCTCACCATGCACGAGGGGGCGTTTGGCGTGTTGAGAGCCTGCAAACACAGACGCGGTGGTGAGCGTGGGTGTCGGCGGAGGGTTCCACGGCGCGGTCGTGAGAAGGTGCTGGTTGCTCGCGGGCGGTATCCAGTGCTGGGCCCGACGACGAGAGAGGATCTCGCCAGCCAGCCAGTGGAGTTGTCGGAGCCAACAAGCTAGAGCAGCACTAGCTTGCCGCAGCCTCGGTACTCCCCTCGGAGGGCACAAAAATGCTCCTCCCGCGTCTGCGCGAGCTCGTGCGGACCGCGTGTCGCGGAGGGTGTGACGACGTCTGTCTGCGTCGCTCGTCACGCGCAATTTCTTTGCCGCGACAAGAATGATATGGGCGGTGGTGGAGAAGTTCCGCTGCAGCACTTCTGCTCGGGGCAGGCGAGATGAGACCAGTGCGTCCGTATCTGGCACATGCCGTCAGAGGCGCACCGTCAGCAATGCGCCGCCCTATAACGCAGCGCAGCACCCGCCGACCGCACAAAAAGTCGGCGGGGACATGGGTTGCTCTCTGCGACTGAAACGCGAGGGAACATCGTGGTCGCCCCGCCCGGGACCAGGGAGGCATGCGGACACAGCACGCCGACAGCAGCCTAACCTAAAACCTCGAAGCGTAATCGAACATCGAACACCGCTCCGCCGCCTGCTTGCTTGCCCGCAGCGATGAGCTTCTCGACTCAACTCGGCACACCACGCGTGGACAGGACGACGGGACGCGTTCCTCCATATCTGCCTCCCGCGACCACGTCTCTCAACGCGGCTCCCGGAGATTGCCTGAATCGTGTCCATCACCCACTGCTTTGGGCATCTCCCCTATAGACATCGCGGAGTCCATGACGACGTTCAACCACCATTCACACTCACCGACTGGCGTTAAACGACGCCTTGGGCTTGAACCACACCCCGGTCGTCTGCATTGGATGCGCTCCGTCAACGGCCCATATGTCCCGACTGCACAAATGCACAAAACCGTCGAAACAGCTGCCCAACTCGGGCCATTTGATGCAGTATCCCACGGCCACACTAGCCGCTCCCAGCATCCTGGTAGGCCGTGGACCATGATCTACGAGAAGGTTACACGGAATGCCAAGCCTCAAAAGCCACTTTGTACTATCCATAGCCCACGCGTGCCTCAAACGAGCGACATCCTATTTCCATAATGACTCGCGTCAAAATTTGGGCTGATACCATAAAACAGCCGCAAGCGCTCGATGCGCGCTGCCTGCCGAAGGATTGGGACAAAAAGGTCGCCTCCAGGATCGGTTGAACTCCAGTCCGTCGTGGATGGTAGCAGCAACCGTGATCAGGCCTCGCTGGCATCTCCCATCCCACTCCTGGCTCTAGAAATCAAGAAATTTGTTTCACACATCAATCTCGATGTGCCTATTGGACGGTCAGCATCTTATTGCACCAGGCCATGGAGCCGCACAACAGACGAGACGCATTTTCGTGAGGCTCGTGAATTTGTAAAAGTAGCCTGGGCCGTTCGCTGGACGCTGCAAGGGACAAAATGCTCCACCAGACAAGCGAAGATCTGAATCCTGAAGAGAACAGCCATGCGAGCTCTTTCCATATTCAGGCACCGCAGATTGCCGCGATAGCGTGGGGATAACCGCGACGAAACCGGCACCTCGGACTCATATTCGTGGACATGCTTTGTATCGAGTGATCGTGGGCTGGACTGGACTGCCCGTACGTGAGAAATCCGCCAATGCAGCTGGTTATGCTACAACGACCAGCGGACCCATGTCCGTACCATAATTTTTCCAAATCATTATCGCTCTCGCGCTAAGTAGCGGTTCAGCACAACACGGCTCCAATCTACGGGGCAAGGACGCAAGCGAGCACGACAAGTATTACGAAGCAATCGCCAGAATCTATCACTTCCTCCCCACGCAGAGTAAGTTTCTTGCTACCCGTTGATTTTGTTCGGGAAGGCTGCGTTGCAAAGAATCATCTGAGAGGCGACTACCGACCACTTTGGGCCATGTTCCATGAGCTCTGCATCTACCAGCAGCTACCACACTCTACAAACTCCTCTTCTACTCGGTTCCCCCTCGCCCAACTTACTCCACAAAGTTCAGGAAGGCTACGTGGTGCATCTCAACATCCTTGGCCCCATTTCTCAAATAATGGATATTATCCTTGAACGTCGCCGTCTCCCGAAACTGCATATGTTTCTCCACACTCTCCCAACCAATGATCAAGACCGCTGCTTTGCCTTCCACATCCTCCTTGGTCGGACTCTTTACATTATCCTCTACCGTCAATCCAATAGCACCTGCGATATACCCATCACTCTTTTCCTTTTCCATGATTTTCTTGAACTTCTCCACACCTTCCAAATATCCCTCTGGAGCTCCATCGCTGCCGAAGTAAAACGTGGCGACTTCTGTGACAGGAGCTGAAATGGCTTTGTTGAGTTCACCCGATGGCTCGAGGTTCGCGTGGATGAGTGAGAGATCCCCGCCGACAATGCCCAAGAAGCGATTCAAGAAAGGCTTGTACTCTTCCGTGGCCATGAAAGCTTTATGATGGTCGACACTATCCCAGTCTGCAATCATGCGAGTCAGCCATCAACATTCACAGCAGAAAAATGAGAAACCATAGGACCGCATTCGAAGCCAGACACGAAAAGCCAATAGACATGTGGTGCCCGGAAGTCTGCGTATCTTGCTGCAGGTCCAACGAAGCCAATTTCTCATGTGAAGAAAAAAGCCTGCGACACTGAATCGCACACTCTTGTTCCACATATCCGCCGGTAAAGGTCTTCCAAGAGCCGAATAAACCCAAAAAGCAACTTCCTCTAGGTCGAAAGTCTCCTCATATACGGCAACCTAAATGACCCTCGAGCGCTCATAACACCGGCCATGGCAACAACCATTCTCCACAACACGATAGGCAAAGTTCTCAAACGCAAAGCCCCCCACACAGACAAGAGCAAGAGTCGCAAGGAAAGAGGATCACAACTTACGAACAAGCAACTGAAACACATCCGGCTTCTCGACCTGCATTCCAAACTGGATTTGCTGCACACCGTCTGTTTTCTTCAATGTGGCGCCGACTTCCTTGAGGATTTGAGCTGCTTCATTGCTCTCGGAGCCGATATCTGAGCCGGGCTTCAGAGGGCAGACGAGGATTTCTGTCGTGGTAGGCATGATGGTTTCGGTGAGTCGGTGTGCGGTTCCGTAAGGCGGGTCGTGGGTTTCTGGATGTTTGAGATTTGTTCTGACTTTCTGTCTTGTTTGTTGAGTTTTAGGGTATTATCGTCGGACTTCCTGACTCGAGATTTGAGGAAGTCAATTGGTATAGGCTTATACGGCTTTGTTTTGTTGACTTGTCGCTTTGGGGCAACTTCGCGAGCACTTATAAGAGTGTCAGAGACGAGGAGACCAGAGTTCCGCTGGCGGTTTGACCGGTCTTGATCAGCTTAGAAATCGAACTCTGCTTGCGTCGGGACAAGTAGGGATCACAACGAGCAGGATTCGTATGTGATGGAAGATGACGTGAAACGGGCTTCGGGTGAGTCTTTGACAAGCAGAGGCTGTTTTAGGCGGGAAGGTTGGGTGGTGGGAAGAGGAATGGTAAGATAGTGGTGGCCTGGACAGCAATTACCTCGCTCGTGAGGAGCTCTGGAGAGCTTGAAGCTCTCAAAACAGCCACTGCACAGCGATCACTGCTCGTCACCTGGACGTAGGTAGCAGTAGTGCCCCGCCGAGCAGTGAGCAACTCCCATTTGCAGCGTTTTCCGTGAGAGCTACGAGGCACTCACACTTCGCGCGGTGCAGTGTAGCCGGCATCATTGCGTTGCACAGCGAGCAAGCTGTTGACATCATGGAGGCAATGGAGAACGAACTGGCTCGTCCAAGTCTTGCTCACGCCTCGACCTGATCTCACATCTTCTGAACCAGGCTTTCGAACCAGCAGAACGCAGACGACAAGGACCTGCCTCCGTACCTGGTCCTGGACGTGATCTAAGTTAGAGCTCCTCGTAAACAGCAAGCACCGCTCGACGTCACGAAAGCGAGTCTCGCCCGACATCGGAGCATGCTGTCCAAGCTCCTCGCGCTCTCGCTGCCGCTCGTCATCCACGTCGCCATGTCCACAGACACGACAGACACGCGTGCAGCACTGCTCAAGGCCTCAACGCCGCCATCAAAGGACTTCTTCAACACCCTCGTCACCGCCAACCGCATCCTCGCCCACCACAATGTCGTTGACGCCTACGGCCACATCTCCGCCCGCAATCCGCAAAATCCACAAACGTTCTTCCTTTCCCGCTCCCTAGCTCCAGCCCTCGTATCCCGCGACGACATCCAAGAATACTATGTCTCAGACGCATCACCTGTCAAAAAGGGGGACGACGTGCCCAAAGGTTTCCTAGAACGCTACATCCACTCCGAAACCTACAAAGCCTACAAAGACGTGAACAGTGTCGTCCACGCACACAATGAGGCCGTGCTACCATTCAGTCTGGGAAGCATACCGCTCAAAGCCGTCTACCACATGGGCGGCGTGATGGGTCCTCAAGTTCCAGTCTTCGACATTGCGAACCATTATAAACCTTCCGATGAATACCACTCGATGCTCATCACTAACGAACATTTGGGCGCAGGCCTCGCAGGAGGTTTTAATCCGACAGGTCCGATCTCGAAAGTCGGCGGAATGATTAAGAGCTACGTGACAGGTTCGGAATCTACACCAGTTGCGTTTCCTTCTTGTCCCGTGGTGCTTATGCGCGGACACGGTTTTACAAATGTGGGCAGTACGATTGAAGAGGCTGTTTATCGGGCTATTTACACGTGTAAGAATGCGCAGATTCAGACGACGAGTCTGTCGTTGCAGATGAGTTTCAATTTGAGGGGTATTGCGAATGAGTTCGGAAAGAAAGAGCATACGCAAGGCGCGAAGCAAGAGGATATTAAGTATCTAAGTGATAGGGAGGTACGGGATAGCTGGGCGCAGATTCGAGGAACTGCGGAGAGGGCTTGGGAATTGTGGAGTGAAGAGGTAGGTCGGTCGCCGCTGTATGATGATCCTACAGCAGAGGAGTGAGAGCGCGTGCCGAGCGGACGAGACGTGGTGAGCAATGACCGTAACTCCTTGCATGATCGCGATGTGGCAGTAACGACTATCATGGATCATGATAATACAACAATGGAACAACAGTACATGATTCGAGATTAACAATTGCTCAGACTGGAATCATATCCCATCTTCAAGTGGTCAACAGATGAAACAGCAGTCCTCTCGTGACTGCTATTCATTCCACGGAAGGTTGGCGAGATTGCATAGACGCGTGGAGGCGTAAGTTGTTTTCATTCCATTCCGCTTGGCGCGTCAAGAGACTTCACCTTTCGTCCTCGTGCGAGATCGTTGCTCAGTACAACGCAGGCATCCTAACTACAGTCTCTCTTTTGGTATCGAACGAGCCCGCCCACTTTACGACGAAGACGCAGAGGACAAGATGCGTCTCACTGGCGCTCTCCTCGCACTGCCAGCCCTTGCGCTGGCGCAAGTCAGCACCATCACAGTATACCCAAGCTCATGCAGAGCAACATACACGACAGTATACACATACACTGGCACTTCAAGCGGGACGCGGATCTCAACGACTGTACAATCGACAGTTACAGTTGTTCCCACACCATTTACCGACGACACAATCAACCAAGGCACCCCCTTCTTGGTAGAGATTCAACCTGCGAGCTACGCAAGGAAGAACAGACGACAAGCTCAGCCCGCCCGGTCTTTTTTAGACATTAACGGATACCTCACATCCGAAGCCAGTGAGGCAGTTCAATATGTCATCAATAACGGACAACTTCTCGTCTCATCTGGAGGCCAAGGACAGGTCACAGCCGAAACGACCGATCTGAGCGTGCCATTCGCGGCTTCTACGACTCTGAAGACTATTCGCACGACGTTCTACTCAGGCAGTCTAAGGCTGGGCTGGAACAACACTGCCTTTGAGAGCGGCGCTGCGGAATTCTACCAGACACAGGAAGGAAGCAGGACGCGAATCGTCGTTCGTCTCAATGGCGCGGTTGACCCATCCTGGACAGCGGTGAACTTCAATCTGCAGCCCACAGCTAATGCTGTGCAATCTTCGACCAGCGCTGCAGTACCATCGTCGACTTCGACTGCTGCTGGAAATGAAACTAGCCTCTCCATCCTGCCAATCTCGACATCTACTACTAGCAGTGCTTCCGGTAGCTTTCCTACACTGCCTACCTACCCAAACACGACAGTCGGTTCTAGCAGTGCGGCAGCTACGCCATCGGGCAACGTCGACCCCAGCGGAGCTTGTGGTGCTGGAACAGCAGGCAGCAACTGCTTCGGCGCACCAGATGGAAGCTGTTGCAGCCAGTACGGCTTCTGTGGCTCCGGACCAGCCTACTGTGGTGCTGGATGTCAGCCAGGCTACGGAACCTGTGATCCAGTAGCTAGCAGCTCAAGTGCTGCACAGCCACCTGTTTATGGGTCGTCGAGTGCTGCGTTGCCACCAACCTACGACTCCTCGAGCGCTGCAGTGCCTCCGACATATGAATCTTCTACTGCTGAGCTTCCACCACCAGGCTACTCACAGCCTGCACCCTCGCTTGAGTTCACAACTTCTGGCAGCGAGAGCGTTACTGCCACCAGTTCGAGCGTTACTGAGATTACCAGCAGCGAAGCAACCAGCACGCAAGAAACTTACAGCGGACCTGTTGGCACTCCAATCGTGCCGTCTCAGTACCCAACAGTTGAATCAGAGCCTCCGGTGTATACTCCTACCTTCGAAACTTCGTCTCCAGGCGCGAGTGAGACAGCTTCAAGCTTGCCACCTATTTACTCCTCTCTCGCTAGTAGCTATGCTTCGAGCGAGTCGTCGAGTGCTTCGTCTGCACTTTCGAGCATTTCATCGGTACTCTCTAGTGCTTCTTCGAGCGCCTCTGTGCTTTCCTCTGAAAGCAGCGCTGCGTCGAGCATCTCTTCTTCGCTTTCGAGTGCATCTTCTGCTGCTCAGCCTCCACAGTATCCAACTCCTACTGGCGGGCCGTCTTCTTCGCTCTCTTCTACGAGCAGTGCTACGTCGAGCATCTCTTCTGTGATCTCATCCGTCAGCAGCGCTATATCCAGTGTCGCTTCGAGCTACTCGAGTGCAGTCTCAAGCTACTCAAGTGCGGCATCTTCTGTGGTCTCGTCAGCCAGCAGCGACGTATCAAGCGTCGGCTCCAGCTACTCAAGCGCAGCATCGTCCGCCTCAAGTGCCGCAACAGCACCACCAGCATACACTACTCCAGCTTCAGAAGAAGAAGCAGGAAGTTACAGCGCCGCCTCCTTTGACGAAGAATCACCCTCCCAAGCTTCCAGCTGTGCTGCAACCGCCGTGCCCAACCCTCAATTCTACGCCTCTGCCACAGCTCCCCGTGCCTCCTCCTGGCTCGTCCTTCCCACCCCAACACCCTGTGACTTCGGCTCCCCCAACGGCTGGCCAATCGATGATTCCTACTGCAACATCGACGTCCCCCAAGGCCTCCAGGTCTACGGCTCAAGCTTCACCACCGCCTTCGCCTCCACAAACGGCATCGTGACCTTCGGCGAAGGAACGACCCAATTCCAAAACCTCCAACTCCCAGCAGCCAACGTCCCAGCTTATGCCGTCGTACCTTTCTGGGATGACACTGCCATGTTCGGCAACGAGACGATCACTCAGGGAATCTTCTACCAAAACGACACCACGGGTGTGACGTTTGAGTTCTATCTCTCACGACCACAGGATACGAGTCTGATATTCCATTATACGATCAGCTATGCCTTCTCCAACCCGGGAGTGTTTGTTTACAGTTACTTTGATGCGGATTCTGCGCATAATGATGACGGGAGCTTTTCTACTGTGGGTATGCAAGGTGGTAAGTTTTCCCCCAAAACACATCTATCTGAGATGCATAACACAGGTGGTGTTTCTTGTGCTAATCATTTGACGCAGAGGACGCGAGTGGTGATGCCACGGCATTCATGTTCTCGTACCGGACGAGGTCAGTGTATCCTGGTTTGGTCCTGACTTGTGATACGAATTCGAACATTTGCACGCAGTGTACGCAGGAGATTTGAAGCAAGTGGGGGACTGGCAAAGAAGAAACATATGGGCTAGTAAGGACGGTGAAATCTGTATCGTTCGATTGCATAGCAAATAGAGTTGCGACATGCATTGGGAATTCCAGGAAGTGATTAGGCATTGGTCACAGCATCTTTATAGCAACAGTACTTAGTTGCCACGCAGACGGAAAATATGCTTAGTATGAATTATGATATCTGCTTTCTTCCCATCCAATCTACTTCTAGCTCCCATCGCCACCCATCAGATACTCCACCTCTTCCAACCACCTCAACTCCACCGCCGAAACCTTTCTCGCCCAAGGCTTCGTCGTAAACGTAAAATCGTTAAACATAATCGCCTCTCTCTTCACCCCATACAAAACTGAAGAAGGATGAATCGCAACTTGCTGCTGCTTCCCTCCAAAAGTCTTATACGACTTATCCGGACACAACCTCGCCACATTCCCGCTGAAACCTCTCAAGAAACACTTCAGTACAGCGTCCTGACATTCTTCGGAGACGGTTTGCCGGATAGTAGGTTTTTCCAGCAGAGATTTTGTGAGAACACGAAGTTGCTTCCGCACCTCCATGACATTTTGCATAGCACGGTGAGAAATCATATGGTCTGTCGCCCAGCGTTTCCGATCCGAGTTCTCGTCTGCGTAGGTACGAATGGCGTTTAAGAGTGTAATATGGTCTCCTCGACGAGAGAAGAGTTGAGAGCGGGCTTCCATGGCTTTTTCACGGGCTTCTTCTGTTTCGGCTGGGAGCCAGATACTTTCTACATCGAGACCGGCGACGACGTCGATGACTTCGAGCAGGCAGTCTCGTTCTGGTTTGGCGGATTCGAGGATTACGCGGCCGAGAGGTGGTGGGAGTGGTAGGCGAGCGACTTTACGTCCGATTTCTGTGATTTTGCCGGCGTCGTTGATGCAGCCGAGTTGGTGGAGTTGCATGAGCGAGCGGCCCATGGCTTCTTGGGATGGTGGTGTGAGGAACGGGAAGCCGAAGACATCCTCGATTCCTCTGGCTTTCATTTTGAGGACGGCGCCTGTGAGATCGCAGTGTAGGATTTCTGGCTTGGTTTGTTGTTCTAGCGACTTGTACTCCGCTTCTGTGAACAGTCTGAAGCACTGTCCAGGCGCTTCTCTGCCAGCACGACCTTTTCGCTGGTCTGCTGATGATCGCGAGATGGGCTTGATCAGCAAGGATTCAATACCGAGACGTGGCCGGAATTGTTTGATTTTCGCCTTGCCTGTGTCTATCACAAATCGCACGCCAGGTACTGTGACAGAAGTCTCGGCGATATTGGTCGAAAGAATGACCTTCCTTGTATTCGGTGGCGCTCGTTCGAATATTCGTTGCTGTGCGTGCTGAGGCAAGGCTGCGTAGAGCGGAAGCACGAGCATCTTCGGAAAGTCGGTTGTCAGACTCGATGCAAACTCCTCGACTAGTCTCTGCAGGCCAGTAATCGCTTCTTGTCCTGTTAGGAAGACCAGAATGTCTCCAGGCATGGGCTCCTTGCAGTGTATTTGGAATATTTGTTGGAGTGCTGCGTCTATAACGTCCTCAGTCGGTCCGCTCGCGTAATGCAGTTTTACGGGGTACTGTCGTCCTTCCACATGACATCGCGCGATTCGATCAGGTAAGACATTGTTCTCCTGTTGAGGCTCGGCATCTTCAAACCCTTCGAATGAGTCCTCTGCACCTTCTCCTCCCCTGGTTTCAGCGTCTTTTTCCTGGTCACTTTCATCTTTCCCGCAGACTTCATCGTCTCCCCTCGCGAAAAACTCGCCCAAACTCTCCACATCAGCCGTAGCACTCATAACCACCACCTTCAAAATCTTCCCCTTCTCCCTCCTCTCCCTCACCAACTGTTTCAGAAATCCCAAAATCAGATCCACGTCCACCGACCTCTCATGCACCTCATCAACAACCACACAACTATACTGCCCCAACTTCGGCTCCCGCAACAATTCCTGCAACAGCATTCCTTCCGTGAGATACTTAATCCTCGTCCCAGGACTAGTATTATCATCAAACCTCACACTATACCCAACCTTACTCGCCGGACTCGCAGACCCCAACGGCGAACCCATCTCCTCCGCAACACGTCTAGCCAGAGTAATAGCCGCCACTCGACGCGGTTGCGTCACGGCGATTTTTCCAGTACACCATTTCGCCTCGAGCAAGAATTGCGGTACTTGAGTAGATTTTCCGCTTCCGGTCTCTCCAGTCAAGATCAGAATATCTTTCTCGCCTGATAATGATTCGCGGATTTCTTCTGCTCGGGGCCAGATGGGAAGTGCTGTTCGGCCTTGGAGAAGTTTTTGCTTCTTGGCTTTGTACGGGTCGTGTGCTTCTTCGCGCTTTCGCTTTTTCGGTCTTTTAGTCTGTGCTTCTATTGAGCCATCCAGGTTCTTGAAGCGGGACATTTGTCTTGTCTGACAATTTTTATGGTTGTGGTTGTGGTAGAGTTTTGGTGAGAAGAAAGTGAGATGTGCTCGGCTAGATTGCCGAATTATCAGATGGGGGTGTCGAGAAAGTGAGATTCATTGGCTGCCCAGAAGCGGAAGCTAGCTCGCGTTCACGGCACGGTGCTGTCGCGCATGAACTGTCAATCATGTGAGAGCTAGCGTGGATTCGACGAAAGGATTTGAGGAGACACAGATGAAGTCCTTCAGTGCGACCTGCCAAATGTGCCTCCACCTTGTTCGCAGACGGCAACGACAGGAAAACTTCCACTGAGACTCAGAATTCAAGCATGGCCATTCGCACCTGCCTGAACAAGGAGAAATTTACAGACGCTGGAATCGAAGATGTGTGATGAAGTAACGACAGTTCATCTGCAATGGACGCGAAAAACTATCTATGCATGCTACTATACTCATAACACTTGCGAGAACAGCCCAAGTCAACTCAAGCCGCTCGCACATCTCAAGAGCCAAAACCGAAGCACGGAACGCCGCAGAAACTGTGTACGCTCCGAATAATCAATGATTTCGCCCCAGTCATGCGCCTCGTTCATCTTTCACTTCCAGGTTCGTAATGATCGCAACGTAACAGACAGAAAAGGAGTTTGTCGGCGGGTACAGTTGCATGAATGATCGTTTTTCTTTCCAAAAAGGCCCTCCACCACCACCACTACCACCATCATCCGCCTTCCCGTCGAGTCATTGAACAATCATATGCGATAATAAGCAAAGGGAAAACGCTTCGAACTTCCTGCCTGCTTTGCCTGGAAACAAAGGTTGTGAACGCCCCATCCTCGTATCATCCCGCCCCTCGATCCAGAGGGCAAGCAGCACCATCGCCCCATGGCCAACTGGCCAGCCTGAACTTTGTACACGCAAACGCACCATCACATGTCGTTGACGCCCTTCCAATGGAACGCCTGGACGATCAATTCCGCCGAGAATTGCCAAATTCCGTCTCGGTCACCTTCCGCTCTTTCTTTTCCTTTATCGCAAACTGGGTCATCAATGGAAGATGGTCGCTGGGGAAGTAATGGTTCGGGAATCCAGGAACACGCTTCATGTAGTCTTTGTCGACCTCCCCAAGTAGTCCCGTGACTTGCATCGATTGTGTCGAGTAGAACTGCCAGTCGATGACTTGTCGGAAATCAGGCGTGTAGTTTGTGAACTTCATTTCGCCAATGTGGCTGTAGGCTGACTTGAGGCTGAAGGGGTGGCTCATGCCATTCCTCGTGAAGTCTCCGTAGCTGTACTTGCCGAGCTCTTCGTAAGAGTTCGAAAGTGAGCCTTGCGTGATGAGATCGTAGACACCTGACTTCGAGGTCGAGTTGAAATCACCACAAATAATGAGTGGAATGTGTGTGGACTCGTCGTATTTGAGGGAAGGACCCGGTCTGATTGGGACATTTGCAGTACCGTCTGCATTGTCCTCGCTGCCGAATTCGAACATCTTCTTCTCCGCGTCCTTGAGTGCTGGCCACTTGGCATACTTCTCTGACAACTTCTGAATGTGTTCCATAAGAATGGCAACCTGAATGATCTTGATGTCGCTGTGCCATGGCTCCCAGGTCAAATGCGTATTTGCAACGATTAGTCTCGAACCAGTCTCCCGATTTTCCAGGAACAAGACTATCGCAACATGGTCTCGCGGCATGATTCGGTTGTAGACATCGTGCTCGCCCTTCATGTCCGGACGCCTGATCGCCTCTTGACTAAAGACAAGGAACTGCTTGTCGAGCACGATGTACTTTGAGTTCTTCCAGAAAATAGCACAACCGTCGACGTTTTTAGACTCCTCGTCGCGCATTGTCTGCGCTCGCGACTTGGGGAAGAAGACTCCCTTATAGTCGGTATGCGACAAGTTAGGTCGAAAGAACTCGGCAAAGTTTTCCACGTCCATCTCTTGCAAGCACATGATGTCGGCTGCTCTTCCCTTCATCTCGTCGAGTATCATATCTCGTCGTCGTTGCCAGCTAAGCGCTTCGGAGGGTGTGTAACCGTACATTGTTGCGGATGCCGCGCGATCGCAGAGAATGTTCCAAGACAGCAGTGTAAAAGAATCGGCGAAGTCGGTTGACTCTTCGACGAGTGGAATCCATGCTCGATCGACCGGTGGCTCGGGAGCTGCGGATAGTTAGTCAAAGTGGAATTTACAAGTTGCGCGCGATACTTACTAGGCGCCTGCTCACGAATGTAACGGATCAGCTCTTGGGTACCGTGCTCCACGAGTCGATCCTTGTAATCGTGTCGCATCGGATTGCCCTCCAGACCGAGCATTTCCAGCTGGTACAGCGTGCCAAACTCGTGTGGAAGGTCATCCAAATTGTTATCGTACAGCAAGAGTTTCTTGAGGTTCGTGAGCATGCCGATCTCTGGGGGCAGGAAGCTGAGGTTGTTCCAGCTAAGGTCTAGGATCGTGAGGAATCGCAGAGTTCCGATTTGAGGCGGGATCGTTGTTAGCTTGTTCCATGGCAGATACAGCTTCTTCAGCTTCGGGTACCGCTCGAGCACAATGGTCGATATGACCTTGAGCCCGTGCCCAGAAAAGTCGAGATCGCCCCATGGGCCCATGAAATCGTCCTCGTCGATTATCCGCTTCCTCTCACCATGCTCCTCGCTGTCGTTCTTGTTCGCAGCATTGTTCGACGATCGACCCGTGAGTCTCGTAACACCAGGAGCATTTCGAGCGTAATAATGCACCTTCGGATCCGCCATCTTCATCGTCGAGTATTCCCTCAATTGCTCAGCCCAATGCTCGTTGTGAGGCTTGCCGAGGGAATTCTCAGGTGTGCCGTTCTGAAGGTGCGCAGGTGTGAAATGTGGCGTCGTGTTGGAAAGCGTGCTCGTGGATATCGAGTGCTGGTGATTGCCGAAGGTATTCGCGTGTCCGCCCATGCCATGATCATGGTGCTGATTGTTCATATGGTGCTGATTCGCGCCGTGCATAGAGCTCTGAAACGCCTTACCCAGCGCCGTCTGCTGCGGCTGGAAGTTCTGATGTGCAGCGCCATTGAGAAGGGTGTGGTTTGGTCGGTGGGTGCCGTGATTGTACATGCTGCTATAGGGATTGTGCGCCGGCGAATTGGTGCCGGGCGATCGGTTCGGAGAGGGGGTATCTGCGTTCGGGTGGAAGATGCGGGCGCCGTTGGTGTTGACAGGCGAGCCGTTGCGCAGCTGCTGCCCACGCGTGTGCGAGTTATGATTCTGGTAGAGATACTGGTGGCCGGGATTGAACCGGTTGAAACCATCGGCCATCACCAGCGGGCGACAGACGGAGGGGGGCGACGTGAGCTCGCGCGCGACGTCCTCTGCACGGCCCAATGCTGCTGCGGCGCGGTTGGGCGGTGTATCGAGGTCTGATCAGGGAGGAGGAGGATCTGGCCGGCGCACTTTTCGTTTCTTCTGCATGAGCGCCCGCGCCCGCCAACATGAACGAAAGAAAGTAGCCTCCGCGACCGACGAGCAGGCGTGCGCTGGGCTCGAGCTGATGCTCACAACGGAGGAGAGTTCGTTCGTCGGCGAGGTGAAGGCGTGACGAGATGTGGTCCGAGGTTCGAGTCGGGGCTCGTCGTGCGCTGCCCAATGGATATGCCGGCGGTAATCTGTGCCCAAGTATCAGAATGTGGCGTGGCAATGCGTGAATGGGCAGCCGCAGTTGCGATGAGCACGATGGTCTTGGTGGTGCTCCGGCGGCAGTGAGCTGTGCTTTGCGTGGAGGTACGTTGTCGCAAAAGCCGCTAGGCTTGTTCGGGGGAGCGCGCACGTGACTTGGCTGTTTGGTACCGCCAGGCGTATTCACTTCCACTCTCCAGGTCGATGACGAACCGCGTGAGTTATCAGCCAACTCTGCAGCATCGGTGGGCTGGACACATTCGCATTGTCTGGTACGGGTGCCACACGCACGCAGCACGCAGCACACCGCGAACTGCATTTCACCACAATCGGCAATCTCGTACCCGTGCCTACAACTGCTGCCACTAGCGATGTCCCCGAGTCAGTGGCATCGCAGCAAAGTACACCTCAGCTGTTGGACATATGCACTCCTCCTACCTGGCGTCTGTCGCCAGCTCTGCGGCCCATCTGCCGCATAGTATGTCCCAACCTTCGGAGCTTGGGGCGAGCAGCGGCGCCAAGGCACGACGCCAGCTGTACCTGATGCTCGCCCTGAGACAAGCATCTCGCCGCTGATGCGCGCACTTCCCGCATCCTCCGGCACGACAAACCTGCATCGCATCGCCGGGCTTGGGCGCTTCTCAGCAAGACATTCGGCGGCCACTGATGGGCTGTGGTTCAGGTCTCGCTTGTGACTCCCGACATGAGGCTCCACTGCTGACTTCTAGGCCGTCGTCCGCCATCTAGCGGCAATCCGATGGGCCTCCGATGGCTCGTCGCGGAGCCGTACCGTGAAACGAACTCCAGTGCGCCACCGCCAGTGTGAGGCGCCTGCCTCGCGATGGGCAGTTTGGAGACAGTGTGTGCGCGCTGCCCATGCGTCCGCTCTGGCCTCGTGTCATCGTTGTCACCGCCCAACAATTCCAAAGAGTGCTCGACATATAGCCTTCTGTTTCTGGTCATTGCCAGACTGCCCCCACTGCTTTTGGTTCCAAATCTGCTAATCGTCCGCCGCAATCGCGCGTGTGATTCGCCAGGTCGAGGCCTTAGAGTTGTCGACATTTGAGGAACCGCCCTGCATCAATCTGCAGCAACGGCGCCGCTCCTCTAGCGTGGGTCACGCTAGGAAAACGTGGACTCGGCGAGAGTACTGAGAGGGATTACATCGGTTGCGACGCCATCTAGGATGAGTAGCGAGGAAGCTATCTATTATGCTTCCTGCGCACCTTATCGTTCTGCAGGTCAGCATGCATCACAACTCCATCTACAACGAAGCTTGTCAAAAAGAACACAGCGCTCGTCTCTGGGATCTTTCAAGCTCGTGCGCAAGAGCACATCATCAGCCTCGCTCATGAGCCTCATCGGCCGCCTGCCGAACGACTACCGGCATACGGAACTGCAGGTCCAGCAATCGAACTATTCATCCTCATCACAAGACATTCGAGACATGGAAGCCACAATAGCGCGATCGCACCTGGCTGGTGTCAGCAGTCTGTCGCTGATGGACATGAGAGCCGTCCACAGTGCAGATTCGCTGCAACGCGCGACGTCAAGCACATTGACACGCTCGACATCAGAATCCAGCGAGACCAGGTTACTCAAGGATCCTTTCGAGTTGCGACATGGGCGAAGATGTTTACGGAGTGAGGTGCCATATCCATTGCCCTGCGATCTCGAAGAGCTTCACAGACAGAGTCTGAGAACTCTGCTGGACTTTCAAACATTTGGGGGTCCCATATGCAATGCTATGCAACGACAGAAACCTCCCAAGAAAGTCCTAGAACTTGGTTGCGGCGGCGCACTGTGGACCGCAATGTGTCACGACTGGTACGCCGCTCGCGGGCACACCGACATTCAATTCGTCGGTCTGGATGTGGCACCTCTCCCACCAAACCTCCGGAGGCAGGGTATCAAATGGAAGTTCGTTCAACATGACATGCGCCGCGTGCCGTTGCCATTCGCGGACAATGAATTCGACCTGATCATGATCAAAGACTGCAGCACAACAATGCCTCTGGATCCCAGATCGGAAAAGATACTTATAGACCTAGTTCGCGTACTCAAGCCTGGTGGCTACATGGAAATCTGGGAATCAGATTTCATAACCAGATCTCTTCTCAACAATACACCTCCTCCAAGATGTCGAGTACCTGAACACCAGCAAGACGCGGACCGCAGCGGCACATTCGCCGTACCGATTGGATCCCCCTTCGCACAAACACAGAACAAATATTTCCAGAAAGCAAACAAATGGATGGAAGAGATCTTCGAGAAACGGAAATTGAACCCAGCTCCTTCCACCCGTATAGCCGAAATGCTCATGAGCGAACCTGGTTTCCACGACGTCAACTACCGCCGCGTGGCCATTCCATTTCGAGAACTCCCTTGGGAGAAAGAACGCGCCCGCGCTGCAAGGAACGGACATGATTCTCCATTGTCAGTGAACTCCGCGGACGACACTCATGGCCTCGAATCTCATTCCAAGCTCACTCCGGACCAGTTGGCTCTCAGACACTCGGCTTTAATCACAGTTCTCGGAATGATCGAGGCGCTGGAACCCGAATTAAAAACTGCCAGCAGGATGAACGCCGAAGAATGGAGCATCTGGTGGGCCTGCATGATGACAGACCTGCTGGATCCTTCGAACGACAGTCTTTCCGGCGAGTGTCTTGAAATGGGAGCCTGGTGGGCCACGAAAGCCGGCGATGCTGACGACTCGGACTTCTTCGAGGATTCGGAAGAGGATAAAGGTCCTACTTCATTCTTGGATTTGTGACACGATCACACCATGTTCATGCGCCACCATATTGTTTCCCTTGCTTCAGCGCGCGGTAGCGTTTGAGGTAATATCTGTTATGCAAGCGAAAAATGTTAGAGATATGGGGGGAAAGAAGCATCGTTATCAGGTGTAATGGCTCATTTGGGCAGGAAAGAAAGAATCTCTCCTTTGTTTTGCGAATCGCAAATGCATATGCTTGGGAATGCAGGGAAAGGGAAGGAAAAGGGAAAGTACATGATACCACACAGATGCTTCAAAGATGAGCAACTGGCAGCAGGAAGGACTGCAGATACCAAAACCTCCCATGGAAGAGGAAACGGGACCAGAGCGAAAGACTTACAGAGCTTCGATCTCTGCGAAACGAATTAGCATCTTTAGCGTCAAGCATCATTATTGAACGGCCGTTGCAAGTAGACGAAATGATACACCGATCTGAGTTCAGATCTAGGAATGGGAGATGGATAATTACCTTTTTTGACATATTCTGCTTGAGCTATGCCTTTTCGAATTTGATCTTCGTCTGAGAGGGACGCCTTGGACATGAAGGCTTTGTGGAGGCGAGGTCGGAAGTAGGAGTAGCCTAATGGGTATTCGCGTCCGAGATAGAGGAGTTCTGAGACTATCAGTCAGAACCATACATTCGAAGGGTTGTGGTTGAGCTGCGCTGTGATTCTTGGACCTGCCTTTGTATATCCGAATGACATCGTGGCGGAGAGCAGTCGATGCCATTGTCGTCTGGAAAACGCTGGTATCTCGAAACCTGGTGTATAGAGAAAAGGAGTGCGTCCGACAATCTGAAGTCTTGTGTGTAGCATCAATGGACTGCGAACTGCTTGTTTGCAAGAACATGTATATACCGAAGCTATTGTCGATGACGAACCACGGAACGCATCGAATGTGGAGAGAGGATGTTCTCCACAAACCACTCTGTGCCACGAGTCTTCCAGCCGTGGTTTTCGGCTCAGTGTCCGCGGCTTCGGGTCATTCGCAACGCCAAAGTTACCAAGGCACTCACTCTCGAGACCACCCACGTCTTCTTGCCATTGCGCGCGCTCGCATCGTCGCGCAGACGCATTGATACTCGCGATGCGTGCAGAAGGCCTCACAGCACTGAGCCGCGCGAAATTGCTATCCAAAGCGCCCGTACTGCCGCGCTGTGCAGCGAAGCAGCTCGGCCACCAACGAAGGCACCGCTCGACCGCGACGCCAGACTCCAAACTCGCAGAGCTCAGTCCTCGATGGCTATCAGACGTAAAGCAGAGATTGGGATACTGTATCACGTGGGGTCTGAAGCCTGATCAAACGCAAGAAGCTGGGAAGATACTACAAGAGATCGCCCGCGACTGGCGGGACTTGCTCGCCGGACGTGAAGGCTTTCTCACGAGTAAGCAGAGGCGGAGCACCTTTCGACAACAAGTCGTGTGGGGTGAGCAGGACTCCATGGTAAGCGGCACAAACCAATTGCTAGAATCATCATTAGCATGCTATCTTTCAACGCATGCCATTGTAGAGATGTAGGCTAAGGTATGTTTTTCTTCTATCAAGGGCCATGTCAACAATGTGGTATACAACCGATACGCTGAGACAGGGAGAGTGGACTGGTTTTTGAAATTGGCCCGCGTGGACCCATTCAATGCTGAAGCCTGGAGGACGATTCTGACGCCAAAGGACCTCGGTCTGCTGTTGAAAAGCATTCGAACCGACTTCAAGTTTGTGAGTGTAGTAATCCTGCGACTAGCTCTGTCATCGTTTCCGCTGACAGCCGGTCCAGCCTATGAAATATCCCGATCACGTTTCAATATATCATAAGCTCGGCACGGAGCCAGTCGAAGGGACCGACTCGTTCATCATGGATGTGATGATTCTGTCGGAAGTGCATCAGCGACCGGCGGCGAGGTGCGTGGAAGACTGTGTGCTGTACGACTATAGGGTGGCCAAAAAGACGCCTCTGCGTCCCTTTATGCTTGATGTTCTACGGGAGACGTGGAAGCTGCAGGAGGAGACCAAGCGGATCAATAGCCAGCGAGTTGTGGCGCTTCTGGACAGGGTGCGTAAGCTTGAGAAGGACTCGTGGGACCGAGAAGGTGCTGTGGAAGATCTGGGTAGTGCGAGCAGCTGAGCGTCCCGATGGTAAGCTTCCTACTGCGTAATCGCAGGTGGCGATTGTGCTGCTGCTGGCCGCGACCATACAGAGCAGCTGGTCGATAGATGAGATGTTTTGTTTGAAACAGCGACCAACGCACAGTGTTCGGCACACTTGCTGCAGACAGGCGAGAGTTTGATCTCCCGGCTGCCAATTACAGCAGGTCGCAGCACGCCTTGCTCTCTGGAAGCAGCAGAGCAAGCTCGATCAAGCCTCAAGCTCCAGATCCTTCGTGGAGGATCGAAACACAGCGCATTAGTCGCAGTACCTGCTAGAGGTACTGTAGTGCAGTATGCTATACGTAGTTTGCTCGGTGGCTGCACAACAAATGATGAGCCCTGCTTTAGCCGGCAGATGAATGGAGGCATACCATGCACATCTCAGTGCTGTGGATATGCTCTCTCCACGCGCCAACGCCTGAGCGATCGACCATTGGCGGTGACTCACGCCGAAAGTGCGCGCGGTGACGTTTGGGGCCCAAGAACAAGGCCGCACTGCTTGACACACACCAAGCAAAGCGCCTAGAGAGTCGCCGGAGGTGGAGTACAGGGCGAAAAGTGCTGGCGCAATGCAGAGTCTGCTGCAGCTCGTGTGCGTGCTGTCAGCCCACAGCCAATCCTGCTGGTGGTAGACCGCGGTGCCCCCCGCCTGTCGCTGTTGGAGCCTTGCCTAAGGCGTGCAAAGTGATCTGCGGCTTGGAGCGAGCTAGCAAGTCAAAGAATGCCATCACTGGCCATGATTGTCCCGATGCCGCACCGCGTCCGGTGTGAGAGCTTGCGATGCCGATGGGTGCTCGCTTTTTTCTGCCCTAGCGGCGGCGGCGGTGGCGCGGTGGTGGGCGTGACGGCGGACGGTGGACGAGAAGTAGACGGCGATGATGCTCGCCGCCGGTCCATAGAATTGCGGTGGTGCCGGCTCGCAGGCCGTTTTCGAGGCCTTGCCTGTTATGATGAAGTTGCGGCAGTAGCCTTCCAGACCTGGGTCCTGCCTGCTACGCTCAGCACTGACGGCCTGCTGAAGTCTGTCTCCGTTCTCTTGGTTCTCGCACATCCAACCCATCCACCGCGCCCTCTATTCCTACACCACCACACCCTTCTGGAATCCCGCTCCCTCGTCTGGCTCGCCGTCCATTTGTGACGAGCCAGTAGAGGGCACCTTTTGGATCGGGCCGCCGCGCAATTTCATGCCTCCAAAGGCAAGCAAGTCGAGAAACGCATCCAACCGAGACACCCACGACAAAGGCCTCGCCCCGCCCGGCAAGCGTCTGCCACGCCAGCGATCCACCGGCCAGCTGAACGCCCAGTCAAATGGCAAGTCGACGTCCGCTGCTCCGCCTCCGCCCCTTCCCTCGACGGGTTTAAACCAAGGCTTCAAATTTCCACGACCGCAAGACACTTCGACAGCGCACTGTGCCTCTGCTGCTGCCGCCAAGGAACATGTGGCCGCGACGGAGGGCACGCAAAGAGACAGGACCCCATCAGACGGATCGCTAGACGACACCGTGCCCAGCGAAGAGATGGTGGACAACGCGCCGGAGGCAGTGACTCCGCTGCTCGAAGTCCCGCACGCGCCAGCAGACAAAGCCTTGCTCCCTCGCAGTGCTGCCGCGCCGTGCTCTGTCTCGACCATTCTGCACTACTACCCGCTACGCGACGCCATCTCCATCCTCATCCTCTTACTCTCTCTGCCACCTACACTGGTCCTGGTCATCCAAGCTCTGTTTGCCTCGCTGACTTTTGTCCCGCCGACTGCTGGTATCTCGCTCTCGACGCTACCAAACATCAAGGAGTTGTTCCACTCGCCGAATTTTGGAACCCCGGCAATGATGACCGTTTTGTTCGTGGACTTCATCTTTGGCCTGGGCTGGTTAACCATCTATCAGCCTGCGCAAGCCATATTCTTGGATATGTCGCACGCAGTAATTGCAGTCTCTCTCAGCGGCGCAGCAGCAACTCCAGACGGGCCTACGTACACAATAGCCTTGTCTGCACTCTTGGTCTGCATCGTCCACGTGCTCCGGTATAAAGCGATACATCTCACAACACTTGACTACATCCGCTCCGTCTACTACAGTAGATTTGGCGGCGGTATGAGTTATGAGCCTTTGTATTCTGCACAGCATTTTCATTCTTCACCGATACTGGATCGTGGAATTTTCTTCAATGCCATCCGAGCCTTTCTCGGTATACACATCGTTTCACAGGGCATCACGACGTATATTAGACGCACTCTCGCCAACGCCAAAGCTAGCGAAAAGGACCCTCTCATTCCTCAAATCACGAAAACCGACACCGAAGCAATCGCTGGAACGGAGGCCACCGGTCGTTCTAGCGCCAATGCAGCAGAAACATCACAGCCCTTGCATGCTATTTCTGCGACTGATGGCCGCCCTCCTGGCCTGCCTCCTGCGCAACGCGAAAACAAGGCGCGGGAGTCGAGCAGCAGGAAGAAGCGGAAGCAGGCCAACCAGATACGGAGCCAGCAACCGCTTTGGGCTGCTATTGCAAGTACCAAAGTCACTTTCGTCAAAGAGATGGAGCAGCGAGACGCGGCAGACGATGCGCGCGAAGCCTCTGTTATGACAAACAACTCAAGCAACACTTACATCAACGCTATCAACTCTACCACCGACCGAATCTGGATCTGCGAAGTCAGGGACACGGAGATTTTCTTCGCTGTAGACCTCACCGCGGATGCCGCAGCCGAAAATGTGGATGACAAGGATGGGTCGCACTCGATCCCTGCGGGAATCGATAGGTCCAAACCTTTTTTCATTCGCATCAATGGAGCGACCTGGACTTCGACCAGGATTGTGTCCAGCGAAGAAGACAACAGTCTGGCTGGCAACAGTTTCGTTGGCGAAATTTTTGGTCTGGCGCCTCTCAGCAGCTATCTTTGCGAAGTGGTGAGCATCGCCAAGCATTGTACACTATGCTCGGTGAGCTTGATCACTCAGCCTGCACCTTCCGCGGAACAGGCAGCTGCTGTACCACCTCCACCGCAACACTCAGCGCTGCGGCCCGCGTCTCCCATCACGACTCTCAAACAGTCCATCCAATCGGCTGAGGCCAAACTCAATGAGATTCGTAATCGTTCGAAGAAAGCCAAGAAGGACCAACGAGGAGCCCATGCTGACATCAAGAGGGAGATTCAAACTCTGAAAAACAAGCTCACCTCTTTTTCCGATATCGACGAAAGGCAGGAAAAGAGGCTGCAGCAGATCAGCCAGCACAAGAATCAAGCCGAGGAAGCCACCAAGGAGATCCGAGAACAGATCGAAGAGCTTGGAGACATCCCTGCCCAGGATGTGGCCGCTTCTAATGCGATGCGCCAGCGATGGCAATCTGCGCTGAATTCCATGAACTCGGCACAGGCGGAACTGGACAATGCCAAGGCTGACAAGGACCGGGACCTGAACACCATCAGGAGCGACATCAGTGCATCCGAAACTCGCAAAGAGAGGCTTGTCAGCAAGATGGCGCAGCGTGCTGCCGAGCTCGACAGGCTTCAGAACAAGCAGCAGGAACAGATGTCTGCCAAGCAAAAATTCGAGTTCGATCGGCTGCAGGCACTGAATGAGCGGGAGAATCGGGAGAACCAGTTGCGCTTTCTCATTGCCCAGATGGAGGAACAAATACAGGCGGAAAACAGTAAGGCTTTTTCCGCTTACCAGGAGTCCGCTGCGTTGTCCAACTTCGCTACGCACCCACCTCCGTATTCCTCACATACGCCGCCACTGCCTGTCGCCGCCAATGGTCCTTCCACAATGGGCCCACATCTGTTCGGCTCACCGTTCTCTGGCAACATGAACGGCTATGGCGCTCCGCGTGGTCGCAGCTCTTCGATGCTTAGTCAGTACTCCGGCTTCACCGACAACGGCGATGAGTTTCACTTCGCGCCAACAGGAGAGACTCAAGTTCGGCAACAACCTCACTCGCAGACCTGGCCGGTACAGCAAAACTCCACCGTCCTCGGTGCTATGGATGACCGCAAGGCCAGCGATGGCGATGGTTCCGGTTCTGCTTCTCGCTCTGGTTCCACGAGTGGTAGCACCAGCCAGAACGGTAGCGCAGCTCTCATGGATGGTCCGAGCATTCTGAATGGAGTCCTCTCCAACGGCTCGAATAGCCCTCGACCTGAAGCCAAGCCGTTCATCCCTTCTGGCCTGCATGTGCAACATAAGCCGAATCCTGGTGTTATCGGGCCACCGAGTAAGAAGACTCCGCCTCAGAGTCCGACTGAACAGACGGGTTCGAATGGTACATAGTGCTTGTTATCGTCGAATGTAAATGTGGTTTTCGTGTTGTGATCAAGACTCCACTTTTTGGTTGCCCTTCGTTTCAGTCTCGGTTGGCTTGTTCTAACCTTGGCGTGTCACGGTGTCGCTGACTTTGCTGTTGTTTGTGCTTGGCCTTGGACTTCCGGTGATGCCAAGGCCTTAGGGTTACGTGAGCAATAAGTGGTGGGACTGACGGTGACGACGTGGTCTTCGTCCTGAGAGGTCCGGTGGCAATATTATGGGATCCCAGTACGTATTTTACAATGCTTGTGTGTTTTGAGTCAAATCGGAGCACATCTAATGACGCTATGTGGGAATGTTCGAATTTGGGCGTTTGCTGAAAACTAGTGTAATGCAGAAGGTCGTGGAGACTGTGTGCGAGTTGCAGGCAGGACGGGCGTCTACAGCACAGAGGCATGACCAACGAAGGAGGAAAAGTGGCAGAAAAGTACGAAGAGCCCATCAAAGTCCAAGTTTCGCCGTTGGTCTACTACCTGTTGAGGCTGCCTCATCTCCTCCTCCCTACTCCACCACCTTCTCCACCCGCGTTCGCCCCACCCCTATCCTTCAAGCTCACCACTTCTCCAATACCCGCTTCTTCCTGTTCGTCTTCCAAAGCTTGGACCTCCTCTCTCACATCCCACCACTTCTGCTCTGCTCTTGAGAAAGCTTTCTGCCGGATCTCCTTCACAGATCTGTTCTCAACGTTGCGCATATACTTCATGGCTTCGAGCTCGATATCTTGCCATTCAGTTGACGAGCGAGAGAAGAACTCGCGCAAAGACTCAAAGGGGCGGGGCATAGGCGAAGTATCCTTTTCTGCAGTGGCAAAATCTTGCTCTTCGGGCTCATCGTTGATCGTCGCCGATGGAGCCACAGATTCGCTGTAGACGGATGTGGCGGGTGTGCTTGGTGCTGGGCCCTCGTCCTCTCCTTCAGAGTCATCTGAACCTTCGTCGTCCTCGTCTTCTTCGCTGTCCTCGTCGTCTTCTTCGTCATCGCTTCCTTGCCAGTCTTGTAATTCGCGCTTGAAGACTTCCTTTACGCCGTCGAGTTTGCCGAGATCGATAGACCACATTTCGTCAAAGGTATATTCTTGATCGCCCTTTTCGAATGTGCCGCCGAAGATATAGAGCGTGTCTTCTTGTACCGTGAGCTGAGCATTGAATCTTGGGTGCGGCATTTCCCACATTGTGGGTTTCTCGATCTTCGCTGGCTCATCCTCATCTTCGCTGTTGTTTGCGGGACTGCCACGAATAGCTTCATCGTCATCGTCGAGCTTTCCCTTGCCCTCAATGAGCGCCAAATTTCGCAGCAGTTCCTCTTCATCTGCTTTGCCTCGTCCACGCTTGGCACGGTCGGCATTGGCCACGGCTTTCTTGCCAGGCGCTCTAGGTCTTCGCAGACCAAGCTCGAAGAATCTGTTGCGATCGATGTTGTACGCGTGGAGTTTGTTGAAGAACTCGCTGTCCATGCCTTCTTCGCTCTCTTCGACATCGTGCACGCCACCGAATGCTATCCCTCGACCCTTGTGATATGTCATTGTCGCACCAGCCCTTGGCGGATTGGGAGCGTTGACAGGACGTTTCCGTCGTTCCCATCTGACAGTAGGCGGTGACTTGGCTGGAGCATCAGCCGCAGGCGGCGTGATCTGCAGAAACCAAGTATCTTGATGCACCATTGGCTTCATGATCACTCGCGAAGAGCCAGGCTTGTTCCCCTTGGACTTCACTGCGGCGGATGCTTTGACTCTAGAGTAGCCTCCAAATAGCATGGCTCCCTTCTCATGCGGCAGCAGAGTGAACGATGATCGGGCATCTGGTTTCCCCGAAGCGGGTGGTAGCGCTGGCTGATGCCACATAAACTGCTGTGTATCGTAGAGCCACACATCCTGTAAGTATTTTGTCTGCTGACTCGTATCCTGGAAGCCTCCGAACAGAACAATATAGTTCTTGAAGTATGTCATGCGGTGACCACTCCGAGCGGGCGGCCCTCCTTTACCTTCGAGCTTCATCCATTCTCTGGTAGCAGGATCAAGTTTCCAGAAGTCGTTGTAATGATAGAACGTGCCCTGCTTTGGACTCGAGAACTCTCCCCCGAAAAGATAAATCCCGCCACTATTTCCACCCTGACACATAGCATGGCCTGAGCGAGGAAGAGGAGAGTTCGGCGATGTGACCTTCCGCCATGAGTCTTGATTTATCTTGTAGACGAATAGATCACTGAAGAAGTGAGCGAGTGCTCCATTGTAATACTCGCCACCGAAGAGGAACAGCTCGCTGCTGTTGCTTGGCGAGGCAACCAAAGTTGCTGATGATCTCGGCGAGGGTGGTTCGGAAGGTGTCTCGGTGACTTTCAAGAATTGCTCCTGCTGCTTCTGATATTCGGCGAGAATTGCATCAAGGTCAGCCTCATCTTCGACGTCTGAATCATCTTTGTTCTTTGCAGATTTCTTCTTTTCTGATTTGGCAGACTTCTTGCTTGCCTTCTCTGCCTTTTTCGCTTTCAGAGCGGCCTTGTCCTTCTTCTTGTCTTTGGCCATCGTCGAAGGTGTGTAGTTGGTGTTCCGAAAAAGGTCTATATTTGCTGCGATATTGACCCACCATCGGTGTTCGGGAAGTGGAGCTCCGGAAGCGTGCCTTCCTACTTCAGCTTCACCTTGCCCGCCAAGACATCAACCACGAACAACCACATTAACTCACCCATGAACATTCTCCGAAGAAAAATGTCGTCAATCGCAGTCGCTCCGGCGAAGATCGTGAGCGAAAAGAGCCATCAAGTTGCTGGCAGGTCTTCTCATCCGAGCATCTTCGAAAGTCATGCTAACCACGACGGCAGGCAAGCTGAGCATAACCGAGCACTTCTTTGACGTGCCTAAAGACTACAGTAAACCAGAAGCCGGTACAATCCGTGTCTTCGGACGTAGTGTTCGCAAACACGAGAATCCTGTGGTCCCCAAACCTGAAGCAGAACGCAAGACAGCATCTCAGCTCCCATGGATCGTCTATCTCAACGGCGGTCCAGGGCTAGAATGCCGCCCTCCACACCACTATCCCTTCGTTCATCGACTTCTCGATGCCGGATACCAAGCTTTCTTCCTCGATCAACGAGGTACAGGTCTCTCCACTCCTGTCACAGCATCCACATTAGGACTCCGGGGCTACAACGACGTCCAAGCCGAGTACTTGAAGCTTTATCGCGCAGACAACATCGTACGAGACTGTGAAGCAATCCGTCAAGCCCTAACAGCAGACTATCCTCCCGAAAAGCAGAAATGGAGCACAATCGGACAATCCTTCGGCGGCTTCTGTACCATCACCTATCTATCCTTCTACCCTGAAGGTCTTCGAGAGTCATTCCTCTTTGGCGGTCTGCAGCCACTCGTCTCAACGCCAGACGATGTCTACAGACGTCTATACCGCAAAGTCGCAGAACGAAACAAAGTCTACTACGCCAAATACCCCGAAGACGTAGAACGCGTCAAGAACATCCTCACATACCTTTCCCGCTTCGGCGACGGCAAAATCAAACTTCCCTCCGAAGGAACCCTCACCCGAAGACGCTTCCTAGCCATGGGAATCGCACTAGGAATGCACGGCGGACTAGACAGCGTACATGATATTGTGCAACGAGCAAACAACGACATTGAACTTTTCGGGCACCTGACACGCGGGACATTAGCAGCAATTGACTCTTCCTCTCCGTTCGATAATCATCTCATCTACGCCATCCTGCACGAACCCATATACTGTTCTGGACCCAACAAAGGCGCACCAAACTGGTCCGCGCATCGCTTACAATCTGAATATCCAGAATTCAGCATCGATGATCGGAAAGATGATTCCCAACCGATCTATTTCACAGGTGAAATGGTGTACCCTTGGATGTTCGAAGACTATGCCGAATTGCGCAAAGTGCAAGACGTAGCGGAGCGCATCGCGAAGGAAGAAAACTGGCCGGCCTTGTTCGATGAGGAACAGTTGCAGAAGAATGAAGTTCCAGTATATGCTGCGAGTTATGTGGAAGATATGTATGTGGATTTTGATCTCGCGAGTGAGACGGCGAAGAAGATCAAGGGAGCCAAAGTGTTTACGACGAATGTTATGTTCCATGATGCGATCCGGTCGAAGATGGATGACGTGGTGAGGCAGGCGTTCGCTTTGAGGGATGATGTTCTGGACTAGAGTTGCTCAGTGCCGGCAACTGTATGTTGCGAGATTTGGGCCGTTGTGATTGGAGGGTTGAACCGGAGGAAGTGCATAGATGTGTCCAGCAGCTGTGAGCTTGTATAGCCAGATGAATGACCGAATCGAAAGTCTTGACGAGAATCTTTTCCTTCGGCAGGTTGTGCTCGATCCTTGGTCTCAGTTGATCTGCGTATCGTTGATGTGTATCACAGGCGAGCCTCAGCGAGCCCTAGGCAGTCAGTGCACCTCAGCTCTCGATATCTCGGGTGGAGCGAGCAATGCGCAATTCACAAGTAAAGAAAATCTTCATTTGATGCCAATGCATGCCCCAGCTGTAGCGTTCTTTCAGCCACTTGCTGTGCCATATTTACAATGTGGTGTCTGGAAACCCTCTCTCTTCTCGTCCCTCTTCTACAGATGCATTGGCGGCGGAGCTATAGCAGTCAGTCAGACAGATCCAGTCGCGCAGTCGGGGGTGATGAGTATCCACGTACGGTCCAAATTGGGGCAAGGCAAGTTTCGCTCGTACTTGCTTCCACCGGGAGCGGTTGGTGGTCTGTACGGGTCGGGGTGCTTCCACTTCTCTAGTAGTTGTTTTGTTTCTTCGATGAGAGCCTGTATCACGAGAATATCGTCTTAGTATCCATGTCTTCCTGCTCTCTTCCTAAATCCTTTGTCCTTCTCTATCAAGGTATGGATGCGGGCGTAGACGTACTGCTTGCTGTCTCGGCTGTGTGACGTTCTTGTTCGCTTCGAAGAGGGAGCGGATGTACAAGGCCTGGCCGCGCCAGATGTAGCGGTGGACGGCCCAGTCGAGGGAGAGCTTGAGGGCGCGGCGGTAGAGGGAGCTATAGGAGGGAGGTGAGGATTAGTAAAGTCGTGCAGCCATTGGAGGAGCTTCAATGCAGGCTGCGTACAGGACCTGGGTGCGTGCGGCGGACATGTCGGCGGTGATGACCGGGCGCGAGGCCTCGGGGAGTGGTGGTGTGTCAGGTAGGCAAGGCGCAGAAGACAGCCGAGAGTATGCGCGCCCGGTTTGTCCCCTTGGTGTCGGCGGTGGAGTGCGTGGCAGTGGTGTTTGGGGTCTTGGATGAGGCAGCGCCCGGCTTGTTCCCGATTCCGAAAGGTTCCTACAGAGTGCGGCTCTTCTCGCTCCTGGCTGCTTGTGACGAAAGAAGACCTGAGTGGTCGATCAGCTTCCTCTTCTTCGAGCTGTACATACACACACACAACGCACCACTTCTCACGCGACATCTCTCCTTTCCTTCGTTCTCGAGAGCTCCTCAAAGGCAGCCTGCCGTCTCTCGCCCACCATGTCCAGCTCACAGTGTTTGCGCCGTCTGGCCCGAAGCTCGCCTCGACCAGCAACTCTGCGCCAACCTCTCGCAAGCACCACTCGCGCAACGCAGTCATATAGCAGCTTGCGCGCACTCTCCACAGCTTCGTCGTCCTCAAAAGCACTCCCTGCGCTACGACAATCACCGTATGGACACCTTACCGACTCCTATACCACCCTGCAAACACTGACTCGCGCCCTCAGGAAGCTCTTTTCACCTGTTCAATTGCGCCAATTTAGCCTCTCTACGCAGCGATGGGGTATGCAAGCTCTGTGGAAGCTGCGCAAGTAGCGCCAGCACGATATGTTACTGACTGCGTGCTGCAGAGGAGCAAATGGTGCAGGTGCCGCAAATGGCCGAATCCATCTCCGAGGGAACCCTAAAACAGTTCTCAAAACAGGTTGGCGACTACGTGGAGCAGGATGAGGAAATCGCGACCATCGAGACCGACAAGATTGATGTTGCCGTCAACGCCCCAGTTGCCGGTACCATCAAGGAATTCCTGGCAAACGAGGAGGACACGGTTACTGTAGGACAAGATCTCGTGAGACTCGAGCTCGGCGGCGAGCCAGGAGAGAAGAAGGCACCTGCGAAGGAAGAACCAAAGGATGCCGCACCCGCTGAACAAAAGACACCCCCATCGCAACAGGGCTCGACGGAGAATGCGCAGAGCCAACAGCCCAAGCAGGAATCAAAGCCGGAGCCAAAGAAGGAAGAATCAAAACCCGCGCCAAAGAAGGAGGAGTCAAAACCTGCGCCAAAGAAAGAGGAGCCCAAGAAGGAGCAGACCGAGTCATCTCCATATGGCTCGCGTAGCGAGAACCGGGTGAAGATGAACCGCATGCGCCTGAGGATCGCAGAGCGTCTGAAGCAGTCGCAAAACACTGCTGCTTCCCTCACCACATTCAACGAGGTCGATATGTCACAGCTCATGGATCTGCGCAAGAACTACAAGGATGAGATCCTGAAGAAGACTGGCGTGAAGCTTGGCTTCATGAGCGCATTCTCGAAGGCTGCTGTGCTGGCCATGAAGGATGTTCCAACTGTCAATGCCGCGATTGAGGGACCAGGTGGTGGTGATACCATCGTCTACAAGGACTACGTCGACATCAGTGTTGCTGTCGCAACCGAGAAGGGTCTCGTGACACCTGTTGTGCGAAATGCTGAGAGCTTGGACATGGTCGGCATTGAGAAGGCGATCGCTGATCTCGGCAAGAAGGTGAGCATGATACGAAGCATGTAGGAGAAGGAGACATATGCTGACTTTGACAGGCTCGCGACAACAAGCTTACCATCGAAGACATGGCTGGCGGCACTTTCACCATCTCCAATGGTGGTGTCTTCGGCTCCATGTTCGGAACTCCCATCATCAACCTCCCACAAACTGCTGTCCTCGGTCTCCACGCCATCAAGGACAAGCCTGTCGCTATCAACGGAAAAGTCGAAATCCGCCCCATGATGTACCTCGCTCTCACATACGACCACAGACTACTAGATGGTAGAGAAGCCGTGACCTTCTTGGTCAAGATCAAGGTATGTTCTCTTAACGGCAGCTCAATGCATTGCATCCACTGACCCATCTCTCAGGAATACATTGAGGACCCCAGAAAGATGCTTCTGGCGTAGATGAGTTTAGCGTGTCACTGTTTGTAGCATTTTCCCGTGTACAAAACGTCCATTTAGCACATGGTCAAGCTGGCCTAATTCACAACCACCTCGTTGCATTCCGATTTCTTTCCCTCCGGCATCTCAACGTTTGGCAGCGCATTCGCATCGTGACGGCCACCGGCTGTGGGAGTCGGGATTGTCTGATACGCAGGTCCACAAGCAGGCTTTGCCAAGAACCAGCATGGGAGACCAATTGACTTTCATGCTGTGCAAGGAACAACGGTCTCCCATGCCAACTCTATCGTGTATCTTTTGTGCTTCATCGTGCAGCTCTGCTCGTTTCTCCTACAACATCGTGTTTCATCACTAACAGAACCAATGTCGAGCGCCAAGCTGATCACAACGCGATCTTCCTTCGGCGATAAGTCCCCCATAATCTCGGGGTGTTCACCAACATCCGAGATGGAAAGCCCGATGCCACGCTGCTGTATTTAGCCCGCTTACGGTAGGCGCGCTCGCACACGCAGCGTGGGAACAGCGCGCCGTCGACGATGGCGTAGTTGAGTATGAGATCTGTTTCTCTTTTCGGTACCCGTCTTTACTTCCTCTCATTCAACACGTGAACTGTCCACTGCTCACCGCGATTCGATTGACTTGCAACTGAACCAGACGAAGAAGCAACTTCTGGGAATCAACAGAAACAACAGCCCAACCACAATACAGTAAAACTGGCACCAACAGCGCAAGCAGAACAAACCCGACCAGCACCGCGCTCCAGTCGCGACGAGACACACGCTCACAATGGCCTACACCACCTCCAACACCACAACGCGCAGCAGCTCACCCACAAAGACATCCGAAACCCCCACCACCCTCTCCAAACCCCGCATCCTCTGCCTCCACGGTGGCGGCGTCAACAGCGAAGTCTTCCGCATGCAATGCCGCTCCCTCATCAAACACCTCCCAGCCTTTCGCTTCGTCTTCGCGGACGGTCCCTGGTTCTGCGAAGCCGGACCGGGAATCGTCCCCGTCTACGAAGACTGCGGGCCTTTTCGACGCTGGCTTCGTTGGTTACCGCATCAGCCTGAGACAGACGATGGATCCGCTACAGAGGAGATTTTCTATGAAATTGAGAGGTGTAAGAGGGAAGATGATGATAAGGGTGCGACGGGAGAGTGGGTCGGGATTCTGGGGTTCTCGCAGGGTGCGAAGGTTGCGGCGAGTTTGTTGTATGATCAGCAGATTAGGGAGGAGAAGGGGTTGGAGGTGGATACGAGGTATAAATTTGGGGTGTTGACGGCGGGGAGGAATCCTTTGGTGAGTTTTGGGGAGTATAGTCGGTCTGAAGCGTTGGTGAGTGCTGGGCAATTGAGTGAGGGGTTTGTGTTTGAGGGGACGAGTCCGCATATTTTGAAGTTGCCGACTTTGCATGTGCATGGATTGAGAGATAATGGGCTGCATTTGCATCGGAGGTTGTTGAAGCAGTATTGTGATCCGGAGACGAGTGAGGTTGTGGAATGGGATGGGGATCACAGGGTGCCCATTAAATCGACTGATGTAAAGCCGATTAAAGATTGGGTGTACGATATTGCGAGGAAGGAGGGGATACCATTGAGGGAGACGTGACGGGCCAAGAAGAAGAAGATATAGACGAAGATCATGATAGTAATCATCACAGCCGTCCGCGGCCAGCTTTTTCGATTTCTCTCTTTCGCTGTACAGTCCAAGCTCGAATACATGTCACTAGCCCCTCGATCTCCTCAACCGTGTTGCCAGCATGCAAACACACTCGGATCCTCTCCGTCCCCAGAGGCACAGTAGGCGGCACGATTCCACGCACCACGAAGCCTTGCTGTTGACAATACGCTGCCAGCGCCTTCGGCTCACTCGAGAGCACCGCAAAAATTGGCGTCTCAGGCATCTCGACCGGACACCTCAACAAATGCTTCTGCTCGATCCCCAACTCCAACACACTCTCTACTTCCCTTAATCTCTCGTACAGAACCCTCATCAACTTCCTCAGGTTCTCCGCCAGAACGTCCCCTTGCCCGGACATTAATACTCCATAACTCGCTTTGATCGCCGCCAAATTCGGATAACTCATAAAAGTCGTGTATATCATCGGCCTCGCATAATTGATCAGATACTCCCTCAACACTTCCGAAGAACATAACAGAATTGCTCCATTCGCAGCCATAGCTTTACCGAAAGTGTGTAATCGAACCAGACATTCGTTTTCCAAACCGAGTTCGGAAACGAGGCCTCGGCCTTTGGGACCAACCCAGCCGGTTGAGTGGGCTTCGTCGATGATAATATGGCAATTCGTCAAAGATCCGCGGGCAGCAACAGATTTGCTGGGAGGAAAGAGTTCGTTCCTCAACTCCACCACTTCTCGTAAGGGCACCATGTCGCCATCCATAGAATAGACCGCCTCAACTGCGAGGAAGATGTTCGACTTCCCATTTCGAATGTTTTCGTCTTCCTCTAGAACCTGCTCTAAAACACTTCGCAACGCTCTCAAGTCATTATGTGGAAAGAACCTCGTCTCCTTGGCACGCGAAAGTCTCATTCCATCGTGTACTGAGGCGTGAATATATTCGTCGTAGACAATATAATCGCCTTTCTGTGGGAGACAAGAAAACAGCCCGGTGTTGGCATCATACCCAGAATTACAGAGGAGGCCACAAGGAGCGGAGTGGAATTGAGAGATCTGTTTTTCGAGGTCTTCGGCGTAAGTGCTGTTACCGTCGAGGAGTCGGGAACCGCCGGAGCCGAGATGGGAGGTCAAGATGAGATCTTGTGAGAGTTCTTGCAAGTAGGCATTTCGGAGGTTGGGACAGGTGGCGAGTGAGAGAAAGTCGTTGCTGGAGAAGTCGGCGGTTGTGGAGGGGAAGGTGGTGAGCTTGCGGATTGTGTGGTTCTTCTTCCGCTTTGCGAGGGTTGCAGATAAGGTAGCTTCTAGGCTTGGTGGAGCTTTGTTCGCGTCCATGGCGATTCTATATGTATTGTGGCTTGGGCTAGCTTGTGTTCATGATTCGTATTGGGATGTTGTTGTGAGGCTCTTTGGTGAAGTCGGGCAGCTTGCCATTGGGATTCGGATGTGGGGTGGCGAGGGTGCCAAATCTCAATGGGCGTTTTTGAGTTTCTTGGGATAATCAGCCATTTCTCTCTGCGGCTTCATCCCACTTTATCTCTTGCCGGGGAGGTCTCCAATATCGCCGGACACGTCAAGCTGAGCAGAAAGGTTGCCATTTTGAAAGTTTGGAGCGCATTGGATCCGGAGTCGTGCTTTCCTCGGACCAGATCAGAACTCCGCAGCTCCTCCCACACCCTGGCATGCTTGCCATGCCGACGACATGAGAACAATCGGTTCGGTCCTGTGGCCGAAGTTCAGAGTCTTGCAGATATATGGCGCCAATACTGGAGTCGGCAAGACAATTTTCAGCTCGATATTGTGTCGGGCTTTCAGGAAGAAGCTGGAAATTGTCAAGTACCTGAAGCCGATCTCCACCGGTCCGCTGGAGGAGGCAGATGACCAGTCAGTACACATCGTGAACGTTCCTGCTCACCGAATTTGCCAGCTGACGCCGAGATAGTCACAATAAATCTTTCAATGGCAACATTGTTGACTCGAAATGTCTCTTCCAGTTCGACGATCCTGTGAGTCCGCACCTCGCGGCTCGAGTCATGGGCAGAGACCTACCAGATGCAGAAGTTCAAGCTGCGGTCTATGATGAACTGAAGTCCTACGTCAATGGCCGGCAAGGCATCGCCATTGTTGAGACAGCAGGAGGTGTGCTGTCTCCATCGCCTTCGGGAAGTTCGCAGGCAGATCTGTACCGACCACTGCGTCTTCCATCTCTGCTTGTTGGGGACCACAGACTGGGGGGTATCGCAACGACAATATCAGCATGGGAGTCTCTGCATGTTCGAGGTTACGATGTCCCAGCGATAGCGCTGTTCACTGGACGAAGGTACCAGAACTACGAGTACTTGAAGGACTACTTCTACGAACGGCAGGTCGAGACGTTCGCTGCTGAGGAGCCTCCGGAGCGGCAGTCATCAGCTGAGGCAGACCGGAAAGCAATGCAGGAATATTATCAAGCGATGAGCGAGCATCCCGAAGTCGACGCCTTTACAGAAAGCTTTCTTGAATCGCACGAGCAACGAATCCAGGACCTGCGAATCATGTCTGAGGTCGCCAATGAGGCTATTTGGCACCCATTTATGCAGCATACCGAACGTTCGAAAGATACCGTCACGGCTTGGGACTCTGCTTACGGAGACCATTTTCAAGCTTACCGAACAGCGCATGAGGGTGAATTGAGATCGGACCCCAATACATCTCTGCTCAAGCCCGCTTTTGACGGCTCTGCATCATGGTGGACGCAAGGTCTTGGTCATGGTAACCCGAAGCTAGCACTTACAGCAGCGCATGCCGCAGGAAGATACGGGCACGTAATGTTTGCAAACGCAATACATCAGCCTGCTCTGGACTTGGCCACGACCGTGATCAACAAGTCTGGAAATCCACGATTGGCAAAGGTCTTTTACTCGGACAACGGTTCAACAGGCATGGAAGTTGCAGTGAAAATGGCACTTCGAGCTACAGTGGAGAGATACAAGCCTCAAGACCGCAAAAACCTGGATATTCGGATTGTTGGGCTGACAAACAGCTACCATGGCGACACAATTGGTACAATGGACTGTTCGGAGCCCAGCATTTACAATGAGAAAGTTGAGTGGTATCGGGGTCGCGGTATCTGGCTTGACTTTCCCACAGTGAAGATGAGCAAAGGCCAGTGGCTTGTCGATCCAGTGGAAGGCACAGGCGAGGTGAAGCATTTTGACTCTCTGAGTGCAATCTTCAATTTCCAGCACCGGCAGCAGGACGCAGAGCAATACAGAAAGCACATCCGAGAGATCCTGCTCCAGCGCGTCAAGGCCGAAGGCGCCAGTCTCGGAGCTCTCGTCATTGAGCCTATCATCTTGGGTGCAGGCGGTATGCTCTTCGCTGATCCGCTCTTCCAGAGATGCCTTGTAGAAGTTGCAAGGACTTTCTACAACGAATCGTTCGAGCCAACCTCAATTCCAACAGCGTCCGCCAGCACCAACGATGCGTTAGATTGGCAAGGCATGCCCGTCATCTTCGACGAAGTCTTCACCGGCCTCTACCGCCTCGGCCGTTTCAGCGCAGCAAGTTTCCTCGGCGTACAGCCTGACATCGTGGTCAACGCGAAGCTTCTCACAGGAGGACTCTTACCCTTGTGCACCACAACAGCCAGTAACGCTATCTTCGAAGCCTTCCTGAGCAACGACAAGACAGACGCTCTCTTGCACGGACACAGCTATACCGCACACCCGGTCGGCTGCGCCGTCGCAAACGAAAGTCTCCGAACATTCGACAATCTCGAAAGCTCAGGTGCATGGGATACATTCAAGCAGGATTGGACTTCACCTTCATCGGCATCCTCAAACGCTGCGACATGGAGCATGTGGTCCCAATCCTTCATCAATACCGCCTCACACAAAAACTCAGTAGACCACGTCTTCGCGCTCGGATCTGTCGTGGCAATCTGTCTCAAGGATCCATCCGGAGGAGGCTACGCTTCGACAGCAGCCACTGGACTCCGCGACCAGCTTCTCGAGATCCCAGGAGCAGATGGAAGTGTGATGCATTCGAGAGTCATGGGCAATGTGTTGTACTTGATGGCTGCTTTGACGACCACAGAGGCAACGCTGAAAAGTATCGAGGAGAGGGTATTGAGTGCGCTGGCATAGGATTAGAACAGAGGTTCTTGAATGTAAGCAATGATGTAGGATCTTCTCCAGATCTGGGGACTGTGTATAGAGATATTAGTATCTCTACCGCATGGCCCTCTTGCTTTGCAACCAAACTCTCGTCGAAGCTCTGATAGTGCGATCGCTACTTTTCTCTTGAAGCCGTTGCGCAGACTCGTGACTCCACATCCTCTACCTCGCAGTCTTTTCGAAGCATTTCCGAGGCCGTCATTTTGTCCTCTCCTCACAGGTGCAGTCTTGCCCGGAAATCTCCCAAGACTCAGTTGATAATTTCTGCTCATTCGTGCTGCGTTATCGAGAAACGCAATCTTCTCAGGATTCTGCTCATTTGCTGATCACTTCGCCAGGTTCCCTCTCAGCACCATTTTCAGTTTCCACGAGTTGCACCTTATTCGGTCTGCGCTCGCAGTCATCGTCGCGGGGTCTCGCTGTGTCGCAAAATCTGAGTGTTCTGCTGGACGCGCAGCCAAGACCGTCATTGTTTTGATCCATGACGCGACCTCGCTCGACGCGTCGAGAACCTCAAAACCGCCCTCTGCAAGTCAATTTCGCATCAGAATAAAGCGGAAAAGAGAATCGTGAACAATTGTGAAGTCTTTGAAGTGCTGATCGATTCTTGGTATCATCATAAGCCTGTTGCCCGAATAGCACTGTGCTATGGTATCGTGGGCATAATGTACAGCCTTCGCTCCTGGATCAGATCAGAAGCCTGCGTGCATGCAAAGTAGTAAAAAGTCAAGAGCACGCCATAACCCTGAGCTCGTGCCCGCCCGTGTCGATGAGCCCATTATCATCGCGAAACAACCCCATTCTGCGCCATAACCCATTGTGCCGTGATCTTAAACCAAAGAAACAAGAATGCGCATCTACAGCTCTTGTGATGCACCACCCTTGCCTGGCTTGGTACCGGTGGTCTTCTTGGGCAGGAGGTCTGAGGAAGCAGAAGTCAGTGGATGATCGAGGCGGTGGAGATCGGAAATGTGGCTTACTCTGGTGAATGTTTGGAAGCACACCACCCTGTGCGATGGTGACGTGGCCGAGGAGCTTGTTCAACTCCTCATCGTTGCGGATGGCCAACTGAAGATGACGTGGGATAATACGCGTCTTCTTGTTGTCACGAGCAGCGTTACCAGCCAACTCGAGGATTTCGGCTGCCAGGTATTCGAGGACAGCTGCGAGGTAGACGGGAGCACCTGGAGATGAGAGTCAGATGATGCGATCGGGCAGATTGGATGAGAAGATGCGACGTACCGGCACCAACACGCTGAGCGTAGTTGCCCTTGCGGAGGAGTCTGTGGACACGACCGACTGGGAATGCGAGACCGGCCTTGGATGAGCGACTATTGAAGAAATGATGTCAGTTTGCGCCGATGGAGATTGCGGATGGAAAACGCGTTGTTTTGGATGCGAAAAGCGCATCAGACGCGATGGATTGCGATGGAGCATCTGATGCGCCTGGAGGAGAGCACTTACGATTGGGCGTTCGACTTGGCACCGCTGGCCTTGCCTCCGGACTTGCCTCCAGTCATTTTGGTGGATTGATGTGGGTGGTTTGGTTTTGAAAATGGGTTGTGAGTGGCGTGGAAGACGTGAACGTGTCGTGGAGCGCTGGGTGTGGATGGATGTGTGATGAAGAGAAGAAGGGCGCGTTCGCAGAAGGTGGGCGTCGCCGACTTTAAGTAACGGCAGGCGAAGTTGTGGGGTCTGCCAGATCAACAGTTGTTTGCCGCACGGACGCACCTGCCCGCGACGCGTCGCTGATTCGCCAGCGGCCGCGACTGTTGATTGGAATTCGCGCTTCTGACTTGCGGAGTACAAGTACCCTCCACTTCCCACGCTCTTGCGCAGCTTTCTCTTCCTTTCATCAACACCAGCATCACCAAACGTACGCATCCATCAACGCAACTCGACTCATCTCATCCACCACTCCAACTCACACTCCAAACCCGATTTCCAAATTCGAAATGGCACCAAAGGCAGCAACCAAGGTAATTCAGCGCGACTTTCGCACATTCTGGCGTTTCGCGCAGCTTTCTGACGCGTCTTTTGCAGACCCCAACCACCGCCGGCAAGGCACCAGCTGGCAAGGCTCCTGCTGAGAAGAAGGAGGCTGGCAAGAAGACCGCCGCCCCATCTGGTGACAAGAAGAAGCGCACCAAGACCAGAAAGGAGACCTACTCTTCTTACATCTACAAGGGTACGTCGCCTCCACTCGCCTCATCCAGCTGATTCTGAAGTCGCATTTCGATTTCAAATCACGTTTGAGTCACACCTCGACTTTGAATCCTTTACTGACGCGTCTTTTTCCTCCAGTCCTCAAGCAGGTCCACCCAGACACTGGTATCTCCAACCGTGCCATGTCGATCCTCAACTCCTTCGTGAACGACATCTTCGAGCGCGTCGCAACTGAGGCTTCCAAGCTCGCTGCCTACAACAAGAAGTCAACGATCTCATCACGCGAAATCCAGACTTCCGTGCGACTCATCCTTCCTGGTGAGCTGGCCAAGCACGCCGTGTCTGAGGGCACCAAGGCCGTCACCAAGTACTCTTCCAGCACCAAGTAAACGCGACACATGACATCAATATGGCTTTGATGTAATGTTGGCGTTTGACTTCCTTCCTGCTTTGCGACACGATGACAGAAGTATGGGGCTGCTCTGGTTTTGAGGCGGCTTTCCCTTCTTCTGACTCACAACTACTGGGGTACAATGAGATGGCGTTCAGATAATGCGATCATGGGCTGGGTTTTGGTTTGGTTTTTCTTTATTTTACGATTGCTCACAATACCACAACGCGCCCGGTTGCCGCAGTCGGCACGCGCGCGCCAGCAGAGCTTTCGAAATGCATGAACGGGTGGTAGCGGTGGTGGGTGCTGTACAGTAGTAACTGCGGCAGAGAGAAGGGCGAGAGAGAGTAGCAGGTCGCATCAGGCTGATACCCAAGGCTTGATATGAATGCATGATTTCAAAAACTTCACACTGCTTCCAACACTCTCATTCCAACTTGTTTGACGTTTGAATCTCTTCTACTGACATTGCAGAAGACGCGATTTTGCACTCTGCAGCACGCAGACAAAGACGTGAGGTGCGCGGCCGGTTTGTTTTGATTTCTCTGTCACGAGATTGACACGCTAGGCCGGAAAGAGAAGACCATGTAAACAAGACCCGCGCAGAAGAGACTTTGCAGACCGAACGCTACAGAATCTGGTCGACGAAATCACTGCGTCTTGACTGTACGTTATCAGTACCAGAAGGTACAGCTGACAGGAAGTCAATGACCAGTACAGTGAGGAAAGTGAAACGCGCAAGGCAACAGCAAGAACTTCCCGATGTCCGTTCAAAGCATCCCATATTCAGGCAGGAGGAAGCAGCAGGCAGCATCGAGTCTCGAAAATCACAAGCCAGAGCATTGCATATAACGGTACTGTACTGATGTTGTTGATGCATTCTATGTACTGTGATTCCAGACCTTACAATACAGCATGCGAAGTTTTGTTCGTCCGTGTTTCTCATAAAAATCATCACATCATTCAATTCGTAAATCACACCATTTTTCGACTGTACATCATGGGATCGGTTTCCTCGGAATGCTATGTTCTCTCCTCAAAGGCCACCTTTGCAAAATCGAAGAAGAATTTGTTGTCGTTGAGCCGGCCACACTCCCGTCTCGTTGCAATTCCGCAGAACCAGAAGACCGATGTCCGGGGGCGAATTGCTCATAGGCTTGGAGGCCTTGCATTTCCGTTTGGCCTCGGTCTAGAGCAGCCTGGTTCTTCGCGTTTGCGATGGCGGCCTTTTCGGCATTTCGACGAGGGAACCGAGTGTCGATTTCGTTGTTTAGTGTGCCGCGGAGGGTCTCGCCGACGCCCTGTTGAGGCTATCAGTAACTGAGTATGAAAAAGAATTAACTGGAGAAACTTACATGTAGGCCTTTCGCTGCAGCTTTTAGACTACCGAATGTGGAGGCCGGAGCTGAAGGAGCTGCAGAGGGAGCCTGAGAGGCGCTGGCACTTGGCGCGACTGATGATGTTTCCGACATGCTTTCGATTGTTGATAGGCCACCGTATGATGACGGTGGTCCGGAAGGATGGCCGTAGCCTTCATGTTGGTTGCCTGCGTGGCTGAAGCTCGCCGCGTTAGGCGCGAATTGATGCGGATGGCCTGGAGCCGTGGGAGGAGCTGTCGTATAATTCTGATAATCGTCTGGTCCGTGTGGGTATATCTCCGCCATCTGCGGACGTGGTGGAGGAGGGAACGGCGCTGGAGTCCCTTGCTGAGCAGCCTGGTTCTGCATGAAATTGTTTCCTGAGAAGTTTTGCTGTGAGTCTTGCGGCCTCAGCCCACCAAGGGGACTGTGCCTCTGCGGCTCTTGTGAAAACGGGGCAGCGGGAGGCGCATTGTTGGGCACCGCGGGAGGATTGTTCGATGGTGAGCCATCGTGTGACCTGTTGAGGTACGAGAAGTTGGGTCCAACGTTGCTGCCAACTATTGGACTCGGAGGCACATGATCTCCAATTTCACCGGGAGGACGATCGAACTCTCGGGACAATCGCTTTGGACTCTTCGCGGGCAGATCTGGTGCATTCGGTGGGAAGTTTGGTGCGGAAGTCTGAAGAGGAGTCGGTCTTGGTGGCGTCTGACCTCGACTGGCTGTTGTAGAGAGTGGGGTCGGCAATACGTCTGCACTCGGCCTTCGAGGCGCTGAATCTGCTGGCATCTCTGAGACTCCGCTGTTGTCTCTTGGTCTGTTTGACGTCGCACTCGGCCCTGGTGCTGAGCTAGACGAAGCTGCTGTAGTCGTGGTCCCGGCCGGGACAGTATTGACATTCGTTCGTAGCTCCTTCTTGCCATCCTTGCCACGCACCAATGTCGTAGTCGTTGTGGTTGTGGTGGTGGTCGTCACAGTCGAGACGATCTCTCCAGTATCCTCGTCCAACACGTCTCCCGTCGCCTTGTTCACTGCCAGATTGCGATCCTTGTTCACACCTTCAATCTGGCCATCATTCTGTACCGAGACAATGTTGTTGTTGGAGTTGTTCGAACGCGAGTTCGACGGAGCTTCGCTGCTGGCATATGCTGAATCGTGGACTGCTCCGCTCATCGGCGACGTGGTTGTCGGAACAGTGCTCGAGCTGTGCGTGTTTTCATTCTGTGCCGCTGTGTTGGGGTTCGGCGAGAGCAGGTCTGTGGACGGATTCGTAGCAGTCGTGCTGCTCCGCGCAAGTAGATCTGACGATGTCGTATTCGTCGACTGAGAACCCGCCGTCTTGTCCTTCCTCTTGAATATTCCACTCAATCGTCTCCTCTCTTTCTTCGGCTGCATGGTGTCTGTGTCGCTTCCGTCTGTACCAGCTCTATCGGTGGAAGGATTCCGCTTCTGTAGCTTCTTCACCATGTCGCTTTAACCTTGGAGTCGTTGTCTGGGCCAGAGTAGCTAGATCGATAGCATGCAGGGGATGCTAGATGAAACAACGGAACCAGAACAAAAGGAACACTTGAGAAGACCTGTCGCATGCCTACAATGTGGCTCCTCATGCCCGCCATGTTGTCACGAAAACTGGGACAAGCTTCCATCCTCGTGCGTGGAGTGTGATGTCACCAGCACGCAGATCGCGCATATGCTGTCGGAGCTGCGTCCTGAAATGGTATGAAAGGGTCCTTCGTTCTCGTCCACGCATGCACGTTCTGGGTTCTCGTCGTGAGGGGGCCTCGAGTATAGGCTCGATGTGTTGGATTTCAATGAGGCCTTGTGGCTGTGAAGGTCGATCGCGTCGTCTGTGTGGAGCGACTGGCTCGTAACAGCCACACTTCCTGCGTCTGCTGTGGCGACTACTCTTGTTGTCGTGCTCGTTTCTACTGTACATCGTGGTGTTCGCATGTACTGTAGAGTGGCTCAGCAGCTCGGTTGCTGTGGCGGTCATCCAATGGAAGAGGTGAGGTAGCGTCGTGAAAGTGGAAGTCTGGGTCGGACTGAGAGTCTGTGTCTGCTTTCGCCAAGCCCATGCGGGAAGGCCATAGAATCGATCAACTCAACATCGAAGACGCTGTTGTTGCCGATGTCCGGCAGGTGCGAAAACGATGAATCGATATACTGTTTCGTTTGCTGCTTATTCTGAACGGTTGATGTTTTTGTGTTCGGCGACTCGTGTGTCGGAAGATGTTTGTACACTGCCGTGGTTGTAGACTGGAATCGCTTCAAACCATCAATTCCAGCAATTGCCAAACACAGAGAAATCGACACCACACCGCCAGGGTAAGCGACGAGCACACCAAACTTCTTGAACATATTTAAACAGTCGATTTTTATCACACGAGGCTCATCTTGGCATGTTTGGGCATCTTCGTCGTCGTCGCCATCTAACCCCAAGTAACCCTAAGGCTAACCCTAAGGCCCAGCCTCAGGCCGAAGAATCTATGTCTATCCCTCTAGCGTGAGCAGCAAATGCGCCAACAAGCCACATTCACATCGCAGGATGCACTGAGAAGCAGAAACAGAGCATATGATGCTGCCAGACGAGAATTTACATCGACCATGACCATCATGGCACAAACATCTGTACAGGTCTAACCCAGCCCAGCAGTTCCGATCCTCATGATCTGCTCCACCGGCACCGTTCGTCCTTCGTTGTCTTTGCCGAGGCCCATGCCCTTCGTCCAGCCATGCTTTGCCATAAGCTTGGCTCCAAAACTGGTATGACTGATCTCCGGAGCCGCAGCACCAACGACCTCTCCGTGCCTGACCGAAACAGCTGCTTTATCGAAGCCACCGCCTCTTCCACCACCTTTACCAGCCTTCTTTGCAAACTTCTTCGCCGTGGAGCGATTCGATAAGAACCCTCTCGTTGACGCTTGCACGATCTTGACGAATATCTCCTCGGAGTATTCACCAGTTCTCGAAGTCTTGGACACGATCGGGAAGCGGTTCTTACCCGCTCCCTGCGATCGAGAAGTGAGGTTGAGGGCATTACAGATATTGTGCAGAGCCGCCCGGTCGGTCTTGTCCATGGGTGGGAAAGCTCGCTGGTTGAGGTCCTCGTCTTGCAAGAACTCTCGCAGCTCGTCGTGGACGTTGCGCATGTTCATGCCGAGAGGATACTTGGTGCCCAGATGAGCTCTGCCCTTCTTGCCAGAGGATCCCAGGAGTCCTTCGCGACGCAGCTCCTCGCGCTCGAGTTTCTTCTGTGCCTTCTTCGATCGGTCTCGATTCCACTGGTCATTCAGAGTCTCCTTGAGATCTTCGTCGGAAAGGATCTCGAGCTCGGCAGGCAGTTGTCCTTTTCGTCCTTTCTTGCGAGGGCGCAATGACGGTCGCTCAAAGTCCATGACGTCGAAGCCGTTCTCACCATACTGTTCCACAGTGTCGGCAAGTAGCGATGCACTGACAAAGTTGTTCTTCTTGTCACGACCACTTCTTCGTGTGCCATTTCTGTTTGGCGCTCTGCCGGGCGTGAGGTTGGTGATGTTGGCAAGACCTCTTCGAGCAGCTTCCACATCACCAAATCCGCCGTCCGAGCCGTACACGCCGCCATCGTCGATCATGAGCTCGTCTCCGTCCATTCCGAACTCCTCTTGCTTGGCCAACAGTCTCGCGATCTGCTCGTCAGTCATCATGTCCTGGCGCCGCTGTCGAAGATCTTCCTCATCTTCCCACATTTCTTGCTCGTTGTACTCAAGCTCGGACTCTAGACCGTCAGAAGACAATTCGTCCATGTCAGGATTGATGGACGAGTCGTCGTCCTCATCGCTGTCATCGACGCTCTCCCAATCTTCGTGATCATCGTCAACTTCTGCCTCGTCATCTACGCGTGCGTGCTTCAACAGCTCGTCGTCTGGCACTTCGCGCCCATCGACCACCAGTGACGGGCCACCCAGCGTTGCATTCGCTTTCATCTCAGCAAAGAAGTTGTCGCTCGAAGTTCCCTCCTCTTCCATCTGTGCGATGAGATTTTGCATGTAATCATCATATGCAGCTTCTCCGTCTTCGTCTTCGTCTTCTGATGTCATGTTTGCACGCAGTTGGCGATTATCCTTCTTTCTGCCACGCTTCCCCCTCCGATCGGACTTCGATGCGCTCTTGCTCTCGCTCTTCTTTGAAGCCTTCTTCTCTCGTAACGCCTCTTTCCAATCAGCTTGGAGCGATTGAATGGTGTCTGCTGCTCCCATGTCTGGCTTGGCCGGCGCCGGCTCTGCGAACTTCACCTTCGATGGTTTCGACGAAGAGCTCTCGTAAGCTTCTCGCTCAGCTGGTGAAGGATCCAGATCTGGCCGTGGTCTGCTCTTGCCCTTGCGCCAGTATGGATTGGCTGGTGCTGGTGTCCAATCTTCTTGAGGTTTGACAGTGAGGTCGTGCTTTGAAGGCGCCAATCGCCAACCCTGACCTTCTGAATGTTTGCTCACTGCTGCGTTATGTGAAGGTGCTGTGCCGCCGTTGAGTGCCTTCAGAAGATCGTCGGTCGGGTGAGGGCTCGCTCGTGAATGTGATTGTGCATGAGACGTGGCAGGTTCGCGCTGTCGAGGGGGCGGTGCGGAAAATGGATCGTTGATGACTGTCGGCCTGTTGCGTCCTTTGAACATGACCACTTCCTCGCTCGAATCTGATCGCGCGGGAGAGGGCTCGCGAACTGCCCGCTTGCCCTGCGCCTTCGACGAGCTCATGGGGCCTGACAGACTTTCGTCACCCACGGTATCGACCACGAACTGCAGTTCTGGTGTCGGCTCTCGCGCGGGCTCTGCATCAACAATGATGCGTGTTTCTGTGCTGGCTGTGGTTGTCTCCACCTCAATGTCCATGATTTCTGAGCTGTCAAGCGCCATGTTTGCCACTCCATCTTCAGTGCTATTGATGTCCGCTTCCATCTGAATATTCGTCTGTATCGTACTGTCGTCGATCTCGATGTCATCGTCGTCGCTGTCGTCGTCGAATTCTCCACCGGTGCTTGGCCCTGTCTCGTCGAGCTGCTGATTCCGCTCTTCAAGGGCAGACTGAGGCACACCTACGCTCACAAAGGAGATCGGTTGGTGGCGATACTTTACAGACGCACTTGACGGTGTTCCGAACTTCGACGGCTTCGCCTTCGCACCGCTGAAGCCCTTGAAACCCACGCGGTTGTCATCGTCTGCCACAGTTTAGCATACGAGCGGGCAGCCAAATGGCAAATTTACGAACCACCCCAATCACTGTCGTCATATTGGGAGTAATTACGACGAGGTGTATTTTGTGCACTGCCGTTGTTCTTGGCCTTCTGCTTCTTGCCAGCGCGGCCTTGGGCCTTGCCCTTCTTGCCCATCGTTCTCAGCCCCACCGGATGGTCGCTGCAGTGTTTCGAGTGGCGAAATGGAAGGTGAATGCTTCCTTGCTGTCAATGAGCTCAGCAAACAACTTCTGCTCTCCACGAATCTGCAGCAGAGAAGAAACGGCGTAAGAGAGTGACAATGGTCGGGATGTGCGAAGTTTGGGAGTGAAAGAAAGTCGAGCTCTCCTGGTCGGCCACTCACGATGACTGCATGATCCACATGCAGCCGCACCTTGACTGGACCCTGCCGCATCGCATCGCTCCCCGCCCAGCAGGCGATCGCCCGTGCTCCCAGGCACACATCTCTCGTCACTCAGCCTCTCGCCATCATGCATGAGTGACTCCTCTGCGCAATCACATCCTGAGCAACTCGCAGTATCGCCATTGCTGTGAGCACCTCGAGCTGCCCTTCCACGACCGCATCCTCCGTCTGGGAGATAGATCACTCCGCCCCGCTGTCTCACCTGTCACATGCTCCCACGCTAGCGCAACACGCGCGTGAGCACTGCTGGTTGAGATCAAGGTAGTAGACCGTCTTCGACTTCGCAGCTTCACACACCTTGTCACAGTGGCCATGAACGAGTTTGCCCGCTTCTCGAAGCGGGCAGTCGACTACATCTTCGACCGACCTGCCAGAAACGACGACCCATCGCCTATCTGGTGCCTGGGCCGATCCTACGACTCCGAGTATCGTCCCGACCGACCATCTTCAGCAAGCGGTGCCCTACCAGGTACCTCTCCCTCAGCACAGTCAGATGTATCACACGCCGATAGCGCAGTGGTGACCAAAGCGAGCGCGAAGCCCGACGATGTGGCTGCAGATAACGACGATGAGCTGGTCAAGAGCTTCGACCAAGTGCAACTTAGTAAAAGCATGGACGAAGAGGATCTTGGATGGCCCTCGGAATTCGTAGATGACTTCGAGTCGAGAATATGGATCACATACAGAGATGGCTTTCCGCCGATACCCAAATCGTCAGACCCAGCAGCGGGCTCGAAGATGTCATTCACGACCAAGCTACGAAGCCTTGCAAACCAACAGGGCTTCACTTCCGACACTGGTTGGGGATGCATGATCAGGAGTGGGCAGTCTTTGTTGGCGAACACAATCGTCCTGCATAGGCTAGGTCGGGACTGGAGGAAGGGTAAGAACGAGGCAGAGCACAAGAATGTTCTGTCGCTTTTCGCAGATACACCTGAGGCGCCCTTCTCTATTCACAAGTTCGTCGAGCACGGTGCTCAGGCATGTGGCACATATCCGGGCGAGTGGTTTGGTCCAAGCGCCACAGCCAGGTGTTTGCGGTGAGTGCAGCGGACTCGGCTGACTGAACATTACTGATGCATCACAGAGCTCTCACCGACAAGTACCACGAAGCAGGACTGCGGGTCTACGCACGCCCTAACGATAGCGATGTATACGCAGATGCGCTCCTGGAAACAGCGACACAGAAAGATGCAGATGATAAATTCCAGCCGACGTTGATCGTACTCGGAATCAGATTGGGAATAGACAAGGTCACACCGGCATATCACGTAGCCCTGAAGGCAGCACTCGAGCTTCCACAAAGTGTTGGAATTGCTGGTGGACGACCAAGCAGCAGCCACTACTTCATCGGTCACCAAGGCGATGCGTTCTTCTATCTCGACCCGCACTACACACGACCCATGCTATCGCCACAGCCTTCTGGCGAAGACATCGAAACATGCCACACGCGACGGATCCGCAAGCTGCCTCTGTCCGAGATGGATCCTTCCATGCTCCTTGGTTTCCTCATACACAGTAAAGAAGAGTTCGAGCAGTGGAGAAAGGCTGTCTCAGAAATGCCAGGCAAAGCCATCATACACATTCACGATACAGAGCCAAAGTATGCCACTGGAAATGAGCGAGCAGGTGCCATTGACGAGGTGGAGACTATGGATGAAACGCTAGATGAGGATGATGATGACGAGGGCGAGAAGATATGAGGACTCGTGGGAGGATTGGGATATACGACTGATGTGAAAGGCTTGGTTTTTCGGGATACCTGAACGGTTCTGTTTGGGACATGACTACCTACTGTTCTGACGATGGGCATTTGAGCGTTCTTGCATGACGGAATGGAAGTTGGCGCACATTGGGTCAAAGGCTGTGCGTGATCGGTTTTAGTGACTCAGCTGATAGATACCCGATATGAACGAAATCGGCTGTTAAGACAAATGGTTCTAAGGTTCGTTGGAGAGGGAGCGGAAACGCGAAATTGACGCGACGTCTTGGCGGCAATCTCGACTTGGTGCTTTCGCTTCTGCCCTCCAGCTTCCAACGCCTGTCCCCTTCTCTCTGCGCAAAAGATCCATGTCTGACATCGCCTGTAGAGGCCCAATACATGGCGACAATCTCACGTGCTTACCCTCTTGCTGGAGGCGCATCACACCGACGGCAAATTAGCGTCCTTGCCAGCAGCACGGCGTGAGGTAAGCGAACGGGTATAAAGACTGGGCTGACAGCGTGAGAACGAATTGTAGGGACACCTTGCGATTTCACTGCTCATTATCTGCAATCTGCTCGTATACTATATGTCATTCACGCTGAATCAAACGCGTCCAGAGACCAATTGTGCGCTGGGTCGAGGATGGTGGCGTCTTCTCTCAGGAGCGAAAAGTCGAAGTTGAGTAGCTGTTCGTCCGTCAATGCCAGCGGCTGCCAATTGTCTACCGATGAAGTGTTGATATCACAGAACGATTGCATATTCATGGAGGCACTGGCGCCTGTTGATGAAAAGCTGATGTCTTGCAGCTTGTTGCCAGACATGCTTTCTATCGCGTCGCGGCTGAGAACACCTCCATTGCACACTTCGCCCACGTCCGAGGAAGCTGGCGCCGGTAATGTACCGGACGACTGCGGCGACTGATCCATTGCTTTCAACAATTCATCAAGCTTGTGCTTGACGACAACATCACGAAGATTAGCATAAGGCGCTGCTTCTTCCTTGATACCGATCGAGATCAGCTTGTTCTTGACGTGCTTGAACTTCGGGGCATCCGGCTTCTTGGGCATGAGCTTACACCAGCTTTACAACGTCAGCTCCCTTCGCCCTTCGAAGTCTTACGCAAAACTTACAACGATTCGGACAATCCGTTGCCAAGCACGAAGCACAATCCTGGAAATTCCAACTGCTTTTCGAGTGCTTTATACCGGTGACCAAAATCGTCCATGTCCTTGATCGTCTGCTCGACCTTTTTACGGCTTTTTTCGACCTGGTTCGGGACCTTTTCGGGAAATAGTCCACTCTTGAGGAAGATGTCGGCCACTCGCGGAATAGACGGGTTACCCAGCTTCAATCTCAGCTCAGAAATCACGATACATGCAAAGCGCTGATACAGGCGGGACTACTGGCCACCATCTCTGTACCAAAACACTTGCAGGAATCGTGCTCGAGGATCCATGGTTGCAACGTTCGCATCTACCCCTGGTGGCAGCCAGAAGCTGAGCGGAGTGGTCATCCAGCTTTTGCTGTGGCTTTTCAGCAGATCGAGTGTGCTCTCGTCTGGACCACCGTAGTTGTCAATCTCTTCGAAGCGCCTTGCGTCTTGGTCTCCGCGTTTGACCACGCGATAGCCCACTTTGGATTCGAAGTGCTTTGATTGCACCGAACGCTTCTTGAGGACATTGGCGATCACTTGAAGATGATGTCTGAGATCGATGGCGACCTAGATGTCTTGCGGTCAGAAGTGGTGTGACTGCTGAGGGGGCCGACGCACCTCATCATCATCTCCCTCCTTCCAAAAGGACTCACGTGCTGGATCCAGCGCCTGTGAGTGTTCTGGACTGTGTTCGCTCATGCCGGATCACATCAAAACCTGAAAGTGGGTATAGTGGACTTGCTCGATCTCGGAGCATGGCAAGTCATGAGGCGAACGCTGGGAACTGTTTTGTGGCAGCTCGGCAGTCTTCGTGCTGCAGACGAGGGAGCTCCGCTGGGTACACCAGTACAACTGAATTGACTTCATGCCAAGACTGGCGCTAATTTTCCCTACGGCAGACTGCAACCTCACTGCACGAAGCTCGCAAGCAGAACAGGTTTTTTGTCATTCGTTGCTGCCGAACATGGTTCTAGATCTCTGGCTTCATGCAACTCACTTTCGAGCTGCATACGTTGACGTCAAACACGACGAGATCTTCGAAGCCCACTGCGCTTGGCATGACCTTGCTCACCTCATTGAGGTGATCAGCTTGTCTTGGTGCAAGGAAGTGGCGAAAAGTTTCGACGATTGACGTATCATTCTGGCAGTGTTCATTGACGAGAAGAAGTGGGCGTCACGAAGAGATCCGACCATTCGAGGGGTATAAAAGCTTCGAGAAGGGAGCGTTATGGCTGGAACCACATCCGACCAAGAAATAGCGCAAGAGGATCCCTGAAAGTCGCAACCCAACCAATCAATCGACCAAGTACACCAAAGTACATCACCATGTCCGATAGTACCACATTCAAGTCAGCCGAGAGCTCGCAACCACAGGGCTTGACATCGTCACACATCGAGCGGCTCTCCGAAACAACTCGTGAAGACACTCCAGTTTCTTCTCCGCCCGCGAAGCTTGATGCTCATTGGCAGCGATGCTACGGCTTCGGCAAGCATTTCTTCACCTATGTCTTGGCTGAACCGTTGTACCATGCAGCTCTGCCTACCGCCACGGGCCCGCAGCTTGATGTAGGCGAAAGACTAGACCACGTTATCTCAGCACTGACTCAAATACCCACAGGCTCAATTGCAGACCTCAATGACAGACTTTCGATATGTGGACTGCCTGCAAAAGGCATCGGCAATCGCAGAGTCCGCCGATCTTTCCCCGCCGCCACAAACCCGACCAGGTGGTCACTTTGCGCAGCTGATGGAAGTCATTGGCCTCATAGCACTTCACGATTCAACAGAAGCCAAGCGTGAGCTTGCTGGTGCTATCAGAGGCTCAAGCTTGCGAGGTACTGGTAAGGAGCGTCAATTTGAGGGCTTCCCGCCGTCTCCTCCCGAATCTGTGAGCTCGGATGAGCCCGAGACGATTCAGAATGCACCACACCAGCACCAACGAGCCCGCAACCAAGACTTCCACGACGGCAACCGACGCCGAGAGCGTCCTTTGCAAGACAGACGAATCGGTCAGGAGGTAGTCAGACGAGACGAGCCGAATATGGGCGCCTATGCAACTAGATTGTACGAGTATTGCCAGCAGAACGGGCACGGCCTCGATCATGAAGCTGTGCAAGCAAGTCAGACTGCTGCAACATGGAGAGAAGTGGTCAACGTGGACGGTCGCACCTGGATTGGCGAGGCCAATACGAAGAAAGCTGCCAGACATGAGGCATTCCGCGATGCGTGTATCGAGCTGGGCATTTGAACGCTAGCTGAATGCAATTTGGAACGAAGCTCAGGAAGTCTCAGGCGATTGTTGCTGTGTCAAGCTAGCTCTAAGCCTCATGCTGCACCGCGCCGATCGACCAAAACTTGTTTTGCCACCGACAATGATTTACTTATGCATTGGATTGTCTACTCAACCTGCCGGACTATCCACAATGTTTAGTACGACCCAAGTCTCTTCAGAGAGCGAGAGTGTGGTGCAACGTCTACATGACCACATTGTCGCCAAAGATCTTGTTCAACACGTTGCCGTAGAGCATGTTACCTCTTACTTGAAACCCGGCACCGGCGTTCCTTTCAAGCCGCAGCAGACAACCTGGCATCGCTTTCTTGATGAGCTGTGCCACCTCTGTGACTTCAAAGGTGGTGGCAAAACTGTAAGATCGATTGCTGTCGAAAACACAAGCAGCAGCGGCACAATTTTCTGGGCTGCTTCGACCTATACAGATTCAGCTGCTTTCGAGCAACACTTGTTAGCGTTACTTGGAGTCTTGAAGAGGCTCTCAGCCAGGAACAGCCGCACGGAGGAGACAGCAGCAGCCATCAATGATCTCTCCGTGGATAAAGCATCTGGAAGGATCAAGGTTTACAGTGCTCTGTTCATTGAGTCGGCGAACCAGGCTATCAGAAAATTGTCAACAAGCACGGCGCCTGCAGGTCAGTGCGGCTCGGCTCTCAATGAATATTTGTTGACAATACGATGCAGATCGAACCTTGCTCACTGTCCTCAAGGAGCTCAAAACCTCTTCAGACTCCTTCCCAGCATTGTGTCGTGGAGCATACGACAAATTCAGACACACTGAAGCTCAAGCACGGCTGAACTATCTCATCGAGCACGATCACGACACTTTGTGGACGCATCTAAGGCATCGTATCGGACGACTCGGTTCGTTCAAGCGCGCTTCGCGATTCCTGGCCAAGAACGCACCCAAGTTCGCGGACATCATTCGAGATGCAAAGGTCAAGCTTGTCGATTCACAGCCTCGAGTGAGGACGCCGATATCTGTGGGACCAGATCTCGAAACGCTTCTCACTCGCGTGTGTGCCTGGCTGAAGCAAGAGGCTATCCTCGCCCAAGCAACAAAGAAGCTAGAGACCGCAGAGAACAAGCTCAAAAGTCTCCGTGAGCATACTCTGATGCCCATAGTGCATGCAGAAATACTTATTCTCAACCACTTCTTCACCAAGGATCTCCGCTTCGTAAATGACGATCGATACATCGGCTGCAGCAAGCCATCATGTTACTGTTGTTCGCTGTATTTTGATGCACATCCCGGAAACTTCGTACAAAGACCTTGCCATGGGAATGCCTACGTTAAATGGTCGCCTCCGCGATCCCAGACCGGCGCGCTGAGTGCCGTCACTGTCAACGTCTTGGAGAGCATGACTCTTGACATTCAGGGGGAGCTGAGAGTCCAAATTTTGAATGACATTTATGGACGCAAACGAAGTCGTGATTCGGAGACTGGCATGACGGCCTCATGGAATGGTCAAACGGAGACTCTGGCCGGGCCCGCATGAGAACGCAGTAGGGAGAGTGAGCATGGAAGCTTCTGCTGTGCGACTGTTTGATCTCTTGCAGCACCGCACGAGGATTTGTTGGACGCCATGCATCATATCATCGAGCAGCGAAGACATGACACTCAAGCACCATTTCAGCCTGTCGTGGGCATGACTCTGTATTGGTGCTGTTGAATGGAAGTTTCCAGTCGCTGCGCGTGAATAGCCATTCACTCGGCGCCGTGCGGCATTTTAGTGCCGAGCTTGTCTGTCCCTCGCGGCCCACTCCCACTTTCCAACTAACCCTCATCTGCGACTCGCGCGGCACCACTCATCTCCGTCACCTATCGCACAACAGTGCCTCCAGCCTTCAACACCTCGGCATTCGCGAAGATGTCGCTGTACGAGAAGTAAGGCCTCCCGCAACTCGAGCAGGAACGCATCGCTGATCTTCAACAGGATCGCCCGATCAAAGCCGTGCAAGTTCCGCATTGGCGAAGGAAAGACGGTCTTCTATGTGCATTCAGCTTTGGTCACCGAGCAATCGAAGGGGCTCCACGATCTGATCTACGAAAATGACGGCGATACTGTGAAGAACTCGATTGCGCTGGACCGAGTCGACGCCGACACGTTCTCACGTTTCGTGGAATACCTCTACACTGGCGACTACGCCGCCGCAAAGCCCAAAGCACGCGTGCAGTCGGTCGAGTCCTCCGCTGCGGAGAATTCTGATGAGGAGCCTACGCCAGCATCTTCGAACTCGGGCCGCGACGGTCACGACGAGAGCTGCAGCGAGCATATAGATGCAGGCACTTTTTGGGGAACTCGACATGAGTGCACTTGTGGTTTCGAAGGCGGGAAGTCTGGCCTGGAAGTGCAATTCGGAGCTCAGCCCGCACCACCATCTTTTTCTTGGGGTGCTTTCGAGCCAGCACCGCCCGCGAAGCCGAACAAGAAGAAGCAGAAGAAACCCGAAGACCAGAGGCCTCCTATCTCTGCCAAAGCGCAGGCTTGGGAGGCCTTCAAAGCGCTCACTTGGCCTTTGGCTAAGAAAGAAGCAAAAGGCCCTGAATACTTCGCCAGACCGAACGAGGCCGGCGAAGACTACAGCGAGGTCTTGCTTTCCCATGCACGCCTGCACATCTTCGCTTGCGTCTACGACATCGGTCGCCTGCAAGCTCTGACGCTCAGAAACTTGCACAAGACCCTGGTTGCATTCACCATCTTCGACGATTGCGCACAGGACGTTGGTGAGCTGTTGGAATACTGCCACTGCCCATTCGTAAATCACGCTGCTAACAAGCTGCCCGAAATGGTCGACCAGTACGTGGCTTGCAATATGGGCAACTTGATGGGGGATTCACTTTTTAGAGATGCTGTCCAGAACTGCGACGCTTCTTTTGGTTTGCTGGACCTGCTCGTCGACCGACTGCGGATTCTGGAACAGGACCCGGAACACGATGGCATCTAGGCCCGAAGTTTGGATGAAGGCATGATCCGGGCGCTGCATATTCACTAGCCTACTGTGCTTTCGGTGGACGACCTTGTCAGTCACCGCATAAAGAAAGCCGTAGGGAAAATTAGCGTGAAACTCCCCACTATGTTTCAGGAAGGTGGGAGCATGAATACAAACCCGCCATTGTGCGAGGCTATGATGCATCATTTCCTTGTACTTGTTCACTCACCATCTCTCACATTTCCTCATCGCAGACAGACAGATCGCTCGACAGCAGACATGAGCTCTGACTCTACAAAGTGCGTGAAGTGAAGCAAGTGGCAATGCTCAATTACTGACCCTGGTAGTATTGGTGATGCTGCCCGATCTGAAGCTATTCTGTGCCTTGTCGGAGCTGCGAAGACGAAGTTCTTCGTACATCGAGCTCTACTAAAGCACAGGAACGCCGATCCCCTATGTCCTATCGAAATGAAAAGCGAAAAGGATCCTGCATCGCCGGTCAGAATCGAATACGTCGATGCTGAGACCTTTGCGCGGTACATCGAATACCTCTACACTGGAGAGTACACAGCAGCAGAGCCGAGGAGTCGCATCCACTCGTACTCAAACTCAGCGAGTGAATCAGATACTGAGGTTCTGACTCCCTCGGCCTTATCAGACGCAAGCTTTGATAATTTCGCAGAGAAAGCGTCCTTGCATACTGAAAAATCCTCCTTCGGTGAAACAATGATACCACCTGAGAAGACTGCGGAACAATCGAAGCAGCCGAAAGAGCAAACAGCTCAAAGTGCTTGGAAGTTCCCATGGAAGAGACAAGCGCCTTCACTCCGCCAGCAAGCATGGGAGAGTTTCGTGGCCAAACTGCCTTCTGGCCCTCAGGCGAGCAGTAAGCCAGCTATGTGTATGAATGACCTACACCAAGACTTTCATGAAGACTACACCGAGGTCTTTCTTTCCCATGCGAAACTCTACATCTTCGCCGCGATGTGGTCGGCGGAGAGTCTGCGGAAGCTTTCACTCCGAAGACTGCATGAGAGTCTGGTCCATTTCACGCCCTGTTCGGTGTGTGTGGGCGACGTTGCGATTCTGCTTCGGCACGTTCACCACGACACGGATTCTCTCTGCAACATTGCCGAATTGAAAGCTGTTGTCATCGACTACGTGGCCTGCCATGTAGAAAAGCTGGCGCAGAATAGCATTTTCCAGCAAACAATGCAGGACTCAAACGAGGCCGCGGTGGATCTTATCCAGAGTCTGCTCAGAAGACTGGACACTTGATATTCAGCACACACTTCTGATAGTCTGGCCTTGCGCTGATTGTTCTACTGTAGCGACTGGAATCCGTATCTGATTCTCCCCACGGTATCTCTCCTCATATCAGGCCCACCCAACATCAAGCAGCTTTGCTCAATTCTTCTTCGAACCCGAGTTGGAATTGCCAGAATTGCCACCTTTGCTGGCAGTATTCACGTTCTTGTCGGCAGCAGACTGAGCACGCTGAGCGAAACCCTGGTCATTGCCCGACTTGGCCTGCGACAGCGTTAGCAGCGAATCGATATGTGCCGGCATATGGTATAATATGCGCATACATTGGCGGACTGAATGCGAGCCGCATCTTCTTTGCTCATTTGTCCAGACATGTTGGTATGTGGTAGATTGTTTACTCTTGTTTCAGGTTCTGTGGATGTTGGAAGTGAATGAAGGACCTAAGTCGTGAAAGAACATTCTTATATATCTCTAGCTTGATATGTCTCCGCTCATTCCTGCGCGTCTGAAGGAGCTCAATGCTGTAGCTCTGAAGCTCTTGCATGCACTGAGCCCAGGAATCTGCACAATCAAGCTCGTTCTTTGGCCAATGCACTCTTGAGTTTGGGCTAAAATACCGTGCGGCGCAGTTCTGCTCACGGCATGGGTAGTCCATTTGCCTAGAGGAGAATTTCACAGCTGTCAGGCCCCGGCCATGTAGGAACCGACTCGACGTTGCCTTCACGCCGCTGATCCAGCTGCAATAATTCTTGTCGCGAGCTTGTCCCTTGGATGTCCGGAGCTGACTTGGAAGAGCTCATGATGCATGCAGACGGCTGTACAAATGGCACTAACCTCAGCTTCTGCCGTGAGACGATGTTGGTGCGAAAATCCTACGCTCCATTAATTGTCGATGCACGTTGAGTTGCTTCCCGCCTCATTGCAGTTCTCACTGTACGGCACAACTCTCGGAAATCCCAGCAACTGATCCGGTCCACCATCACTAATAAATCCCTGATACGCGCCCGGCTTGCCCACCTTCCAATATGGACCTCCCTCAGCACGTTGCTGACTCCATTCATTGGCTCCATACACGAAATCACAGTCAAGTTCGTTGGTGTCAATGATCCTGCAGATCGATGGCTGTGTGCCGACTCCGGCTATTTGACCGGGAGGGGATAGGCGGAAGAAGGCAAAGGATGTGCCAGCGCGGAGGCAGCAGTTCTCGGTGAACATACGAGTTCCGGTATATGGGCCCCCTAGAGCCGTAAGGTGACATTCTGATGACAGCTGGAAAAGCTGTGTCCTGACGTCGTTAATTCTGTTGTTGCGTGTGCTGAGCACGGCTCCATACGCCGGATTTCCTTGTGGGGTGTGCTCCACTATCTCTGCGTAGGCACCTTCGTTGGCTATAGCAGGTGCTGTAGGGAGGAGGCCAAAAGTCGGGAAGACCGTGTAGGTGGTTGTGGACGTGAATGTCGTACTGGTAGATGTTGATATCGTTGAAGTGGACGCAGTAACCGATACTGTACTGGATGTGACGGTGGTGGTTGTTCGTGCGGTGATTACGGAGACAATAGTGGTTGTGGTAGTCGCAGTGTCGAACTCTGTCCTCAGGTATGTTGAAGTGACTGTGCGAGTCACGCCAGAAGTGAACAGGCGTGTCGATGTTCGAGTCGGTGCCTTAAGCGATAGACATTTGCATGCGTTGCCTAGCGTCTTTTCGAATGCTTTCAGACATGTCGGGAGGCGAATCGCTGACTTGCTATTGGGAACAGATCGCTTCTCTTTAGCACGCGGAGGATTATAGACGGATGGCTCGCAAGAGTATCTGACGCTGGAAATGACAGTGGTGGTGACGGAAGTGCTAGTCGTGGTGCCGACGGTCGTTGTGTAGCCAACATATGAAGTCCTGGACGAGTCAGCGTTGAGTCGAATCAAAGTGCAGTGAGCTGTGTCCCAAAACATACTCAGTGCTTGTGCTTGTGCTCAGACTATGAATCCATTAGCATTACGAATGACTCCCGAGAACGAAAGTTGATACCTGATGACCTCTACGGTGGAAGTCGTTGTTTGCCTTGCGACTTGAGTAGTAGATACCGTCGTGAATCCAGTCGTGGTGACAGTAGATACGACGGTCGATACGACAGGCTTGATTCCGAGATATGACGAGCAATATGCAGAAGCGGTAGAAGAGGCACGAAGCGTCTTGATAGCCTTGGAGACACTGCTGCAGACCTGAGGCGGAGGCTTTGCACTAGCATATGCTTCGGGCGCAGGACTCGCAGCTGCGATGCTTGATAGCAAAGCTAGGAGAGGTCCGATCACCCACATCTTGGAGAAGCCGTCCGCTCAACAGAGTACCAGCGGAGACCAAGTTAAGCAGAAGTGTTCGATGTCCGGACGGCTCTGTCTCTTGACCTTGTACCAGTATCTGGGGCCGAGGACATGGCTGAGCTGCCAATGGGTTCTGGCCTCGAGAGTCTCAGTGGCGGTCGTGAAGTTGACGCCCACGTTCCTCATGATTGGCGAGGTCTTCAAATCAATCTCCTTTGAACCTTATACACGACCGATCCGGTTAGCACCTCCAAGAACTTCCCAAATGGAGACAGTGTAGGCGAAGAGGCTGCCGTTTAAGAAGCTGTCGTCTCATTGCATCCGCTTTCGTGTTTTGCATCAGGTGATAGCGGACATGGTTTTTTGCGCTTCGGTCGTCACGATTTGCTGTGAAGGTCATTCACGCCATTGTAAATGCAGCTGAATCTTGCATTCGAAGCATTTGCGCTCCATTTAAGTCACTTCCTTTCAGAAAAAACAGCAGTTGCCGACAGGATTCGTCTCGTGCAACAGCTGGCCACCTCGGGTGCTCTCGCGACAGCATTTCTGTGATGGCGCCCAGCGCCAATCTGCCTCAGATCGAGCTTCGGTGAACATAACATGGAGTCGCTGGGCCATGTGTGAGCATACAACTTCAGTGACACGCCGTCGAGTGTCGTTCATCAGTGAATAAAGGAGAAGAAGTCTTCCAGAAGGTGGGGTGTTCCTTGAAAAGCGCTCTGACAGGGTTCTTGATCCTTTGGCGGATGGCGGAGTCTGAACTCTCGTCTATTCCTGGACAGCATGCCCAGACCAGTATCAACTTCAGCTCGCGCTGAATTCAATATGAATTCTTCATCTTCCAGCCGGCTGTGGAAATGCAGACTTCTGTCCAAGTGAGCTGCCTGAACGTAGATGTCTTCACAGCTCCAGCCCTAGCCCTCTACTCGTCGCAGGATCGGTCCGTCTCACGCCATCAGCACGCCCGGGCCTGATTCGTCCACGGCCAGCGAAGACAATGGCCTTTTTCGCCTATCCCTGCATACTGTTGTCCTGAACATGGTCATAATCATCAAACCAGAGGAATGATGCATCGTGGTACAAGCACAAGCACCATGCACAGCATGGGCCTCGGCACCAGCAGCGGCTCCATAGTTCCACCCTACGACTCCACCACCCAAAACATTGAAGACCTCACTTCCTTGTTCGCCAACGCCATCAACGCCCGGAACTTCGACGCCAAAAGCTCGCCGTGGAACAAAGTCACGCCCAGTTTTCGGGCGCAGCCGGTGTTCGCGGAGAATCGTCAGCTCGATGTACATGAGCTGTTGGCTCATTGGCGGACAGTATTTGAGGAGTTTCCGAATATGTATGTGCGGACGGTAGATCGGTATACGAGACTTCTTGACGAGGGCAACCTGGCCGAGAATTATGAGACGTTGGAGATCATGAATGCTCCGGAGGGTGTGATTAAGCAGATGATTGGAAGATGTACTTGGGTGTTCCGTGAAGGGGAGTGGAGGATCGCAAGCTATAAGGCCATGAATGGCATGAATCCGGCGTAGAAGTTGCTCAGACTGATCGTTTGCGCCTGCCAAATGGCGACGAAGGAAGGCACGATTTGGAAAGAGTCCTTGAGAGGCAACAGGTGGGTCAGAGAGGCTTGTCGACTCTTGGCGCAGGCTTGCTTAGCCATATGGGTGCACGACATGGCCGGGTATGCATATCCGCGACCTCTCCTCCTTGAGGCTGGTTTACCGATGCGTGTGGCACCAAGCCGACCGTGGCCAATGGACGCCTATCGAAGCTGCTATGCAAATAGGTCTACCATCGGACTTTAGCCTGTGACTGAGCTTGAGGAGGAAAGGGACGGGAGTGGAAGCTAGGCGAGAGCAAGAGGTCAACTGAAGTTTACGAGCTCAGCTTGACGGCGGAACCCATCGAGACTTATGTGACGGTATGGCTCATACAGAAGCAGACTTTTATCCTCATGTCCCGGAATTCCAGAGGTAGTACATGTATGTTGTCAATAACGACATTAACGTTCCTGCACCTTCGTATCATCCTTGCAAATTCCACCTGGCACTCCACTCCTTCCTACTCTCATCCTCCGCATCATGTCTCCTCACGTAATGTCCCTTCTTTCCCTCCTTCGCAATCCCCTTAAACTTATGCCTCACATCCTCCTGCGCCTTCCCGACTGGCGCATCATAATCCACCGTAAAAACACTGATGGAAGCCCTACAGCCCGAGCTCAGCACCTCCGTCTCTCCCGGCAAATCACAATCTCCATTGATACAAACGTTGCCCCCAGCTGGCACAATGTTCTCATACCTGAACAGTCCCGAGGTCTGGTTAAACACCGCAACATCATAATCCGCCCCACCAGTCAATCTGGTCTGAACGAATGTCGGATCAACGCAAGAATCGTTCGTGAGAGAGGTGATGAAAGGCGTGTTGACACTGATTCCATAGCCCAATGGCAATAGCCGTTCACCGCGCTTCGTGTTTTTCACAAGAGCTTGAATGACTTTGACAGCGAGCTGAGCTTGAATCGTAGCAGGATCCGGATGGCCAGAAGGTGTAGTTTTGTTCATCCATTGATAAGAACGCTGTTCGCTGTTCCCGCCGCTGAAGGCTATAGCTGGATAGCCTCTGCCTACGGAGGCATACGTATAGCCTGCAGTACCGGAGAGAGTGTACAAAAAGGGACCGAGGTTGAGGCCAAAGTTGGGGCCTGCGACAACGAGGTCGGGTTCAGTGAAGTTGGTGAAGTTGGGGAGGACGTAGTCGAGGCCGACGAAGGCTGTTGCAGCGGGAGTGCCGTTGTAGTACCAGATGTTTTGGTCTGTGAATAATTAGATGAGAAGGTCTGATGTATGGAAATTGAACACAAATTACCCATTGGATCTCTGCCAATAGATGGAGCTCCAGCTTTGATGAGCCCATACTCCGAATCTTGCTGAAGAGTGTTTCTGTTCGTGAAGACTGCTCGGCCACCTTGACCACTCTGGTTGTCGGCCTCGGACACGACGACGACATTGTGCCCTTCCTTCTTCAATAGTCTGTAAGTTTCTCGGAGTTGGGCAGACGCAAAACCGTCATCGTTGCCGAGCAAGATGTCCAAGCCAGACACATAAGGAGCCAATGCCGCTGCAGTAGCAGCAAAAGTGAAGAAATGCATACTGGGAAACTGGAATGGGTCGATGAACGAAACAAATAATCTTTGAGAGGACCTACGAGCATTTTAAGCATTGGTACAATTAGCCTCAGCACAGCTTGAACAAGACAAGCTTTCAATTTTCAACCGAAGGCGCGGCTGAGTGAACAGATCGAGAGTGTCTGGCCGACATTGAGACGGGAGCCCAAGATGAGTACGTTCTCACTCCGCGGTGCGACGCGACTCAAAGTGCTGTTCGCGCGCACGTGTCGCGCTAGCTTGATCCTGTACGACTTGAACCTGCAGTTGACGACAGATCGTTTCGTCAGAGGCGGTTGGCGGCACATATCTCCGAGCGGCAATTGGTGTTCTGAGCCACGCAAGCGCGTCAACAATCTCGAGAGTCTGTGATACTGCACCCGGAGCTATGTGCTCCGGCTGACAGACGCGAAAGTAGGGCATACAATTGCCGGCAAACACAAATCCTGGTTATTTGAGCGGATGAACCGCGAACGTACCTTGCCTAGTCCTGGGGTTGTCACGCGACAAGAAAGGATCAACCTTCAGTCGCGCTCTTAGGCCTGCTCGTCGACAGCAGAATCGCACGCGATGACTTCTCCAACAACAGCTCAATCATCGCGCAGGCCAAGCTGGCAATACAAGTATGAGCATGAGATGAGCGACGAAGAACGACTGGAGTCTCTCAAAGCTTGGGCAGAAGAGAAGAAGTATGTGACACCAGGCGAAGAAGGTACCTTGAGCACGGGAATTGGTGGTGTTACCTCGCTCGCACTTGGAGGACCACTGCGAACGGTCCAAAGCGCAAGACATGCGGAGGACAAGTATCATGGCCAGTATGATGCGCCCATTGGGCCTCCTTCGTACAAAGTGGCGACCACGGAGGAGCAGGAGCGAAAGCCTAACGTGTTGAAGCGTTGGCTGCAGAAGCGGCGATTGAAGAAGGCGGCAAAGCGCAGCGAAAGTGCTCCAGAATATGTGCGATGAGCTTGAGTCTTATGCATCCAGCGAAGGAAGTTTTCCTCCAGAATCGCAGATGCTGAAAACGACCGAGTCAAGATCTGCACACGCGCAGTCAGCATTGAGCGCAAACACGAGATGTTTGGACGAAGCGCGGCAATATTGTGAAGATCATACAAATTGGTGTAGTTGTTTCTCATCAATTTTGCTCAAGTCAAAACCCGAAGGCGAAGACAGAGCGATTATGAGTGGTGCATGAAACAGTTGCTAATCATTTCAGAGGATGAAGGAGCAGGGAAGGCGACTTACCTGGCGATTGGTGCGATCCAGGTTCTGGTGGCAGTGATAGCAGTGGTGTAACCACTTGGAGCAGTGCAGGCGAGCCGATGGTTGTTGCATGTGGCAGAGCAGAGCACAAGCTTCGTGATCGAGGCGGAAACAGGAGAACAGAATCTCAAGTGGCGTCTTCGCCAAACCCCATACCTTCCCTCCAACCAGCTTTCTCTTTGAGCACTTTCTTGCGCTCTTCTCTCCACTTCTTGTCCCATGCCTCGACCTTCCCACCTAGCAAGTCCACATTGCCAGGTGTGAGCATGATGACGCCTCTGGACACGGTGAAGTCCTTCAGTATGAGCTTCGCGCCAATAGGCAGAGTGATGTCCAATTTGTTGATCTTGGTCATTTCGAAAGCGTATGCTTTACTGCCTTTCGCATCTTGAAGCAACAACTTATGTGGACCACCTTTTTCGGCCGAGTTTGCCGGCGGGTTCATGTCTGTGTTGTCCTCTTCATCAGGAACGACGCGTATGACTTCGTGACCTTTGCGCATTTCGCCTCGTTCCTCCATTTCAATGGCCTCGACCTGGCTCCATCTGCTGCGTCCAATGTCTTCGATCTCGAGGACCTGCACGGGCACCGGGCCAGGCACGCGCAGCTCTTGCACTTCCGGACTAGCCACGCCTGCTGGAAAGCATGAAGCTGCACTGGTCTGCAGGGTGGATGTGAAGTCTGTGGTCAGAAGACGCGACTCGGCGGATTTCTGCTGCACGATGGGTGGAGTCTGAAGTTTGATGGACGGCTTGTAAGATTGCAGCCATTGTGCAGTGGGCATCAGTGACTTGGAGCTGAGATAGGTGCGTATGGCGTTGACTGCAGCGTCAGCCATGGTTGGTTGCCTCACATCTTTGTTGTTCGGGTGTTGAAGAAAAGGAAGAGAAATTCGGAAATGGAAAGCGCGTCTTTCACAAGCTGCCAAGACCGTAGCTATCCTCCCGCGTCACCAACAGGCCCTCCTTCTGCAGACTATCACTGTGTACAATCCCATATCATCATGTCAGTAGCATCGCCTCGTCCGTCGGTGTCTCTGTCCTCTCGCCGGACATCAATCGATACAACGACATCCACTACATCCAAGACAGCATCTCAAGCCGCCGAACGAGGCTCTCTCCGCCGCAACCGCGCAGCTCTCCGCGATTACTACAATCTCAAAACCAATTCTCCTTCCGGTGCACAAGAGCTGTTCACACCTGCCACGCCCTCTCTCGATCCCGACCAAGAATCCGAACTCGACAAACCCGGCTTCGAACCCGAACAATATGTCCAGAATCTCCTCACCACCGAAGACTTATATGGCGTGCTCCGCATCGAAGCCAGTCTAGTCTCCGACATTCGAAACCTCGATGGAGAGAAGAAAGCACTGGTATACGATAACTATTCTAAGCTGATAACAGCTACGGATACGATCAAAGCTATGAGGGAGAAGATGGATCCCATGATGCCGGGCACGAGTACACTGGGACCAGCGATTGGACATATTGCTGAAACTGCGGCGGGCTTGAAGAGGGAGATGAGCGAAGCGAGTGCGGGTGGAGAGGTCGCGAAAATTGAACAGAGGAGGAAACAGCAGGAGTGTGTGAGGTGGGTTTTGGGAAGTCCGGACAGGTTGAGGGAGCTGAAGAGAGAGGGGAGAGACGAAGAAGCGGACGAAGAATGGGATAAAGTCAACAGAGTGCTTGAAGGATGGAAGGGTGTGAAAGGTGTTGAAGATGTGAGGAGGGCTTGCCTGGAGGTGCTGGAAGAGAGTGACGAAGGATGAACCGCGTTATCTGCACGACTGAGCGCATCTTACCATTAACCCGGACTCGCCGCCACGAGTATGATGACTTGATTGCTCTAGGATATTGCTGCCCACAGCCCTGGGCACGATTCGACATGGTCACCGGGTCTTGACACTCAGGCCGCCTCTTTGCACTGCACGCCTCGAAGCCGCAAGCGCAGCACGCTTTTCGATCTCACCTTGGACCAACCCTTCCAACAACATTTCGCCAGGTGGAACAAATGCACATCGCTTGGAAGTATACTCGATTCGGTCAATTCCCAATGCACGGAGCGTGGGAGGACCGCGAGTATTAATTCTGATTGCCTCCATCCGGGATCACAAGATTGTTCTCAAGCACATGATCGTCTGGCCCCATGGACATCGCAAACTATTCGGAGAAAGCGTAGTGCGTCACAGCCGCAGATTAGGAAATCGCTGCGCTGGACGTTGGCCGAGCGCGGCCTATCCACATGAAACGGCGCTCTATTCTTGGCTGCCAGATTTGATCTTGGAAGCTTGGAATACCACGCCGATACGGTAGCATTCACCTGCCGAACGGGGAATCGATTGACTATCTCATGATTCGGATCATGCTCGTGATACGGTCGGGTGTCGGCCACTCGTATGCATTGATTGCAAAGACTTGGTTCCGATTTTCCTTACCCCCGCTAGTTGGTGGAGGTGAGGGGCGGATATTGACTACGCTCCAGTATGATCTCCCAAGATAAATTGCATTGTATACTGGAAGCATGTAGATAGCCGATAACCGTGTACCATGGCGGAAAGCAACGAAGACAAACGCTGGAAACGCGCTCGCCGTTCTAGGCACATTATATCAAAGACATAAGCTGGACGGGCATCGTCACCATGCATGTGAAGGGCAAGTGTACCTGCAGATCTGGCGGCGCCCTCATCTCGAAGCGAGCGAATCGTTGGAGCTTGGCTGTTTAGCTCACAACCCCTGCCACGCGCCAGGAGGCGTTTGCGCGACGCTTTTGCGACGAGAATACGACCTCTTCCACCGCCGTATCGCAACACTGCGTCTTCACGCAAATCACACTCACTTCCACGCAGAACCTCACTGCAGTCACTCCTTTAGCAGAGACCCGAGATCCGCTGGTCGGATCGAATCCTCCACACGCCACCACCGCCACACGCGTCTGACACCCGAACATCAACCATGTCTCGCCGTCTTGGGGGCCTGGTCAGCACCGCGCTGCTTGTCGCAACTTCCCTGGCGCAGACCTTCACGGACTGCAATCCCAACAACTCATCATGTGGTCCCGATCCAGCATTGGGCACGACGTTCTCCGAGGAATACAACAAGACGTACAATGAGTTCGATCCGCGCTTCTGGAACGTCACGGCGGGCAAGCAGCTCATCTCGTTTGGCGAAGAGGGAGCGGAGCTTGCATTGAACAAAGAAGGAGAATCAATTACTGTCAAGTCGAATTTCTACATCTTCTGGGGACAAGTCGAGATCTTGTTCAAGGCGGCGCAGGGCAATGGCATTATTAGCACAGTCATTACTCTTAGTGACAACCTGGACGAAATCGATTGGGAGATAAAAGGCGGCAACCACACAAGCGCATCGAACAACTACTATGGATGGGGAAATCTCACGCAGTTCAACTCAGAGTACCCTGCGATGAATCCAGGACCTCAAGATGACTTCCACAACTACACGATTGACTGGACGAAGGAAAGGATTCAGCTATTCGTCAATGGCGACATGGTGAGGAACATTCCCGCTGGTGTGGCAGGCGAATACCCACAAACACCCAGTCGTGTCCAATTTGGTGTATGGTGTGGCGGGTGCTCCGACCAGCCTGGCACAGTTGAATGGGCTGGCGGAAAGCCCACCTGGGACGAAGGGTGAGTACATATACCTCGCCATCATTTATCAGAACCAGTAATACTGACACCCTCCTCAGCCCGTACGTGATGAAGGTCAAATCACTTCGCATCACAGATGGAACTACCAATGCCACCGAATACAGCTACGGCGATCACAGCGGCAAATGGGAAAGCATCAAAATCGTCGATGGCCAATCCGAAGCCTACAAAGAAATGAACAAGCTCAGCACCTACGAGAAAGCTCAGAAACATTGGGAAGGTCTCTCAACAGGGGCCAAAATCGGCATTGCTTGCGGTGTGCTCGGCGTCTTCCTCATCTGCACAATCGCTTTCGCATTCTACTGCATGAAGCAACGGAAAGAAGGTCGCGCAGAAGCTCTTTTGCAAGAGAAAGAATGGGATGCGCATAATGCCGAATTGATGGAATATCGCACCATGATGGCGAAAGGCAATTTTGCTGTCTCGAGACAGAGCGTCATGATGGAAGCACTACAGGAGCCTAAGCAGAGTCGGTTGGCGAGGTTGAGTGGGAGGTTCTAGGAGTGAGAGGGCTCGCTCCTCTGGCCGGCGCCTTTTCATTTTTCCTTCATTTATACCAATCGACAGCGATGAGAACAGAGAGATGCGCGGAGTCGGCAGAAGTCTTGCATGCGTGCTTGCATGCTTGCGAAGAATTGTACAGTGCAGAGAGGCTTTCACGAGCCAGGTGGGGGAGTTGCTCTTTTGAATTGTTCCTTTCTGGGGTTTGGGTAACGTGCATCATGAGATACCAGTCAATCTTTCATTCTTACTATGCCTCATTTTCATCATATTTGCTCCAATCCAGTTTTGTTGAATTTGCTAATAATGTCGGATCAGCATACTACCTTCCATCTGTAGGTTAGGCGTCCTTGTCTGGGTGAGTCAACCTTAGCTGCTGCGAAGCGTCGAGTTGAGGCTGAGACCAAACTTTCCTCAATGCCACCGGACGATTGAGCCGCGGACGAAGCGGACGAAATTCACACAGCCCTTTGGGACACCGCATGCCAACTCGCACGTCGAGAAATATATATGGCTTCTATATCACCGTGCGGATTCTCATTAAGCACTCAATTCGTTTTCTGTCAAGCAGGTTTGCAAGAATGGCGTTTCTTCCTGCAGACTTGGCAAGCTGGTTCGCTCCTGCTCTTGCCATCACAATTACGTCCTTTCTCTTCTACTATCATTTCCTTTTCTCCCAACGCTCCCCATTTCCAATTGTCAACTCCTATCCCTACGACTTCCTCAATCGCAGAGCCCACAAGACCTACCTCGAAAATGCTCAAGAACTCATCACTCAAGGCCTCGAGAAATACAATAGCCCCATCACTCTTGCGACACCTTCCGGCCCTCTCATGATCCTGCCAGCTGAATCAATAGACTGGGTCCGCACAAACCCCGATCTCGACCACCAAGAACTCGTTCTCCAACAATACTTCGGCAACTTCCCCGGCTTCGAAGCGAATAAAATCATGCATGATGATCCAGACAATTTAGTCATTAACCTCATCAAGAGGAAGCTCTCACAGAATGGAAAATTGGTGCCGATTCTGAGCCGGCATATTGGCGAGGCGTTGGAGGAGTTGTGGACGGAGAATGAGGAGTGGCATCTGATTGAATGGTATGGTAGTACAATGGGATTGATCTCGAGAGCTGCAGGTGCGGTATTTGCGGGAGAGAAGCTTTCGCGTGATGGAGAGTGGCAGCGAATGACGATGCGGTATGCTACGGGGTTCTTTTCTGCTGCGTTTGAGTTGATGCGGTGGCCGGCTTGGACGAGGCCTGTTGTCCATTGGTTTTTGCCTGGAGCGAGGGATTGTAGGAAATTGATGAGGGATGTGAGGAGGGTCATGCGGGAGGAGGTGAAGAGGAGGGAGAGGGAGGGGACAGAAGGGAAAGGAGAAATAGAGTATTTTGATGCTGTGGGATGGAGTGAGGAGCTTGCGGGCGGCAAAAAGGTCGATCATGGGGCTGTACAGCTTTCGCTTGCGATGGCTGCGTTGCACACTACCTCGAGCGCGCTGAGGCAGGTTCTGTTGGACTTGTGCGAGCACGCTGAGCTTGTTGAGCCTCTGCGGGAAGAAGTGAGGGAAGCCGTGAAGGATCATGGCGTAACTGCGGCAGCAGTTGCGAAAATGCACTTGCTCGACAGTGTTATGAAGGAGTCGCAAAGACTAGGTCCTCCAACGATTGGTAAGTCAAGCCTGATGTGATGCGGAACCTGGGTTCCTGGCACTGACGAGATCAAAGCTGGTCCCGAGCGCCTCGTAATCCGCGACACAAGGCTTCCAGATGGTATCCTGCTCGCACGCGGCTCTCACATCGCCGTCGACCAATCTGGCATGCGAAGTCCAGGGAACTACTCCGAGCCAGAAAAGTTCGACGGTTATCGCTTCTACAAAATGCGTGAAGCGGGCGATGAGCGCACGGCTTTCGCCTCATCGACCAAAGAGCACAGCGTGTTCGGCATTGGGAAATATATCTGTCCAGGAAGATTTCTTGCGGCGGTCGAGATCAAGCTGTGCCTGGCGCATATCTTGCTCAAGTACGATGTCAGATTTCGTGAGGGCTACAAGCCACAATCTGCAAAACTGGGAATTGTGAACATGGTCGACATCGCGGCGCAGATAGAGGTAGGACGGCGGCATGATGCTGATGATGTTCTTGTGTGAGCGAAACTCGTGTGTATATAATGTTATGCAGAAAGTGGAAGGTTGATGGAGAGGACGGCGGGCGATGCCCGCTTGGACGCGTTCAAGCCGAATTTCGCCCGATTTCCACGACAACGCCCACAACAAACTTCCGCCTTCGGACTTTTGGCACAGCACCACCGGCACGACATTCGTTGGCAACAGCCTTATTCGCCAGTTTGGAGACTACTGTACATATTTCACTTCAGCATGGCTCGATTACGGCGTGCTCCAGTCGATGGCAGCGAGCCTTGCAGAAGCACGTGCGAAACAGACGTGACAGATTCACCGCCCACGCGGCCAGCAAGACGGAAACCAGCAGCGAGATACACGATCCCGGAAGACTCAGATGAGGAAGAACCTGTGACACGGAAGAAGAAACCAACAGCCCCAGGAGACCGCTCGAAATCGGCCTCCCAGATTCGACTTGCTCCTTTGCAATCTTTGAGCAGCCTCAGCGACTTGACGATACAGGATGATACACCGGAGAAGGCGAGGCGTAGATCGCCTTTGAAGCAGGAGGCGCGGAGAATGTTACAGAAGAAATCTTCAAAGACGTCGAACCTGTTGGAAGATGCACCCACATCTACTCAGATTTCTCTGGCAGCGCACAGCGAATTGGATCGCGAAGAAGAATCGGCTGAAAGTGCGGACGACGTGGATGAGGAAGTGGACGTCGAAGAGAGTATTTGGTGTGGCTCAGAGCCCGATGCATCAGCATCTGAGGATGACTTGCCCAGTCCGAGTTCATTTTTTCCAGCAAGGCGGAAGCAAGCAGATCAGAAGCAGCCTGACTTGGCAAAGCAATTGGAAGCACTTCGTATTTTCGATGCCGATACCGATGCACCCACGAAACGTCCCGCAGCGCGAAATGACAGGTTGGTCTCAGCAATACGCCCCGGCAGTTCCTCAGATAAGGAGAATCAAGATGCAATCATCAAGTTCTCGCCACCTCGGTCTAAGAAGCCGATGGTTGCGCGAGAACCAGACGAGCGACCATCAACACCTCCTCTTCCACCGCCTTCGCCCACAAAGCTGAAGTCTCCTTCCAAGCGGCCACCACGCATACCCACACCACCTGGTCGTCCGAGCCTAGACGCTTTCTGGACAGCATCAGCAGTCAATGACTGGAACGACCAGTACTCCCCACAGAAGCCCATTCGGTCGCCGCGAAAGCTCTTCGAACCACAGACCAAACTCTTCGACGACACACCGATAGCCTCACCCGCAAAACTCGCCAGCCCAACCAAACGCTCCAAAGCCGAACTTCAGGCCCGGAAAGACTGGGAAACCCGCAAAATATCTATCGCCGAATCCTTCCTTCAGGAGCTCGATCAAACCATCACCCAAGGCCGCATCGCAGCACTGTCGGCCTCCACAGGTGGCGTCCAGATAATCTGGTCCAAAACTCTCAACAGCACCGCCGGACGCGCCAATTGGCGCCGCGAAACAACAAAATCCCACCCCTCCAGCACCAACAAAGACCCCACAAAACCAACATCAACCACCACAACACACAAACACTTCGCCACAATCGAACTCGCCTCCAAAGTCCTAACCTACTCTCCTCAAGCCGAAACTCAGCTCCTTAACGTCCTCGCTCACGAATTCTGTCACTTGGCGAATTTCATGGTCTCAGGTATAAAAGACCAACCACATGGAGCGAGTTTCAAAACTTGGGGGAGGAAATGTAGTCAAGCGTTCAAGGACAGAGGGATTGAAGTCACCACGAAACATAGTTATGAGATTGAGTATAAGTATGTTTGGAAGTGTGTGGAAGAGGATGAGTGTGGGATGGAGTTTAAGAGGCATAGTAAGAGTATTGATCCGGAGAGGCATCGGTGCGGGGGTTGTAAGGGGAACTTGGTGCAGGTTAAGCCTGTGCCACGAGGAGGTGCGGTAAAGGCGGCGGGTGGGAAGGTGGAGGGTGGTGAAGCTGGGCAGAAGAAGTCTGCGCCGCAAGTCAATGGCTACGCGGCGTATGTGAAGCAGCATTTTGCTTCATTGAAGAAGTCTTTGCCGCCTGGGACGAGTCATAAGGAGGTTATGGAGGCTTTGGGGAGACAGTACAGGGCTGAGAAAGCAGCAGCGGGAACCAAGACAGCGGATTCTGGAGCTGTTCCTGCCGCAGACGAAGTGGCGGACAAGTTGGCAAGTGTCAAGCTGAACGTCAAAGAGATCATTGAGCTAGAGGATTAACCGTATCATCAAGCTGCCATAGATAAGCCATTATGCTTGATTGTTGTATTTATCTCAGCAAGTCCACTTGAGCTTTGTGATCAATTAACATATCTCGGCGCATTCCATCAATGCATAGCTTTCCGGCTGATCAGGCATCAAAAACATGCTCCCTCGTTCAACCATTCACACGAAGGCTGAAAGCTTTCCATGAACAGCAAAGGTCATAACTCTAGGTTCGAGAGCTGCCATACAACACTTCACTCCAGCTCCGCCCATCAGGTCATCAGCTTGCAAGACCAGAAGAACCCGAAAGCCCGAAAGAGAAGACACCTCACTGCTGTATGAAGTAGAGCAAATCGGATTGGGTCATCAAATCACCAAAAAATGGATTGGAAGCAAGAGATGATCACCATATCAATGATTCCGCACTAGTAGTTACACTCTATTTTCTTTGCCTCCATTTCCCTCCATTCTACCCATACATGTCCGAAGATACAATGCTTCCGTGGATATCTCGTAAAGATCGTGATGAGTCTATGGCCATCCAATGCTTAATGCCTTCTGCTCTTTCTGAAAGAGTGTGTCTGCTACTGCTTCTGCGCGCTGCTGCTGTGTAAAAGGACTGTGGGTTCTAAATCCTGATTCCAAAACGCCCGCTTTGCCCGGTCTATCCCCAAATTGGATCCTAGACTCCAGGTCTCCCAATGCAATTGTCGTGATATTCGTAGTCATCGTGGTCTTTTCCATTTTGGCCAGTGTGCTGCTCAGCCCAAGAATGTGTTCACAGATTGATACCCAGCCCCAAGCCGACGTTGAGTCCACCGAGGCCAAGGTTCGCGTTAATGCCGATGCCGCCGCTGGCATAGTAGGAGCCCCAATTGTAGCCTCCAAGTGGATACGCTCCCCAGCATGTGAGCCAGTTGAGTGGGTTGTGGTCCCAATAATCGGCGTAGCCCCAATAGGGCAAGAAACTTTGGCAGCCGTTAGCGAATGGCCAGTTGAGCCAGCTACCGCCACAGTTTGGCCAGCACTGTGCATTGGCTTCGGCATCGCGCTGCTGAATGCTGTTGGAGTCTTTGTTGTTGGTGCTCTGGGTGGCGCCCTGTTGTTGTTGCTGCTTCGCCAGCGCATTGGCTTTGAGCTGTTTCCAGTCCTCCATGGTAGGGATCTTCGCATTCGCCAGTTTGTCTGCACCGAAGTTCGTCTCATATGCCTGCTTGAACTCTGCGCCGAACTTGTTGAAGATTTCTGCTTCAGAGTCCCCGGCTTGTTTGGCCTTGGTGACTAGTTGGGACATCTCGGCATTTTGAGCATTGATTTCTCGAGCAACAATGTTCTGCTGATGGTTAGTGATGTGAACTGGAGAGGCTTCGAGTGCCACTCACTTCTGTTGGTACTGCGAGAACGCCAGAGAGAGCCAAAGAGGCGACAGTAGCAGCAACGAGCTTGAATTGCATATTGATTGATTGTTTGATTGTTTGATCGAGGCGTTGACTGGAACTGATGAATAAAGAAGTGCTGAGCTGATTGTGATTGAACGAGGTGGTTGTACTGGTTGTTGTGGTGTGGAGATGCTGATGCTGATGATGAGTTGAATGTCAGGAATTCTTTAGTCCTTATATCTGATTTCTGTCGCCATAGAGGCCGGAAGCATAGCATGTGAGTCGTCGCTTTGCCTTCCGTAACGAAGACGTTCGTAGACTCTCGCACATGGCAACAATTGGGGTCGAAGCTGGGGGTTGAGAGGGATATGCCTGTCGACATGCACTATTCATACATCGGCAACCATTCTGGGCAGTACTCTTTGAACTCAATAGTTGTTGCTCTTCCCAAAAAGGTTGGCCTTCCAACTCAATTCATGGATCTTGCTGATCGGAGCTGAGGAACACCAGTACCGCCAAAGCATGTTGCTATTTCGTGCTGGCCTGCTCGGTCGGCGTGACGTCGATTTTTTCTTCACAACACCAACAATAGTATCGTGCCGCTCCGAACCTTCTTCCACGAGGTTGGGCGTTGGGCGTGGCATTTGGGGCTCTGGCCACAGACTTCGCTCAGAGACCGAAGGACTGGTGGGCTGCATAGCACCTGTATTTGGGAATGCAACAAACAATGCCACTGAAGTTTTGTCAGCCCTATCCCGGATTTCAGTTTTCGTTCGACGTTGGAAGAAAGTGCTGAGCCGAGCATTGCTGACAGGCACGAACTGCTCGCTGACAGGTTCATCCTCATCGCACAATGAGCGTCCCTTCCCCATTTGGTCGTGTCTGACTGGAGCCACGAAAGATATTGACGGGGTAGTTTCCGAACCCTCAGTCTCTGCACGACCTCTTCCGACCGTGAACCGAAGAGAGTTTGGTGTTACTGGTTGTCGGAGATCCAGACCGCTCTGCATCCTCGTGCTGAAAAGACCTCAAGCTTTCCACAGCCACCCGCACAGGGAAAGACCACCGCAGCGTTTTCCTCTTCCAGCTGAAAATGCCCGAACAAGGGCTCATTATGCTATTCGTGCATGTGTGCATGGGTACTATAGTGATCAGACAGTGTCACTGTGCCATCACGTAATTCATGCCTTTGCACCTTACCGTTAAGGTTAATTCTTCTGCCCAGTCGGACGTGCTGCTCTGCTCTGAGTCTGTCGCTAGGCTTGCCTCGTGCCATAGCGCTGGTAAAGACCGTCTATCTTTAGCAAGACAACCAGGAAGCGGGATTGTGCCGTTGTATGTCGTGGTTGGATTTGCGGCGGAAACGTGATTTTGCCATGTTGGTGTACGAAAAATCGGTGCTTGTCATAAACCACATACGGCAAGTGTGCTCTGTGCCTGCCAAAAGTGTCAGTCAGCGATCGTCACATGTGCTCCTGCTCCATTCTGGCTTTCGGGTTTACTGCTTCCGTTGGACGTACAGTACTGCACAGCATACGAGCTTCGATCTCACATGCATGTCACTCGCCTTCCTCCCTGGATCACGATATCTCTGCCTAGGGCAACAGCTCCCAAGCGTGTGGAACGCCGTGAGATCCGCCAGAGTACCCCATGGCTTCTGTTAGAAGACTCCCTGCAGTATCGTCAACGCCAATCATCAGACCTTCCCAATACGACGAAGTATGCAAACTTCGGCCATTATCGGTTCTCGCGGAAAGTAAGGAAGAGAGTACGAAATGTTATTCCACTCTGCGCGTATCGACGAGAAACACGTCTCTGAGCACGATCGCGATACGAAAACACCAATGTTCACCCAACCATGGCCTGTCGAGCGGCCAGATCCCAGCCATCATGTCCTAACGCCATCGATCATTCCGTCATGGTATCCTGCCACCCCAAGAGAATCCTGTACATCGTGCCCTCATCAAGTCAACTCCAGTCGTGCTTCCTGCAAGGCTCGAGAGAGCTGCGTTCAATGCTGCCACTATTGCGGCGTCTGCAAAAGTCCAGCATCAGGCGCTCCAGCGCCGGCTCTCGCCTGCTGCACCGTTCGATGATGCGGATCAATGTAATCACGGTTCTCAACCGTAACACTCTTCGTCTACACATCGCAGTCAAGTCAGCACAAGCAATTCCTAAGCCTCGCCCCAAGAAAGTGAGAAGTCAGACTTACCATATGGTTAACCTTGTAAACGCCGACCAACCTCGCCGCCAACTCAAACATATTGTTCCTCAACGAAATAACAATAAACTGCGCATTCTTCGTCCTCTCCTTGATATACGCCGCTACAATACTCACATTCCGGAAATCCAACGCAGCATCAATTTCGTCCATGACGTACAATGGCGTAGGCTTGTAATGATGCAGCGCGAAAACCAACGCCAGGGATGAAAGCGTCTTCTCACCACCCGACAGATTGCCAATGTTCTTCCAAGATTTCTTGGGAGGCATGACGGAAAACAAAATACCCTCGCTGAAAGGATCCAGTGAGTCGACGAGCTCGAGCTCGGCGTTGCCGCCCATGGTGATCATTTGATACATCTCTTTGAGGCGTTGAGAGATGATGAAGAAGCCCTCCATGAAGCCTTCGAGACGCAGACGGCGGAGATCATCAGTGCGTTTCTTGGCGGAATCGCGCGCTGCGAGGGCCGTGTTGAGGTCTTCGAGGCGGTCACCATATTCTCGGACGCGTTTGCGGTACTCAGCGAGGACTGAGAGTTCGACGGCTTGGGAGGTGCGATCTTCGAGAGACGCAATTTGTGCTTTGAGGTCGTTCTTGTCGAGGTCTTGCAGCTCATCGCGAGAGAGTTCAGGGACGGGCTCGGGTTCCTTTTCTTCGCCGTCTTCGGACACATTTTGCAGTGTGAGCTTGCTGAGTTTCTCTGTCCAGTAAGCTTGTTGCTTCTGGTTCGTGGCGAGATGTTTCTGGCTCTCTTCCAGTCTGTTGCGCATTTCGACCTCTGCACCTCTCGTGTCGTTGAGCTCCGTCTGCATCTCGTCAATTTTGTTCTTGAGCTCGTCCAGCTGTTCTTTCTTCTCTTCGAGTGCAATCTTGCCCTCCTCATATTGATTACGCAGGTCTGAGTTGCCATTGTTCTGGTTCTGCGCACTCTGTTCGACATTCTCGAGTTCGGCAGCGATCTTTTCCAGCTCGGCTTCGGCATCCGCAAGAGCTTTTTCGTGCTTGCTTCGTGCTTTGTCTGCTTTGGTCTTGGACACTTCTGCAGCATTCAGACGCTCAGCGAGCAGGTCAATCTGCGCCTTCAGGCTGTCGACCTTGGCCTTCTGACCACGCATTTTCATGCCGCCAATCTCCATGATCTTGTCTTGAAGCTCTTTGATCTCCAACTCCAGACCTTCTGTTTCTGACTGAAGCTTCTCAATATCCTTCTCCATGGAAGCGATGCTCTTTTCGAGAGACGCAGTCTTGCTCTTGTCGGTCTTGGACCCTCGCTGTTCGTTGGAGAGCTCCGACACTCGATGCTCAGCGTCCGCAATATTGCGATCAATGCTGCCAAGTTCCAATTCGAGCTTCTGCACCTGCGTCTCGAGCTTCGGTATCTGATTCTGCAACTGCCTCACCTGATTCTCGAGCTCTCGCTGCTCATCTTGAAGTGCAGAAAACTCTTTCTCAAGAGCGTCGCGATCGACTTCGTACTTTTGCACCTGCTCCTTCGTGGTATCTGCTGCAACTTTGGAGGACATGGCGCCCTTGGACACCTTGTTACCACCACCGCTCATGGTACCAGACTTGTCGATGAGCTTGCCCTGGAGAGAGACCACTCGCCATCTCTTAGCACCATAAGCAACTCGATCCGCTTGCTGCGAATCGTCTGCGACAAGAGTATTCTGGAGCACACTGTAGAAAGCTGGGAGGAAACGCTCGTGCTTCGCTCTGACCAAGTCGAATAGTCGAGGGCAGTTTTCCGGCGTTTGAATAGGTGAAAGGTCCCGCCTGGGCAACTTGTCGAGACAGATGAAGTTGGCGCGACCCAGATTGTTCTTCCGCAGGTACTCAATACATTGCTGAGCTGCTTCGACAGTGTCCACGACCATGTTGTCAAGGGACGGACATGCCGTAGAAATGGCGACATCGTACTTTGCATCGATGGCTCCGAGGTTGCCCAATCGTCCGTGGAAGCCATCAACACGACCAGATTCTTTCAAGCGAGTCAAACCAGCAAGCACATTTCCTTGGCTCTGCGTTGCCGACAGGCTAGCGCGAGCTTCGTCTGCTTTTGAACGTGCATTAGACAGTTTTGCTTTCAGAGCGGGCTCTTTCGCTGAGACTTCATCGAGCTGCTTCTGGGCGGCTTGGACCTCCTTCTCGGCTGACTTGCGCTGCTTCTTGCACGTCTCGATCTCGGCGGCTTTGGCCTCGCGTTGCTCTTGTAAAAATTCGATCTTGGCCTGCACTTCAGCAACGGCGGTGGCACCAGCATTCTCGCGCTCTCGAAGGATGTCAAGCTCTGATTGTGCGACAGCAATCGACGATTGCTTTTCGCTGATCTTCGCCGACCATGGCTCCAGCTGTTTTTGTTTGACTGCGATCTCATCGCTGATGCCCTGCGTCTTCCCCTTCAGCGACTCTCGAATCTTCGCCAGCTCCTCGTCCTCAGCTGTCATCTGCTCCTCGAGTTGTTGGATCTCCCCAGTGAGGCGCTCAACGTCATCGGCAGCCTGCCTTGACAGATTTGTCGCCTGGGAAATCTCGAAGTTGGAGGTCTCGCGAGTCTTCTCGGACTTCTTCTCCTTGTTCTTGAGGTGTTTCTTCTTTTCCTCGATCTTGACTCCTGCCTTGTCCATCTCGTCGACTTGCTTCTTCACAGCGGCCAGCTCCTTCTCCATTCTGTCATAGACTTTGGACTCGCTCTTGTGTTGCTTCTCGACAGCCTTGATTTTTGTTTCAGCCTCCTGATGTCTGCCAAGCTCTTCATTCAGCTCTCCTTGGACTTGAGCGATTGCTTCCTCCGACACTTGGATGTTGTCGGAGCACTCAGCGATATAGACCTGGTACAGTGCCGACTGCTTTGACGCAAGCTCGTTCTCATCGCGCAAATATGCCAGCGCCTTTTCTTTCTTATGTTCCAGCCCGTTCTTCTCCTTCTCCACGTGCTGAACTCGCGTACTCTTCTCAAGACACACCTCGTTGAGAGTCTCGGTCTCTGTTGCCGCCTCTTCGATAGGAGTCTTGTACTTGGACGTGCCGATGATATCCTCAAGATATTCCAGCAATCCGTCATCGTGCTCGTTGGCTGCCTTTGGCTTCATCTGTGCAATCGATTCGACTTCACCCTGCAGAATCAGGAAACGCTTGTGATCCAAGTCGATTCCCCTATCTTTGAGCAATGTCGTGACCGTGGTAAAGTCGGATGTCTTTCCGTTGATGTAGTATTTGCTACTGTTGTTCTTGAAGGCTCGTCTCGAAACGACCAATTCCGAATTGGGAACAACTTCTGAGCCTCCTCCTGGCAAATCCATGACCATCTGGAAATGCACTTCAACCTCGCAGTAGTCCAGATCTGGGTATTGCGCACTGTTGTGAATCAATGCAGAGATCTTGCCCTGCCTCATCTTGCTCGCGCGGAAACCAAAGACGAATAAAAGTGAATCGATCACATTGCTCTTGCCAGATCCATTGGGTCCGACAACAGAGGAGAAGGAAGCGTGGAAAGGACCGACTCTCTGCTGTCCCGCATAAGACTTGAAGTTGGTGAGCGTGAGCCAGGTTATTGTCATCCGTGGCTTTTGCTCCACAGGTTCTTGCGACACGGGCACACCCAGCGCTCTTCGCTTAACCACAATATCCATTGGTCTCTCCAGCTTTGTCAGATTCGCATCGATCTTCTTGAACGCAACTTGCGTCGCATCCGGGCCAGGCGTGCGCTGCGGAGCTTCGAGCATGTTCGAATCGTCGTCTTCTGTTGGTGTAGCTGGACCTTGCGCATCTCCATCCTTGGGCGGTGTAATTGGACCTTTCGCAGCCTTGGGAGTCGCTACATTCTCGTCCACAGTCACATCCGTCATGTCCACATCCTCTTGCATCGATGTATGGCGTGAGCTCTGGCGCGGCGTCTGCTCGTTCGCTGAAATCTCGGTGAGCGCGCTCCCTCGTCGCGACGAAGCTTCACGTGAATCTGGAGAATTTGTTGGTCGTGGTGTTGGTAGTAGCTGCGACTCCTCTTCCTGCAGATCGGGTGCAATGGATACGCGCGAAGCTCTGCTCTTACGCGCGCGTGCGTCTTTGACACTTCGTCGCTTGGGCGCTGCTTTCTTGGTCGGTGACTCGGGCTCTTCTGTCGCATCATCGGGTGGAAGGCTGGACACTTGCGACACATCGATAGAGGAATCGGTCGTTGTTCGTCGCGCGGCGGTTCTCCTTCGGGTCGCTGCATCGCCGAGCGTCTTGCGACGCGGTGACGCCTTTGCAGCTGGTGTGAATTCTTCCTCATCCTCCTCGTCCTGCTTGCTGACCACGCTCTGCTCTGCATCTGATCCGTCGTCCTCGTCGACAACGATCTTCCTCCTTGATGCCATTCGTCGCGCCGGCCTGGTCGACGATTCCGCCATGGTCGTGGTGGGCGGGGGTGTGCTGTTTGGTTAGTACGTGCAGTCACACTTTCAAAGCACTGTTTACAAAGCACTGTTTACAAAGTACTGCCCAAAACACTGGGTCGCGCTTAACCTTACCTCCACAGCCTCCTACCATTGAACGCGCCCCCACGTGTGCTAGAGTGGTTGTCACAAGTCGAGGTCCGCGCATTCACACACTTTTGTCTCCTCGATCGTCGTCTGCAGGCGATCAAAGCTTGTGTGAGGATGTTCCCGGTCGTCGTCTTCGGCAGGTCCAGTTTTGACATCACCTTGCTCAATTGTTCCTGAACTCTCTGAAATCCGCCTTGTCGCAGAGCCGCTCCTTGTTCTGCTGCCTCACTCAAGCTTGGTTGTAACGAACCCGCACCGCCATCACCATCGCCATGCAGCCCGCGGAGCGTGTGACCTGCAGCTGACGACAGACCCGAAGGACAAACTCGGTGTCCATACCACTTGTGACGAACTGGCGCCCCGAGGATGCCGGGGTATCCGCGAAGCGCTGTAGCAGTCACGAAGTTCTGCTCTGTCATCGAGCTGCATTGCAGACCAGTCTGTGCGAATAATGTGGCTCCTACCGCTCCGATTAGAGTCGCCTGCCATGGCAAGGCGAAAGGTTGCTTCTAATTCTTTGCCGTCTTTCCGCTCTTTATTACATGTCACGCTTCTGAAGCTTGAGAAAGGCGTGTTTTATCTCATCACGGCATCGAAAGCTGAAACAGGATTAAACCACAGGTCATAGCGCAGAGTTTCTTGACAGGCAGCTATGATATAAGGGCTCCGCCCTTCGTGCCGTGACTATCGTTGGCGATCATCATCACTTACAAGACTAGAACTCGAATACAGCCATAAACACCGGGAGAGAAATGGGCACCTACACACCGGCAACTTTTCCTCGGCGACCCAAGAACAGCAACGTCTTCACAGACACATACTATCATTGGCAACTGGCATACTACCGATATGAAGTCCATACTGGACTTTATGTCATGTCCTCGTGGGAGAAGATCGCATTCAACCTCGTAATGCTCTCGCTGCTGGCGTTATGTTTCGCTGCAGTATACTACTGCCTACCACGAGCCGCGATCAAGTCACTACAACGGCTGGCCTACTACGCTACTGGGACATACAGGATGGCATCGTCGCCTATACAACCTGGGCCTGACATAGCGCAACGCATCATACATGCAAGTGGAGAGGCTGTAGCAAGCTTGGGCAACAACGGCATCGCCGCTCTGAACGCGAGCATGTCACTCACGCCTTGAGACAATCCATCACGATCGCAAACCTTGGAAACATATACAAAGCAGTTCAGAACGCTTGGTACAATGCAGTGACAAGAGCAAGGATCCCAGAGATATCGATATCGACTTGAATCATCTCACGACGCCTTGCGATTCTTGGTCTGGATGTGACCGAGGCCTTCACACGACAGCGTTATACAAACGTACAAGGAAACGCTATCAAGACTTGTGGACAACTTTGCTAGCGAGTGAATACTGAGTGCTTCAGCATAGGAGGGAAGCGTAGAATTTTTGATTGCTGGCGATTTTTTGCTTCACGCGAATACCCATCACGATGCAGATGCATAATGATCACCGAGATATTACTATTGACAAACTCACTGAACACATTACATGCTTCATCATCGGACATGTTTCGTCGTGTTTCTGCATACTGACCGCTTGCTTCGATCGTAACTTGTAACCCACGATCGTCTGATAGCCTTCTGAGACAGACCTGACGTCTCGAGAGAAAGGGCTCTGACGTCGTTTTCGATCAGCAACTTCTGACAGTTTCCCTGGTTGTTTCTTGTCCGCCTGTATCCGACCCGAGTGATCGGAGCAGGGGTCTTGTTGCACCTTGCTGAAGCTCTTCTCGTCATCACAACGCGATCTTAGACAACGAAGGACGCGTTTTTGCGCGCGGATAATGTGAACGCCAGAAGTCGAAGCCTGTACAGGCAGTTGACTTGAAACTATCCGGAACTGTGCCTAAGCATTAGGCTAGTCATCGCAATGAAGCTCTCCGTCTCGGCGTATGGCCTCTGGGCATTCAGCTTCGTCGCGGCTCAGCGTGTACAGCAGCCACTTCAGCAGGAAACTGTCTCTGGCAAGCCGGTTCAAGTAGCCATCATCGGTACAACCTCCCAGACTCCGCTGCACCTCACACTCAGCTAATACCATCACCACAAGGCGCCGGCGCAGCAGGCTCATCCGCCGCTTACCATCTCTCTCAATACGCCCACAATGCCTCTCTTCCCATCAACATCACCATCTTCGAGTCCAACTCCTACATTGGCGGCCGCAGCACCACCGTGACAGCGTACAACCTCACGACAACCGAGCTCGATGCCCTCTCCTCTCCACACCACTACTCCACCGAACTCGGCGCCTCAATCTTCGTTGCCGTTAACCACATCCTCGTCAACGCTGTGGAAACCTTCAACCTCAGCACCTCTGATGACGACCTCGACAACCCGAAAGGCCACCTCGGCCAAGAAGTCGGAATTTGGGACGGCAACACCTTCGTCCTCCAACTCGACACATCTCTCTTCAACGGCTACTGGACCATCGCCAAACTTCTCTTCCGCTATGGCCTCGCTCCCATCCGGACGTACAGGTTGACAAAATCCGTCATATCCAAGTTTCTCAAAATATACGACGCTCCCATCTTTCCGTTCGAATCTCTTACGGCCGCGGCGCAAAGTGTGGGGCTGTCAGCTGTGACAGCTGCGACGGGGGAGCAATACCTACGAGAGAATGGCATATCGGCGGCATTCGCGAGGGAGGTGGTACAGGCGAGCACGAGGGTGAATTATGCGCAGAATCTGGAGTACATTCATGGATTGGAAGCTATGGTCTGTATGGCGACCGAAGGAGGTGCCATGAGAGTGCAAGGTGGGAATTGGAGAATATTCGAGGAGATGGTGAAAGCCAGTGAGGCCCATGTGAGGTTGGGGGAGAGGGTGAGTTCTGTCACAGAGAAGAGAGACGAGAAATATATGATATCGGTCATCGACGGGGATGCGGGCGAAGAGCAACAGCTGTTGCAGGAGGAGAGAGATGATGGAACAGCGTTTGATCACGTCGTGGTTGCTTCTCCGTGGCAGTATGCGGACATCGATTTTGGGGTGTTCCCCGAATTCCGCCTGCCGGACAAGATCCCCTACGTGCGACTGCACGTTACGCTGTTCACAAGCCCTCACCTGCTTGACCCGGAATACTTCAATTTACCGAAAGACCAAGCCGTTCCCCAAGCCATCCTCACGACTCTTCCGGACGGCGAACCCGCCCATACTGGTCCGGAGGGCGTTGGCCACTCTGCCTTCTTTGCCATTTCCCTCTTACGTCCACTCACAAACCCCAAAACTGGAAGAGAGGAATACTTATACAAGATCTTCTCGCCAAAGAGAATATCAGATGAATATCTCTCAGAGATCCTCGACACGGAGCATAGTACCGACAATGGTAGCGCGGAAGCTCCATTCGGTAACAAGGAGAATGTAACTTGGATCTATCGCAAGATCTGGAACTCGTATCCTTACGAGACGCCACGCGTGGCGTTCGAGGACGTACAGCTGTCGAGGAATGTCTGGTATACTGGAGGCATGGACAATTTCATCAGTACGATGGAGACGAATGCTTTGATGGGGAAGAATGTCGCGAAGTTGATTGTTGATGCTGAACAGAGTAAAGCCGAGAGAAGGATGGGCATGCAAATGGAGGAGGACATGAAAGCAAGGAAGCAGGATTTGTGAGGTCGATGGATGTGGTGACGCTGGGCATATGATTTACGAATTACATGATAGAATGGGTATCAATGGAATTGATTGCACGAGAGCGCTTCTCTCTTGTTCGACTGGCCCTGTCTTGTTTATGTTCACCGCATTGGCGACATGGTACAGTATGCAGGGTCCATGGAGTGTAAACCGAAGCCAGAGAAACTCCGACGTCGTGTGATTGCTGTTCCTGAGCAGCTCGCTATGAAGGTTCTATGCAAAACAAATACACCGCGCGTATCACGAGCGTGGACGATGCGGAATGCGGATGCGGAGGATAGCGTTGCTTGTCGACGGCGCAGCTTCGATCATGCCAACGATATGGCAGTCAGGAAGTCGGTGTTCGAGCTGCTGTAGCTTCCTTGGCAGTTTGATGTATTCGAAACGCTTCTCTATCAGCTTGTTTGATGGAACTCAACGCCGTTGACCGCTTCACAAGTTCTTGACCGGAGAATGTAGTCAATGCTGGATTCACTTTGAGCGTGACACCACGTTGATGTGCTACGATCCAGCCCAGCGTTCCGTGCTGAAACGCCACAGTGTTCGTATCAAGGCACGCGCGTACGGCAAAGTCTCCCGCATCGATTGGCACGAATAGTTCCGACATAAGCGTACACGCAATCGCAGTCTGCGCGATGCTAGATCAAATGCGACTTCGTACAGCAGCATACTTTGATACAAACATGATGAAGTGCTTCTTTCGCGTGGTTGTCGGCAGTTTTAATCACCAGGTGTGGGACAAAATTGGGGAATCGGACCCTAGTTAGTGGACTGCGCCTGCACTTGGCACCGGCCCTAGTTCCAGACCATGGTGAGACCTCATCTTCGCTGCTCACCACCGCCATAAGAACTGGAGATGGGCATCCAACTCCAGCAGATCTGAGTTTGACCAGTGCAGATAGCCGTCAGTCTCCGTCAGATATGTTATCGAGTGAGAACGGGAAAGAAAGACGGACAGCATACGAAAGGAGACAGCCTGGTGAGAGTGGTGGCCTGCCCGGAATCCCCGATTCGATGCGTGAACCTTCATTAGCTTCGCATTCGGCTTGGCGCGGTTGGGATGGTAGGGCCATCGCGAAAACCGGCGCCTGCTTCTCTCTCCGCAAAAACAACAACCACCTGAGCATTGAGCGAAACCTGGCCTCGAGGACGACACTGCGCTGTGTTGCATCCGATACCGAATTCGGAGCATACCTTGGACGACAACTCCCTCTTTCGTACCTGGATCGGCGTTTTGGCGCGGCCGCCCCGGATCGCGGCGTGGAAGTCTAGGCAGTGAGGCACGCTGAGCCACGCGAGCGAGCTGCTGCTGTCAGCTGGAGTACTGCACCGCAGTTGCGACAGCACGAACACTTGCAATTGCTCTGCATCATGCAAGGCGCGAGTGCAGTGCAATCCGACATCTCGACATGAGTCCTGGCACTTTAGGACTCCACTCCATCCACCCCATTCGCCCGCGGCATCTCCAAAGCTGGTCGTAGCGCGCTATGCGCCTCTCCATACGCCATCAACTTGCGCTTCTTCTGGTCTTCTCCTCCGTGGTAGGACTGGCCGCGCTCGCCATAGCGACATGGATCACCAATCACAATTTCGTCCTGGACGTCACGGCCTCGCGGCTACGCACCACCGCCGTGCTCAAGGCCGCGCAGATTGCCTTCAACCTGGAGCTCATGCAAACAGCGGCCACCTTCCTCACCACCAGGACGATTATCCAGTCAGCTCTGGAGCGCTACAATGATGGCTCGAACACGACTGTCGAGAATTGGGCCGATGCTGCTACAGATTTATCAGCGACCCTCGGAACTGTTGGGCCTCTGACCAATCCTCTAGTCCTCCAAGCTCAAGTCTTTTCGAGGAATATCTCGGGTCCCGCGGGATCCGCGAGCGTTCTGAATAGCACCGGCACCGGAATCAACATCGAACTTCCTTGGAAGGATCCGCAAGGCAATCCCGTATTTTTGGGCGATAGCCAATATGGCTACCCTTCCGCATTGTACCCGAACTTGACAGTCACCCAGACTGGGAGCGGCGCTGCGACCAACTACAGTGCCACCTACAATGGTCAATCATTAGGCCTGGCGTCAACACTCATTCTCGGCCCTGTTTCGGTCAACGACACCTTTGCGTTGCTTTCACTTACGCTGCCAATTGTAAACAAGGCTACTGACGATGATATTTTGGGCTGGGTCACTGTTTTGACCGACGCCAGACTCATTCGTCTGGTGCAGCAAGATCAGCGAGGTCTGGGAGATACCGGACAGACATTACTTATCGGACCCACCAATACCACCAACCACTTCCCTCGTGGCGTCATCGGTAACGAAGAATTGGCTACCCAGGCTGATGTTCAATACTTGATCCCGCTGAACGTTACCGTGGCATCTCGCCACCCAAACCGGACCGCAGGAGCTCCCAATCCACCTTTCAAGGCAGGCGCATATCCTGCTGTCGAACGTGCCATTGTGGAGGACAACAGAGGCATTGATGATGTCAACAGTATGTTGCGGACGCACAATGAAGCTGACCACAGCGTCTCTGTGAGTTACTCGGTCCCTCCCACGACTTTGGTAGATTGGGTCGTGATTGTGGAGCAGTCTAAAAGCGAGGTCTGGAAACCGATCAACCATCTCAGAGTCATTATCCTCGCGTGCTTATTCGCAGTCATGGGGTTCTGGTTGATTGTATCATTTCCGCTTGCGCACTGGGCAGTGCTGCCCATCATCCGACTACGTGCCGCGACCGAGCAGACGACGGACCCACCAAATAGTGCAGGATCGTCTGATGACCTGAGTCGCAGCTGCAAGACGGGAGATGCGAAATCTTGCTATTCGAATCGTGTGCACGGGAGACGTGCTGGTCTGATAGAGACCATCATTCGCTGGAGAGGTCAACGCCGTGGAGGACTTCGCATTGAGTCGAGGGACGACCAGCGCTTTCGAATCCCGGGCAAAGTGCCAGAGAAGAAGAAAATATGGATCCATGATGAAATGACCGACCTGATCAAGACCTTCAATGAGATGACCGATGAGCTGTATCTGCAGTACTCCAAACTCGAGGAGCGCGTGCGACAACGGACCATCGAGCTCGAACACAGCAAGAAGGCTGCCGAAGCAGCAAACGAGAGCAAGACTCTCTTTGTCGCGAATGTCAGTCACGAACTCAAGACTCCTCTCAATGGTATCTTGGGCATGTGCGCTGTGTGTATGGAGGAATCAGACCCGAACAAACTGAAGCAGTCACTGGGAATTATCTTCAAGAGCGGAGATCTACTCCTCCGGACGCTCACAGATCTGCTCACCTTCAGCACCAATCAGGTCGGCACTCAAGTTCTTAAGTTAGACGAGAAGGAATTCTACCTTCGTGATTTGGAGTCGCAAGTCATAGCGATTTTCGGCGAGCAAGCCAAAGAGAAGAAGGTTCATCTGAGCGTGGTATTTGAAGAGATGCCAATGGAGCGATTCTCGTCACCGGATCAACCGCAGCTCAAAGAACTCCCTCTGTTTGGTGATATCCACCGTATGCTGCAGATTGTGATCAATTTCACTTCGAATGCTCTCAAATTCACCCCACCGGATGGCAGCGTGACAGTAACACTCCGGGCACTGAAGGAAGAGCCGCCCAGACGGCAATCACTAGATGCCCAGCCAGTACGGTTCTCGCCCGGACATAAAAGCCAGAACTCGCAGCCTGGAACATCTCCCGATCCGAAAGGCACTGCGAACTTCATCAACCCTCGGGAATTGCCCCACGAGCGATCGGAGTCTCCGCCACCTGGATACGATATGTATATCGAGCTAGAGGTCAAAGACACAGGCCCCGGCATCCCAGACGAGCACAAGCGGACCATCTTCGAGCCCTTCGTGCAAGGCGATGCTGGTCTGAGCAGGAAGCACAGCGGCACGGGTCTTGGACTGAGCATATGTTCGCAGCTGGCAAGTCTGATGCGAGGCTCCATCAAATTACGCAGTAAAGTGGGCACCGGAAGCACTTTCACTGTCAAGCTACCACTTCGATGTGTTACTGGCAGGAAGAGTGCACGCAGTTCGCTATCACGGAAGTCATCACACGAGGTCGCTGCAACTGAGGGGCAACAAAGTGTGCGGGTCCCAACCATATCTAGCATGACGGCTCAGCACTATAACTTTCCACCTACCATACCGGCAGTAAGCGTATCTCCTGCATCAAATGGGTCGCCGCCGCCACTAAACAGCACTCCGTCCTCGCAAGCCAAGACTATCAGCAAAGCGGGCAAAGACGTCAAAGCCAGCAAAGAGGCCAAGCATGACTTCAGCAAAGTGAGGATACTGGTTGCTGAGGACAATAAGGTCAATCAGCAGGTCATTGTGAAGATGCTGGAGCTGGAAAAAATCTTCGACGTCACCATCGCAGGCGACGGACAGGAAGCCTTGGATCTGGTGAAGACGAACTCAAGCCCAAGCGAACGCACAAATTCATCTACAGGAGACGACTCGTCGACACTTGTAGAAGATTCTTCGACTTCATCTACTTCTCCAAGGCCAAGAACTCCTTATGACCTCATCTTCATGGATGTCCAGATGCCAAATATGGATGGATTGACTTCCACGAAGCTGATCAGGCAGTACGGATATGCGGGACCTATTGTGGCACTCACTGCATATGCGGAGCAAAACAACGTCGACGGCTGTTATCAAGCAGGCATGGACTACTTCCTGGCCAAACCGATCAAGCGACCACTGCTGCGCAAAGTCCTGACGGAATACTGCGCGCCCGCACCCAATGAGGTTGGCAGTCCCGTGGGCAGTGCATCACGACACATTGCGACAGATTCGCAGAGCACGGCCGGACTTGACACAAAAGACCCACCCTCTACGCCGTCTCCTTCCGAAGCGAAAGAGACGCGCGAGGGAATAGAGATGAGCCACGTCGAGAATGGCCACCTCCAGGTCCAGCATCCCACGAGCCCGCCGGCTGTGTGAGACACTATTTCTCCTTCTTCTCTATGATATTACTTTTTTTTTTGGCGTGTTTTGTGACATTTAGCGCTGGCGTTGGGGGAAAACATAGACGCTCAGGAAAAGAGCTGTCGTTGTGCTCGAGCACATGGGTATATACATATCTATTTCTGTGGGTGGAGGTTTATTACGGCGAGATCTTTCACGATCATCGAAAGAAAAGCGGCGATAGTGTACGAAAACCGAACAGACGTTGCTAAAAGCAAATTTTGCTGCCATAATGCGTTGATTACACGCTGTAGATCGTGGCTTCTCTAGAGCTGAATGCGACCTCATGACCACGGCGGCAGTGCGGTGAGCACAATGACTTGTGGCTAGCTGTACGACTGAAATGTGGCTAGCTGAGGATTTTGAGCTGCGAGCTTGTGCTTCTTTGCGTCGTTGCACAGGATGCAATAGGCTTTAGGGCTGCATCGACCCATGCTCCAGCCCTGATTTAGACCCGTCGTGTGAAGCGCTAATAGCTATCTGGGCTGTGAGAAGCAAGCCACATTGGCTTCGATTGACCCCACTATGCTTGTAGCAAGCCAAAGCTGAAAGAGAGGGAGGAATGTGTATAAATGCTGCGGGTTTCTGAGAGTGAGAGGATGGAAACTTGCATTCCTTGAAAAGCTGCAAGTCGCAGTGATACGACATTCTTGAAAGAATATATATACATACATTGCTCTTGACGAACCAAGCTTGACCACAACACAATGGCTCAACAGCAACTCCAAGTTCTCATTCTAGCCTTCCAAGGCCTCAATATCCTCGACCTTTGCGGTCCATCTGAAGTCTTTGCCAACTTCGCTCTTGGACCCAAAGCTTTCAAAATCACCATTGCTGCCTCTCAAGAGCTCGTAACAAGCTTCGAGGGCCCTACTGTCCAACGCCATCGTTCCTTGAAATCTCTGTTGGAGTCATCTTCGGATCCTCAGTATCCCCTTCGCCCATTAGAAAAATTCGACCTCCTCGTCATCCCAGGCGGTCCAGGAGACAAAGTCCAAGCCGCAATCGACCGCGACCCAGACCTCCTCAGAATCATCAAAAAATGGTCCGAAATCTCCCGCCCTTCCCCAACAGACTCCTCCAACCCTTGGAAAAGTCGTCAACCTCTCCTCTCCATCTGCACAGGCGCCGCATTCCTCGGCACACTCGGTCTCCTCGGAGGTAAAACTTGCACGACCCATTTCGGGTATATTCCGACTTTGGAGGGAATTTGTAAGAAAGCTGGTAAGGAAGCGAGTGTGGAGAGGAAAAGATTTGTTGACGCGGGGGAGACGAGTAATGGAATGAGGGTCTTGACGAGTGGCGGGATTAGTTGTGGGATTGATGCTAGTTTGTGGATTGTGGGACAGTTGGTGGGGTTGGAGGAGGCGAAGGGGGTTGCGAAGATGATGGATTATAGGTGGGTGTTTGATAAGGAGGGGGAGGGAAGTGTTACGGAGGGGGAGGTGGTTTGATGGGCTTTTGATAGCTTCGAGTCAGAGTGTTCAAGTAGAGGGCAAAAATATGGAAGAGGAGTAGAGAAAGGAATGAGAAAAAAAGGCAGGTGTAGTAAGTACGTACCAACTAGCACTCGAACCGTTGACCTGCGCGTGACTTGCGGGGCTCTCACGCGCAAAAAGCAAAAACAAATCGACCGCACTCTATACGTGTGGCTCTGCCGAAATTCGACGATTTGCGAGTCGACTTGTTAGGTAAGCACGTTTGCTTGAGATATATGAATGTCAGTTGTCGCCGCATAGACTTCAGCCTTCTCTCACTACTTTGCTACTCGGACGAGTTTGGGAGTCGGGCTGTTCTCCTTGCGGTGAATTTGCAGAGGAATGCCGCATGCCGTTAGAGCTTGCTATCGCGACTTCGTCCTTCTTCCACTGTTGCTACACCAGTCTCGCTGTCCCAGCCGGCGATGAGGTCTTCGACGACGGCGAGCTCGTCTTGACCCCAGACAAGGTCTCCGGATTGCTGCCAGGTGCTGGCTGCCGAGCCGAGCTTTTTGTGGAAGACTCGATATGTAGGTACGCCGCAAATACCAACGTCTTTGGCTTCTTTCGTTCGAGCACGAAGGTCTTGCTTGATTTTGTCGCTGTTGGCTTCTGCTAATATTTTCGCTGCGTCGTAGCCAGCTTCTTGCATCACTTCTCTGAGAACTTTGTCGTCTGACATGTTCAGGTTGCGCTCCCAGCAGGCTCGGTCTAAGAGTGGTCAGTGTGAAAGCATGTGAGGATTACAAAGGGTACTCACATAACACATCGCACAACTTTGGCTCGACCAGAACTGCTTTCAGCACCGTTGGAGTGCGAATTGGGAATTGATCCGCCCAGTAGAAGTCAATATTCTTGTCCGGTTTCCCTTCCTGCACATTGATCGCATTCCACCATCTAACCGAATCTCCATGATCCAATTTTGAATAGTTCCGCTTCTGCTCGGATATTGCAGCCATGGGCAGATTTGGCGCTCCGATTTCGCGGAACAAAATCCCAAGCAAGAAGGGCTTCATTTCAATTTGCAAGCGATCACCAAATTGTCGCTTGAGACTCGCGAGTTGTGTCCAGCCAAGGAACGCCCAGGGACTACTGAAGTCGTACCAGAATTCGAGCTTGACTTCTTGGTCTTTGGGTATCATTCCTCGCACACATCTTGGAGTGAGACTTCGCAAAGGCTTTGCGATCTTACTGAGCGAGTTGCCATCTTTGCCTTCATTCAGTGCAAGGAGAACAGCTTCCACAAATTGCATCCGGTCTTGGCCCCAGTATAGCCGACCTTTATGTTGCTTGCCATTGCTATCAGTCCAGACCTCCTCTGGCACCCAGAACCCAGGTACTCCAGGAGTCCCGCGTTTGACAGCAAGATCCGTTGAAGCCTCCAGTTGCTGTCGTTGTTCTGCGCCTTCTATACTTCCGTCTTCGATTGCAGCAAGTATCCGAGTAGTTTCCGTTCCGGAGAATTGACAGCGTTCAACGGCTCTCTTTAGCGAGGCTTTGTCCGCCACAGGGGCATTGTCTACCCAGTACAATTTGAACAGCTCATGAGTGAGCTTCGGCCTGTATTGCTCATTCACGAAATAGAGTAGCCGCAATGCTGCTGTGGTCTTTTGTGGATGCCGATCTGGCTGCTTGTGGGGTATTCCATGCCGGATTATGGTTCGCTGGAATGCTCTGCCGCTGACTGCTTTCTTGGTTGCGTTGAATACATCAGACGCTGATCCAGCAGCGCCTTGTGGTGCGTTTGTCGCGCGATATATGGCTCCGAGAAGGACTGGTCTCCAGATGATTTTGGCTCCTGTGCGGGCAGCAAGAGCTTCGACCCTAAGTCGACTTAGCTTTGTACTTCATTCATGCTGCAGGAAACGTACTTTGTCGAAGCTATATAAGCAAACGGGCAGGATATCTAAGGCCATGTCAGACGTGTTTCGACCAAGTGTGGATCTTGTGCTTACATCGTAGTGGAACTCCACCACATGGCCTGAGCTTCGAGACATCTTTGAAGATTTCGTGATCTGTACCTTTGATTTCTGGGCAGATGAACCTATCGTTCGCCCATGAAGTGAACAGATGTTGCTGAGTCGTTGTCAAGAAAGAGCCAAGAAAGGCATCGAAGCCCTCCACTTGCCTTGCCTCGCGGCCTCGGCTACAAGACTCGCACTTCACTTCATCGACATCCATCGCCATAGCCACAGCAATATCACTGTGGCTATCGTCATGAGGAGTATGCATCTTCGTTTAGCGCTGTGCGCATGCAGCTGGGCTGGACTCGCGCATGCAAAGAGTGGTTTCAGTGGCCAGCAGCAAGTGCCGATATTGGGAGACCCGCCCAGTGGTGCATTCGCCAATTCTGCATCCCTGCCCACGGTGATCCCGACAATTCACGATACTTCTGCTCCTGATCCTCAAAAAGAATGTCCTGGCTACAAGGCTTGGAGTGTGGCCACAAACGAACATGGCTTTACCGCCAGCCTTGCTATCGCCGGAGAGCCCTGTAATGTGTTCGGAAACGATATTGCAGACCTCACGCTGCACGTCTCGCATCAGACTGCATCTCGGTTGAGCGTGAAGATCTTGCCGACATACATTGGACCCGAGAATACCACCTGGTTTGAACTTGGAGACCAATTTGTAGCTCAGCCGAGGTGGGATGGCAGTACCACGACTGAGACAAGCCACCTGCAGTTTGAATGGAGCAATGAGCCATCGTTCCAGTTCTCTGTATCTCGGCGTCAAGACGGCGAGGTCCTCTTCTCCACATTTGGCCATAAAATAGTCTATGAAGACCAGTTCCATGAGCTGATCACCAACATGGTAGATGACTACAACATATACGGGTTAGTGAACTATCAAACCAAGACAGAATGCAAATTGACAAAACAGCCTGGCCGAGATCGTTCGCCCATTTCGATTCGGCACGAACTTCAATGCCACCCTTTTCAACGTCGACAACGCAGACGCCACAGATAGTAACTCCTATGGCAGCCATCCGTTCTACCAAGAGACACGATATAGCAAAGATCAGAATTCTAGTGCTCATGGCGTATATGCTCGAAATGTGCATGCGCAGGAATGGCTGATGCGAGAGAAGACACTCACGTATCGTGCAATTGGCGGCAGCATTGACTTTTACTTTTTCAGCGGACAGCCTAATGACATTCAGGATGCGCCTTCAACAGCTCTAGAGTCCATTCGCCAATATCAGAGGAGCATTGGCTTCCCCGCGATGCAGGCTTACTGGGCACATGGCTTTCACCAGTGTCACTGGGGTTGGAGCAAAGTGCAGGATTTGCGGGACGTGGTGGCAAACTACAGACGTGCAAACGTTCCTCTAGAGGCCATTTGGACAGATCTGGATGTTTATTACAAAGCTCGACCGCTGACAAATGATGAGGAGAGGTTCTCGTCTGCAGCAATGCACGAGTTCGTGGCTGATCTGAACAAAGATGGGCAACATTATGTTCCACTGGTGGATAGCAATGTCTACATGCCCGACAAAGACGATCCTGACGATGTGTATCTACCATTCACAAGAGGCGACAAGCTTGGCGCGTTCATTCGCGATGGCAGCACCGGTGACTATTTCGTGGGCAAAGCATGGCCAGGCAAGAGGTGAGCATTTCCCGCATTGTATGTCTAGACGTCTGCTCACTTTGCACAGTGTGTGGGCTGATTGGCTGGTGCCATCCACCCACGACTGGTTTGCCAACGAACTTCGCATCATGCATGAAGCTACTCCATTTAGCGGGTAAGGCCAGGTTCTAGCAATTCAGCACAGCTGCGATTTCCAGCTAATGTCTAACACAGGATCTGGATCGATGTTAACGAACCTTCCAATTTCGACAATGTCCTCGTGGACCATACATTATATTCTCAAGACAGCAGGGACTCCCGGAAGCTGGACTTCCCATCTTACAGGATCAATAACTTTCGATCAACGCATCAGATCATCGATGGCACGATAGCGCTGAACGCAATGCACAACGACGAACATGCGACACGTGAATACGACGTGCACAACTTGTGGAGTGTCGGAATTACGAAAGCGGCGTACAATGGGCTGGCGACCACTGTACATCCCGGTAAACGACCGTTCATCATTTCGCGAAGCACTGGAATCGGGATTGGCCAATACGCGGGACATTGGGGAGGAGACAACGAGAGCAAATGGGGCGCTCTGTATCTGTCTATCTCTCAAGCACTAATCTTTCAGATGGCTGGAGTACCCATGTTTGGAACTGACACCTGCGGCTTTGGCGGGCCTGATTCGTTCGAGGAGCTATGTGCGAGATGGACCCAAGTCAATGCCTTTTTTCCGTTCTTCAGGTTCGTCTATCTCAATGCGGTCCACAAGATACGTATTGCTGACTACTTTGATTTTCGCAGAAATCACTACGGTGTTATGCGTGCTGCTCAAGAAGCGTACGTCTGGCCAGCAGTCGCTGAAGCAGCACGACGAGTCATTGCCATTCGGTACTCACTTCTCACATACATGTATACGCTCTTCTATCATGCCCACACCAGAGGCGATACCGTCCTTCGGGCTCTGGCTTGGGAGTTCCCCAATGACGAGCGCCTGCGAGCTACGGATAATCAATTTATGCTTGGATCTGCGTTGCTCATTACACCTGTCTTGAACGAGGGCTCGACTAGTGCGAAAGGAGTCTTACCTGGTATATCTGAGAACACGAGATGGTATGATTGGTATACCCTGCAAGAAGTCAAGAGTGGGAAGTCAGGTGAAAATATCACGATGGAAGCCCCGCTTGAGCATATCAATGTACATGTGCGAGGCGGGTCAATCTTGACTTTGCAGAAGCCGGGTTATACAACACGGGAGACGAGAGAAGGTCTGTACAGCATTGTTGTTGCGCTGGATGATCGACAGAAAGCGGATGGAGATTTGTACCTGGATGATGGCGAGAGTATTGAGCAGGACGCCACGAAAATGGTCCAGGTAAGCAATCTTCAACGTACAATTCTCACACATCCACGTGTGCTAATAGTGTTTGCAGCTTAAGTACTCTTCGAACAAACTGACTGTCGGTATCCGAGGCATGTACCACGCCACTCCGGCCTTGGCTACTATCACCATCGCAGGACTCAAGCGCCGACCCAAGAATGTCACTTTGGATATCCGAGGATCACAGCACGCCCTTCGAGAGAACATCTTCCAGAACGAGACTTTACGCATCACAGACCTAGCCCAGTACTTCGGCGACGGAGGATGGGAGCACGAGTTTTTCGTGCAACTGTCGTAGCAGGGAGAACTGAGGAGCGCTGAGATGAATAAGGAAGCAGGAAATTGTGGCATGCGGTTTCTCGAAGCCAATAAATTGTTGCCGAAGCTACAGCGTATAACAAAGATCCGACTCCGTTCATGCAATGAAGTCACTACCCATGCCCAAGACGCCCGCGCCTACTGCCTTTGATCCGAGTCTTCCGTGCGAAGTCTTACACAAGGCAGTCTACCGTTCTGATAAGTCATGCACTACTGCATCCGATGCATTACTGCTGTTTAGCGTGCATGTGGATGGAGACCTGTCGTCTCTTCGCCTCTTCCCCGCTCCATCTACAACCGCCTGCGCAGATCACATTGGGATCGAACCTTCAGTGAGGCCAAAATCGCCCCCACTCAGCGTATGTCGACATTCCAGTTCTGCTATTGCCGCCCGCTCGCCAGGCGGTAGAGCTCCTGTACCTGCGCCTGTCGCTCGGCCCATTCCTTACTCCCGCCTGCGTAGACTTGGCGTTTCGATGCGATTTGTACTGGGCGAGCACTGTTCCGCAAAAGTTCTTCATCAAATCCTTGTGGTGGGGCGAGAAAGGCATCGTTGCAGAATCCCTCGTATCCGGCTGCGCAAGCACGTTTGGCGAACGTCGAGCCTACATCGCGCTGAGCAAGTCGTCCATATGATCGAAACTGTGGCGCAATGAAGGCATCATTGCAATACCCCTCGTAGCCGGCTGCGCAAGCACGTTTGGCGAATGTCGAATCCACATCTCGCTGAGCAAGTTCTCCACCTGGTCGAGCAACTGGCAGAAGACCCCTCCAGGCGGGAGCACCGCCATTGCAGGATCCTCCGTACCCGATGGCGCACAGTTGTGCATCACGTTTTGCCTTTCCCTGAAGATCCTTCGCCGCCTCATCCCAAAACCATGCGGGAAGCCCGGCTCCAATCCTTTGGTCTGGCAGGTATTGACGTCGAGCAATCTCCCTGTCGATATCAACGTTTGGGAAGCGCGTTCCTGGCAATCTGAATCGTCCAGAGCCGAAGTTTCCAGGATCGTCTTCGCCATTGCAAGGTCCTCCAGCACCAACTGCGCAAATTCCTGCCTGGCGCTTGGCGACCTTGGAGACTTCCTCTCGCCTAGCCTTCTTGTTTTCTCTCTGAGATTGGAGTGTACGGAAGTTTCCTGGCCAGTTGAAGTTTCCTGGATCGTTATCTCCATTGCAAGGTCCTCCGAATCCAACTGCACAGACTCCGTAAACTGCGCGCTTGTCTATTCGTTCAGATTAGATATCCCTTCACGACAACATCTGATATGTGAAAGTGTGGGAGGGACGAAGTTACCTTCAGCCTCTGCTGTAGCAGAAGCACCCGCGAGAAAAGCGGCGGCTGCGACAAGGGATGTGACCTTCATGACTGGTTGTTGTGGATGATGCTGCTGAAAAGGAGAATGCAAAGAGACCTGCTCTTTGTTGAATGTTAAGAAATGTAATGAGACCTGCTCCTTGATGCTGTTTGAGTATATTCTTGTCTGGGTGCTGTTATTTTATACGACAAGTCGCCCTGGACTTTACTAGCATTTCACGTGCTCCGAGCCGGCTCTCCCGACTACATGTGAACTCCCACAGCCTCACTAAGGCGTTTTGGTCATCAATGGTGAAGTCATTCTCCAGTATTCGGAGAATCGGCTGGGCGTGTCTACTAGTCCTCAGCGTGTAAGAACTGTGTGGAGGCTGACTGGAGCCAAGAACAGCTAGCATGAGTTGGCTGTGGGAGGTTAGTCACAGGAGGAAGGCTGAATGCCGCCTATTGAATCGACCAAACGGCGATGTTGGTACATGACATCGGCCCGTTCTGTCAATGCTATTCTTGATATTGAGAATCCTGTGCCATGGGAGCCGCTTGAAGACCGGCATATCTGAGTCGGCATTTTCGGGCCCTTGAACTGAGATAGAGAATATTGGCATCAGTGCACAATCGTATTGACGGCGACCGCTACACGCTTCGAGGTCTTCGCATTCCGTAACATCCGTGGAGCAGCTGCGTCTTCGTGGATGTGGTGGAATATCGAATACTGTACTCCCTAGAACAGTATCTCCGCGTGGCGAGGTTTGACTAGCGATGCCAATTGCGATCCATCAGACGTCCGATCGAGTATCTGTCAGTGCTTATTTGGCTCTCGTCCCGATATCATGCGACGTAGCTCGTGAGCTAGCAGCGATGGCATGGTGAAGGGTGGTGCGTTGGAAGGTGAAGTCGTGGAAAGAGCCGGATAGCGTCATGGGGTCCTAATGCCTTAGGTTTCTAGTGCCTTAGGCTCTACCACGACAATACCTACTATAATACCGCTCGTAGAAGTTCAGCCTAAGATGAAGGACGAGCTGAACGAGGGCTAGGCAAGGCACTACTACTAAGTTTCCTCTATACTTATAGATATTAGTATATTACTATATATATTTATTAACTAAATCTATTCCTATATAACGCCGACGCTAATACCTAGATTTTATAAAGTTCCTCCTTTTCTCTATTTAGTCCTTATATAACTATAATCGTTTCCCGAATACCTTATCTAATATACTTTCTTTATATAGTAAGTACTAGAATATATTAGATATCTATAGCCTATCGATATACTCTTTATAGAGTATAGGCT